CCCAAACACTTACACGCTATGATCTGTGACGTTGAAGTACAACATTTCCACGCACCATCTCTGTCCGATGATTGTTTCATTCCAATGGTGGTCGCCCCCTACATGTACACACCTTGGCACTAAGCCTCGCTGGGCCATGCCGTGTTACAAGGGCGCTTGTATATAGAAGGCAGTGCATGCATCATCACCAAGTCAATGTTTGCAGCGCGCATTATGCGTTGAATCGTGCGCGTGGTCATTGGTTAATTCACGATTTTGTTCAGTGCCTCTTCACTCGAGCATCATCGCAGGCCTCCACCTCGTGGACATCCTCTCTGAAATATGGCGCTGGACAAATAAATGTGCCGATTATTATAATTATTGTCATTAACGTTCCAATTTTAGGCGAGTGGAGCGAACAAAACTGCACAAGCGAGACTAGATAACGCGAAACGGTACAAACGAGACGGTAGACACGAGACAAGTGCCTACTGATTTCTTTCATCGAATCGCCACTCTCTAAAGTGTGAGAATTCCCGAAGTCTCTGGGAAGGTTGAAACATCCCATGCCCGAAAACTTTCGTGTGTAAAAGAAGCCACTCAAGTGAACCGACAAGAGTAACGAACACGAAACTAATATGAATTTTAATGGTAACTATTATTATGAAACAGAAAAGATGGCTCTTGGGCAGGATTGAGCACTCGGGTTTGGCGGCGTCTGTCCATTCTGGTCGATCAATTTTATTTTCTAATCCAGTGCGACCACACAGTTTCATCTGGTGCTCCAGTTCTCTTTCCACCTCCGCATGCCACATCAAGCGTAGAATATGTGGCTATGTAGCGTCACAGTTTTTCGCCTGCTTGAATATCTCCTAACATTTTTTTTCTTTTGAACAGTAAAACCCGTTCGTGTGCATTTTATCACACGAAAGTTTATAGAAAGCTGCTGCCAGAGGTAGGCTTGGTTGTGTTTATGGGACTAAAATGTGTTTTCATATCTTGATAGGACGGCACTGTGCCTTCAAATCATGGCCACTGTCACCGGCATGTCATCGTACCTTGTGGACATACATGAAGAGATTAACAAGTGATATATGACGGGCTCGACGTAAATCGGGAAAAGCATCTTCGTAAACCTGTTGAGTGTAATGTGAGCAACTTGACACGCTAAGACGCGGAATGTGAAATATGCGAATGTTGAAATTGAACTATTGTAATAGAAATGAAAATAGGAACAAAAAACGAATAAACGAAGCAGTTACTTGGGTGTCCATGGGGCTCCGGTACATTACATGTCATGTGACGGTCTGAGAACACGAAGCCGCCTGGTTGCTTGCAGAAGTGGGTTTCCCCGTTCGTCTTTGACCAAATGAGTAACAACCAAATCGCCCGATCTCAGCAGATCTCAGAAGCTAAGAAGCTGGGGTGAGCACTCGGGTGGGTGATCACCGGGGCTTGTCAGGTGTTGTAGGTGTGGGGTTGCAAGGTGGCCAGCAGGTGGCAGTACAGAATGGCACCGCTTCATAGGCGTTGGTTTTCTCTGGGTCCTCTCGTTTCCTCCAATATGCCGAACATTTATAAGTAACGGTATTGAACAACACCCCCCCCCCCCTCAAAGCAAGGCCCTCCTGAACAAAGAGCCTTGAGACTAATTGAGGCGTTCCTGGGTATTTCAATCATTGACTTTCACGCCGTCTTTTACGTCTGCAGAGCTTTTTAACACAAACCATGATTTCATTTTTTTGGATAAAATCGTAATTTTCATCCTGACAGAATGGCCACGACCCACCGCTTCAGATCAGGTTGTTCGGCTCCGTTATATCACGCCGGTCAACCAAGTTGAGCGCAGCCGGTTCAATTAACCCCCATGATCGACACGGTGTGGAGAGGCCCTCATTCAGCAGTGGGCTGTTTAATTATTGAATCAGTCGGTGCCTGGTCAGTTGTGGCCGTCTGTCCTAAACCTTGATTATTTGGCTTTGCTGCTGCAGAGCACAGAAAGATGCATTCGCCCAGTGGCTGTTCACTCCGACTCCACTGTCTCTGTCTGGAATCCATCACTCTTGTTATCCTCACTCAGCTCCTCGACCGTTCCGCTACCTGCTCAGGACATGCTGTGCCTCTTCTTCTTCACCTACGACTGACACTTCAAATACTTTCTTCCACTGCAATATAGCTCTCTCCTCGTCACAAACCGTTCCTTTCTATCCTTTCATTCAACTTTTGTTTTCCCATTGTGTCCATCACTTTGGTATATTGTTCTGTGTAGATGTCGCACTTACACAGCGTGTGAATTAAAACTGTAAATGGAGCTCGGTATTGGGAGGCAATCATCCTCTGTGCGCTTGACATTGGAACAAATATTCACCGATTCACTCCAGTCACGTGTTCACCAGTGGTCAGTCACCGCCGTATTACTCGTCTATCGCTATTACCGTGGTTACTGTTCCCGTGATCTTCGCTCGTTGATTCATCCACCCACGTTGAGGACTCGGCTCTTCCAGTCTGACTGTATTCCCTCGTCCATATTGCGTTGAACCACCGCACAGCAGGTCAAAACACTTCTTCTGCTTCTTTCGTAGACAGCTCGACCTGGGAATTCCCTCCTGCCATCACTTTCCAAAAGTTCTCATCACCTTGCCCAATTCGAGAAACGTATTCATCCCTTTATCTCTTACTCCTTCAACAAACGTTGTTTGTTGCTGCAAAGCAACTACAATACAAAATTCAGGTGGTCAAGCCGGACAACCGCGCCAGGAGTAGCGGAGCGTATCGCTGTGACGTCTCCTTCGTATTTGTGGATCGAGGTGTTGCATCGTTGTACCGTGTACGGTCTGTTCCAGATGACCACGGTTGCACTCTGGACCTTTGCTCAGAAACCGCGATACAAAAAACAAAAAGCGTTGAAACTGTCGTCGTTTTTTCAGGTGTACGCCCTGCTTTCGGCCACAGTGGAGGAGATGGTCGGTCTCTTTGAAGAGCTCGGTGAGAACACAAACGCCGAGCCTCTATCCGCGTGGAAGCCTGCAGCCCAGCAAGCGACGGTGCCGCCACGTCGGTAATGGATCGGCAGGGGGGGCAAAGCCAACGGCGTGCGCACGCCGCCTGTGGACCTTCCCGACACGAGCTGTGCCAGGACTCTGCCAGGACTCCGCCACACCGCAAAGCACGGGAGCAGTTATGGGGCAATTCACGGCGATTCGCTCGGCAGAGTTCTTCGGCTTCTTGCAGTAATGTGTCTGTTGCGGTGTTTCTCAAACTTTAGCCCTCAAGAGCTCCTACGGTGCAGCTTTCTGTTATTACCAATCATTAGACGAGTGTATTGTTTTCCAGCTTGATTTGCATGTGAACAGAAAATATTGGAACGTCAAAAGGCTGCAGCATAGGGTAATGGTGGACTTTGAGAAACAAGTGGCCTATAGGTAACGGTGTGTTCCTGCTCAAATGAGCAATGGAATCGCAGTCATCTCCGTCGACAGCCTTGAGCTCAGAGTGGAAGTTCCACATCACGTCGGCAGACAACCTCTGCATTAAACAACGACCGCTGCGAAATTCACTTTAATAAGATGATGAACCGAGTCAATGCAAGGCTGGGATTCCAGCTGCCGAGCTTCCAATTGTAGAAACACAAACATCCACCAGGATGCATGCAGCGCCTACCGCTATCAGGGGTTTCATGGTCAGTCTTTCATTGGGCAGCGATGCACGTAAACCTGCTGTGGTTATAATCGCACTGCGCTATGAACTTGGTTGGCAGTTTGATTCCCAGCTACTGATAACATCGGTGGCGGGTGATATCTGATCTTGTCCAAGCACCCCCTTCAATACACATCTTTTCATTTATCCTGGAGAAATCTGATGAGTTATGAAGCTATTTTCCACAGATGACCAATGACGAGTGCGATTAGGTATGGCCAAACAACCCAGATAACCAACACAGCATGGGGAAGCCTTCATCCTGCAGTGGATTGATGAAGGGCTGCAGATTATTTGATATGAAATCACAGGCAGTGGTGAAGCTCACCTGTAATCCAGCACTGTGGAGGGGAGAGATGGTGTATCTCACAAATGTTGTCACTCACTTCCCGCGAGCATGGAGGTGCCAAAACCCTAGCTTGCCATGTGAACGCGGTACAGCAAAAAATGTGGACCTCACCTGTTCTATCTGTGTGGGAGATAGTGTTGCCACTTCGCTCACAAGCACAGGTGTTTCTGGGTGCTCCGGTTTCCTCAAACATCTAAATGCTCACTAATTTGCCCTTAACATCTTCATATAGAGAACCATCGGGCTGGAGGGGGATGAGAATTTGGCACCGGCTCATCGCCTAGTTGCCTTGCCCACGTCTCCGTGGTTTCTCGCGCCTGTCGATTCGTCCTCGCTCTGCCCGAGCGAGCGAATACGGCGCGACGCGTCACAACGATGAAATCATCGTTACGGGTTTCCCTCGCTGCGAGGTAGTAGATGCATTCCAAAAGGGGCGCACAAAGTGAAACCGCACGAGACAGCCGACTGTCGAGTAGCACAGTGCACACAGTACGCACACAATGTTGTCCCACGTCCGACCGCGTAGCCGCACGAGTGAATTCAAACTGCATGATATCGCGATTTTTGGAAATAGGTTAGCCGCATATATGCAAAATCGCATGAAACAAGGGAAACCTGTATTTGTATACTGTATACAGTACATTGCTTTTAAGATGACCTGTTTGGTAGATTGATTGAAAAATTCTATCCCAATTTCTGTTTATTGGCGGTAAAGTACAAACATTTCGATACCATTTACACTTCCTTTTGCCAGGAACATTCGTGATTGTTCCATGGAAAATAAGATGGCAACACTCTGTTTGCTTGAGAAATGTTAAAATTAGTTTATTCTAATATGTATTAATTTACAAGTTCAAATGCAAAGTGTCCAATTGTATTGGTTCATATTACAAATCCTAAGAACCTACTGTTTCCATACTTTTGGTCCACACATTTGCACTTTTTCATTTTACAGGAACGTGACACTGCTATGTGGTAAAAACGAATCATTTTATTTTTTTCAATCTTCCATTTGCGTATCAAGTATCCACATCTGCCACGGTTGGTGTAGATGTGGCTACGGGTTACTCAACAGCACCTGACAATTTTCTGGCCCAGCCGCATCATTGTAAAATCATAGTTGTTTTTCGATATCATTAGCCATAGGCAGATTAAGATTTTCAATGTCACACGCAACAATGCCAACAAGAGTTATTTGCTTTAAAGCTTTCGTGACTGCAGGGATTCATATTCTTGGTTCTTTCGGTAAAGTCACGTAGAAGGAAAACAATAAAATAATAAAAATATAAAAAATACAATGTTATTGTTGAATAAGAGTTATTTGTATAACACAGCTTTGGGAAGCAACGCTTTTAGGTTTGTGTTAAGGGGTAACAATGCCAATCTCTGTTTTGTTAAATTCTTTGCAATTTAAACCCACCCCTTGCTGAATAAAGTGGGATATTCCACAATGCATATGGATGTTTGGCTTTTTGAATAGTGGGGAGCACAGCGGAACATACCAATTTCTATTCGGGGTATGTGCTGAGCAAATGACCTCAGACTGCACAACCATGCTTAATGAGTATTTTATTACACTGCCCATGCTAATTGGACTGGTGTTTTAGCAGGTTCATTAATCATTTGCACAGCCCACATTAACACATTCATGAAGATAAATGGGCCGTCACAAGTTACACACACATTTGTTCACCCATGGTGACATTGCGGTGAACCGTGCATCCGATGCCTGAGCAGTCTGTGTTAGCAATTAACAAAAAATCTGCCCAGTAGGAAAACCTGTCTATCTTTGGAGGGCTGCTTTATTTAGACATGAAAGGCGACTCGTCTTTGCTTCGCATAATTAAATATCAATCATTTGTTGTTAAATGAAGAGCATGCGCATCAGCTTCACGCTGTGAAAATATCACTTGAGGTTCTCCCACGAAGACATCGTCTGGGTTGACATTGTTGGCGAGGCGCTTAAATCCAATGTGAGTTAAAAAAAAAAGTTAGTGTATTCAGGAAGATCCTTCAATTGGAGCCAAAATGTAGGTTCGTCCAATGCCGCCTCAGTAGTCTGCAGTGTATGACCCTGTCGCACGGCCACTGTTGATAAACTGAACATCCTTGCAAACACCAAGGAGTCGTTGGTTCAACCTGAGAAGCCTCCCTTCTTCTCTCGGGTGCCGGTCCTCTGTCGGCGCTGGGTTTTGGTCGTCTTTCCCCCCTGTGCCGGTCGCTTGCCTTTCTTGGAGCTCTTGGGCGCTCCCCTTTTCCACTTTTTGCCAGATTTCTTCTTCGGATCCAGCGACGACATCAGCGAGGAGAGCCTGCGCACAAAGGTGAGAAGATGGTGCCCGTTAAATATAATTGATTGTGCTTTGCGTCAATCCATGGCTAGACGAAGGCCTTTACACGGCCATGTCAGTCGTGAGGGCTGTTTGACCGTATATCACCACGACAGAACAAATTGGTGAAGGGAGCCAGGTCCGGTTCAGATATCAATAGTCAATAACAACAAAATGCTCAACACCTTCGTTAATAACACTGCCATATGAGGAAACATATATCACGTTTTTGGAACTGGGCTTCCTTTCAGAGCACATCGAGCCACTTATGTTAGCTGTGGCTGGGATTTGAAACCAAGAGTCGTGGGTGGTTGGTAATGCAGCGTGTACTAACCGCTCTGCCACTGCTTCACCTCAGTGCATTTTGTGCCCACAAATGCACAAGCATAATCAAGGGCACGCACAAAAGACAAAGATCTGGCTTGTAGCCTTCAACAGCCTAGTGCTCTTAGCAAGCACTTGTTGAAGCCTCAACACAATCGCATACACACGCACAGATATTCAACATGTGGGAGGTGTTTACACAAAGCAATTGAACATTTTATAACCTGAAGTAGAAACTTGCTTGAGACATTAGTTTTGTATGTTTGCACTGATTACATCTCTATTTAAGTTTAACACTTAGGCTTACTCTACAACACACCGATGTGCTGAAGTGGTAACTAATTGGCACGTTTTGTTTAAGTGACAAACCTTACTAATTGGCTGCGTTGGTCGGTGGCAGGTTCAACGACACATGAATGTGATCTAACCTAATGAAAACCTTCATTATGGATCTCTGTTTCATTTTACCGTTAGACAACATAGGCTAAACAGATAAAAAAATATATATAGTACATTAACGGGCATTCTTGTTATTGTACTGCCTCCTGTTACTGATCCTTCATTTCAGCCGTGCCATCCCCATTGGTACCATGGTGCAATTTACAAACAGTAATGCCGAGCAGAAGGGAAGCTATTGCCATAACCATCTGTGGTAGCACAAACAGTAGCAGTTGTGCAACACATTTCCATAGATGCCTGAGAGCAGGATGCGAATATAAACAAGCCAAGAGACCTCTGGGCCCCGTACACTCTTTACCTCTTGGAAGTGAGACACTGCTTCTTGTTTGGCAGTGGGATGTCTTTCGGGTCTCCATCTTCTCCCCTCGCCTCATCCTCTCTCTCTCCGTCTTTCTCTTGCTGCTTGTCGTCGTCGTCGTCATCGGACTCTGCAAACTGACGGTCAGAAAATATCTTTCAGCGTGCCTGACACAGCAGCGCTCGCTTTAATGCACCAAGCTCTGAAAAAGCTGCTTGACATTTAATACTGGAAAGCAGTATTCTGGTGCCAAGTATCAAACAATCGTTTCCACTGGTTTCCAGACCGCAGATGTACGACTTCATACCATAAGACTTCGGCACACAAGTGTCTCCTGGGTTGTAAAAAGGCGCAGCATGTCCGACACACTTTAAGATGTAACCATTACAACCACTATGTGTAACCATTACAACCACTATGTGTACGGTGTGTGACCGTGCCCAAATACACTGACGTAGCCATGGCCACCACCATGTGTGGCCGGCCTGTTCGTGGTCAAGTTCACTACGAGTCATAACCTAAACCGTTTGTACGATGCGTGATAGTTGCCAGATACAATGACACACCCATTGTCCCCGCCATGTGTGAGATTATGCTAGGCTAGGAACACACCGAGATGTAACTATTGTCAACACCATCACGTGCGTCCTGTGTTAGTGGCCAGGTACACTGATGTAACCGTGCCACGTATGTGTGCTAATGTCCAGGCACACTTGCACAATGCAACCGCTGTCAATACCATGTCCGAGATGTTTGCTAGTGGCCAGGTACACTCACATGTAAACACTGCCAGCATGTGTGAGCCAGGTTAGTCAGCTAGGCACACTCCAAGGTGTAACCATAACCGCTGCCGCACGCATTCCGCCCGTACCGTGTTGGTGCCCAGTTTGAGGCCCTCCGGGTGACACAGGTCCAGGTTGCTGATGGTAGTCACCGTGACCGTGTGGTTGGGGTGGTGGTACTGAACGCTCTCCGTTTTGCTTGTCGTCACCAGGTCCAATTCGTCCAAGTCGTTCACTGATCGCAGGAGCAATGACGTGCATTCGATTACGACGGCAAGCCGATACGCTGCGTTCACTTGATGTAACGTGCCATTTGCGCTGTGCCACATCCTCGTCGTAACATTTGAATTAATTTCAAATAAACGACCAATTACTCCAAATGTACCATAGTACATCAATGAATTAACTACAATGTGTTTGTTAATGTAAAAAAATACACATTTTATTGGCGGTTTCTGATCATTTAAAAAAGTACTTTATCTGTGCGATACATCAGATGGTCATGAGGATGCATCCCTCACCTATGCCCTGTGCTTTCCTTCTTTCTCTTATTAGATCCATGAACTGCTGCCGCCTCTGCAATTTGCAAACACCGGGTACACACATCGCCACATTACATCGGGGCCTTCGGGTTTCAGTGTAACATTTTAAACACGACCGATGTAGTGATCGCAGCGTTCGAGACTTTATAGAACAAGTACGTACACCGTGTGACGTGTTTGGACGCAGTGGCACGTGCTGCGGATTTTTGGTACCTCGTCTTTAAGGCGCTTTTGCTCTTCCTTCATCTGCTGTACTAGCTCCTCCTTTGCCTTCCTCTTCCGCTCCACCTTCCGTTTGTGGAATCCTGTTAGATACGTCCTGCCCATAAAGCATCAGCAGAACGTTACGTGCGTTGTTCCCGTAATTTACTGAATGGTTGACTGAGACCAACTCAGTAGAATGTAAACAGAGCCGTCCATGGGGGGGGAGGGCAAATCCAACTGTGGGCCCCCCAACGCCTTCAAACTAAACCGGAAGTATTAACATCTGATGACGCCGTGATGTTGAAACGCGGGGGGCCCCCCGATTCGCCGTATCCTAGGGTACGGCTCTCCTCTGTTTGTAAGGTCCACACATTTTCTCCAAAGCGGCATAATTTAAACTTCTGTATGATCATGTATTACTTTAGCAACACAACGATGGCTTAAGAGCTTTCCAACGCCGTGAAAGTTGTTGAGTTTGACCACGTTCTCAGATCTCCCTATTAAGAGACTTTGAGCATTCCTTGAAAGCAGATTTAAATTTCACATGAAACATTTCATTTGAATTGTTAGCTATCCAGATCTCCATTTGAATCAATATTTTACCTCGCTTTAAGTGACCGTTCCATACAACTTAAGTAAACTAAATTGCCCAGTTATTTAACCAGTAAAGGCCCAAGTCTGTTCAGGAGGCTCCTTGGACGCACGGCAATGATACACCGCGCGCATTTGTACTTTGGTCGTAATGACTTCAATTTGTAATATAAAGCGGTAGAGGTAATTTAATAACTTGGGGTTGTTATATGTAACCAGTAGCCAGCGGTTACCTATTGCAGCTCAGGATTCTGAGTTGACATCCGGTCTGGTTGCACAGAACTACACTATACCACGACGGTAAATGTCCCGTTGGCCATTTCAAGTAGGAATTTAACAGATACATTGTGTGTATATATATTTCAACCCGTTCCACGCCTTTAAATCGGCGTTTATAATCTCGCCCGGGCTCAATCAAGGAGCTGCGGACTTGTAATGTTGGCCGCACAGGACTGTATTGCATTACCGGGGTACGTACGCGCTTACTCATCGTCCACTTACGTTCGCTCTTCATCGTTGAACGTCAGGTACAGTTTAGTCTGCCTATTTCGAGGCGCTTTGCTTTTCGGCTTTCCCATTCTACAGCACAGCGCGCAGCACAACGCAGCACAACACAGCACACGCCGCCCCAGTGAACAGCAACACGTGCCACACACGTGGCCGCGCCGACTTCCGGGTCAAATGTGAACCCAGAGCAATAAAATTTAAACAAAATTCCGCTTTATTTTTTTTTTACAAACGGGGCCCTGGACGCGCGCTCTTTTACGCTGCCGCGACCATCGCACGCGAACGTGACGCGTGGTTACATTTAAAAAGAAAAGCGAGTTCATGACTGACATTGTTATTGTCACGATGTACTTCCGGTGGCACTGGCCGGTCCAGCAAGCCGAGCCCTGCTGAGTGGTAGCGCGGTCCGCTCCGAGTGCCAACGTCTCTCTCGCCTCTGTCGCCTTTACATCTCTCCTCTGTCAACTCTCTCGATCACCTTGCTGGTACCACCATCATCATCATCGCTCGTGCGACGTTTAAGTTGCCCATACTCTTGTGGTACCCGCGCCGTCCGGTGGCTTGTGCTGCGTGTCGGAGTGACTGCACGTGGACACTTGGGGCCGCCTCTGCCGTCCTCCGCCACGAGTTCGGCCTTCGTAGGTGCTGCTCGCTAACGGCACTTGCCGCGAAAGTCGAGGTGCACCTAGCCTGGCACCCGCCACTAAGTGGCGAATGGCGGCGGTTGCTGTTGAATCCGATCCGGGGTTGATGAGAAACTCTCCTCGTTGCTTCCAGTAAAGGACGAGCTCCTGTGGTATAACGTGTTATAAAGTGGTGTAACGTGGTTAAGGTAGTCGCTGTTGATAGTTCTGACAGTGTTAACCACTTGAGTCGTGATCTTGTCCCTACGGGTCGTTTGTTAGGTGTATAACCACGGTAGTTTAGGCAGTCAGAATTGTCTTGTCACTGTTGAGGGTTATAGGCTGGAGATAAGTGTTGGTAGCCAGTCTGTACATACAGCACTTGGACACATTATACACGTACAGTACTTTACATTCAGTACACAGCACCCATACACAGACACAGCAACACAGACACACAGCACCTACACAGACACAGCACCAACACCTACATAGACACACAGCAACACCTACACAGCACCAACACCTACACACAGCACCAACACCTACACAGACACAGCAGCACCTACACAGCACCAACACCTACACAGACACACAGCACCAACACCTACACACAGCAACACCTACACACAGCACCAACACCTAAACAGCACCAACACCTACACACAGCAACACCTACACAAACACACAACACCTACACAGACACACAGCACCTACACACAGCAACACCTACACGGACACACAGCACCAACACCTACACGGACACACAGCACCAACACCTACACACAGCACCGACACAGACACAGCACCAACACAGACACACAGCACCAACACCTACACAGACATACAGCACCTACACACAGCACCAACACCTACACAGACACAGCACAGACACAAAGCACCAACACCTACACACACACAGCACCAATACCTACACAGAAACACAGCACCTACACACAGCACCAACACCTACACAGACACACAGCACCAACACCTACACATAAACACAGCACCAACACCTACACATAAACACAGCACCAACACCTACACAGACACACAGGAACACCTACACACAGCACCAACACCTACGCAGACACAGCACCAACACCTACACAGAATCACAGCACCTACACAGACACAGCACCAACACCTATACAGACATACAGCACCAACACCTACACAGAATCACAGCACCTACACAGACACAGCACCAACACCTATACAGAATCACAGCACCAACACCTACACAGACACAGCAACAACACCTACACAGACACACAGCACCAACACCTACACAGACACACAGCACCAACACCTACACAGACACACAGCACCAACACCTACACAGACACACAGCACCAACACCTACACAGACACACAGCACCAACACCTACACAGAATCACAGCACCAACACCTACACAGACACACAGCACCAACACCTACACAGACACACAGCACCAACACCTACACAGACACACAGAACCTACACACACACAGCACCAACACCTACACACACACAGCACTAACACCTACACACAGCACTAACACCTACACACAGCACCAACACCTACACAGACACAGACGACAGAATCCCCCTCACCCGGCTGTTGATAATATCCCGTGGTAGCCTGGCGTCACAATAGCACAGGGGGCACAGACGCCACTACCGTGTGTGGGGTGGGTGTGTGGGAGGTGTGCGTGTTAGGTGGGTAGGTGGTGTGTGTGGTGTGTGTGGGGTTGTCAGTGGAGGGGGGGTGCGTATCCCGCAGCCACAGCCATGGCCACCGCAGCAGTGGCGGCAGTGGTGTCCCACATCAACCCTCGTCAGGACTTCCCGGCGTGGCTGGCCGCCCACGGCGTGAGCCTCAGCGTGGCCGAGGCCGTGGACAGGGAGCTGGGCATCGGCGACTACGAGGCCTTCATGGCGTGCGCCGAGCAGCCCCACGTCAGGGCCGAGATGTTCGCCGCCGCCAGGGAGCGGCTGCCCTTCGCCTTCTACGCCGTGCTGCGCCGCGTCACCGAGGCCTCGTCCCCCAAGCGCCACGACGGGGCCGGCGGCGGCCTTCAGGCCGCTGGCAACACGGCGGCGTTCCAGCCGTTCCTGAGCGGCCTGCTGGACGCCATCGTCCTCATGCTCAACAGTCTCAGCCAGGAGCTGCTGCACTCGGCCGAGAGGTTCAGCTGCCTGGAGCCCGCGCTGTACCCGGTGGTGTCGCTGGACGATGGAGTGGCGAGCCACCTCGCGTCGGATGTGGGTGAGTCTGACAAGCCCCCCCCTCTCCCCTGTTCGGTTGCATAAAATATCTTGAGCGATCTTTCCCCCATCCCCCCCCCCCCGTCCCCTCCATCTGTTTGCAATGTGAATCGCTGTGATCTAAGGGGACGAGATTTACTTTTAAGGGGAGATTATGCAACTTGCCACTGGAAACCGGGACTCTAAATTTCGCGGGTCAAGAGGTCACGAGAAGGGTTACCACCTTTTAAAAAGGCACGAACCCGGATATATTTCTCAACTTAGGTCTGTGACTCCTGTTGCAGCATACAGTCATAAAGTTCAACACAATAACGGCACCAGATCTCGGTACGAATCGAATCCCGCCACATGACCGCACACATGACAATTCCTGGACTGTTGAGGTCCAACCTGGGTATGTGGCAACTCTAGTCAGGAGTGTACCTTCCCCCCCTGCCCCGTGACACACAAGAATGAGACGGTGGTCGACTGTCATCCTCCTTGGTTGCCTTCAGCCGGTGGTGAAAAGCCACGTCCCATCATTTTTCATCAACATCATCTTCGTTACGTTTATGTGCGGTTTCACACAGTTCAGGACTTGTCCAGAAGTGCGGTGTGACAGCAAGGTCTGGGTGTGAGATTAGACCAGTAATCTTAGAAGTACATTTTCACGTGAAGAATATACATGAGCCCATACACAACACACATTTCGATAATAGACTTCACTAGCCCCATGTCAATCCAGCAGTGGATTGACATAGGGCTGTACATGTCCGGGCGCCGTGGTGGTGAGGCGCTAACTACCTCGCTTGGTATGCAGGAGGTTGTCGGTTCGACCCTGGCGCCTGTGTATTTGGAGTTTGCATGGTCTCCCCATGGTCGTGTGGATTTTTCTCCGGGTCCTCTTGTTTTTCCCTCTGGCATTGTGATGCCTGCATGGGTGCCACAGTGGCGAGATGTTAACTACCTCGTCTGGTATACAGGAAGTCGTGGGTTCGATCCCAACCCGACACCTATATATTTGCAGTTTGTGTCTCTCTCTCCCTGTGGTTGCTTAGATTTTTCAATGGGTCCTCTCTGCACAATTTAGAAACATGCGTTTCGAGTATTTGGCTGCTATAAATTTCCACGTGATAAGCCACTTAATTGGGCTATCATTTGCAGCCAGGTGGCTTCCAATTAAAAGCTATAGCCCAGTGGGCCTTACCTGGTAAAGTACAAATAGTTTATCAAAAATAGTTATTATAATCGTCATTAAGTGCAAACTCACCACTTTTGTGAATGTTTTGTACACATGTGTGCTCACAGCAGAAGTAGTGGGAGATGTGTCTGGGAGTGAAGTAAATCACCGGTCACCCGGCCCGCACTCAGACATTCAGCAAGAGCACAGCCTGCACCATGCGTGGGCAACCAATGGAGACAAAGTTGAGAGGCTCTTTCAGAATAACGTGGAAGGTAATGCAGCTGCACTCCTAATGGATAGATACATAAATCCACAACTGCTTGTGCCCACATGAAAGTTGACATTTTATTACATCGTAGGATTGTGCGAGATGGCGACGGTTTGGGGAGGCCCTTTATCCAGCAGTGGATTGACTAAGGGCTCTAGATATACAATTACTATTATTCGTTAATGTACGTGAATTGGTATAACTTATTTTGGGGAATTCCCAACAATCATGCCTTTGTGTCACATTACATTGTTAGTACTGTGTAGGGCATTGCTGTGTAGCTCTGCGATTTGTGTTCAGGTTTGTACCGTATGTTCAGCATGATGTCCGACGTTTCGCTCTATACGCTGGGAGCTCCCATTGCAGACAACTACAAAAAAAGTAATTCATTTAAGAGCGGTGTTTTTAATTCTCCATGTGTGTAACTCACAGCTATTGTGGCCGGCTCTTGTTTCTAGAGAAGGCAGACTTGCCTCAAGTTGGGGATTGCTGGAGCGCCATAGAGGAGTCCCCTTGTGAAGTGGAGGAGACTGATGTGAACGTGACGTGGAGAGAGGTCAAAGCGGAAAGGGATGACGTCGTCAGAGGTATCTCGCGTGCCGACGTAACTCGAGAGATGAACCCTACCCTCTCGGCAGTCCACAGGGAAGTTGCTTGGTTTGCCAGTAACTTGGCAGGCGTGGAACAGTTGATTAGTCGATGAAAATCAATTCTTACGCTCAGAGTGATGCATTGGATCGTGCGTGTAAAAATTGATTCTTTACATTGCACGCAGATTATATTTTGATGTTTCTTTTAGGCTAAGAAGCTAATTAAACTGTCCATGTGAGATAGAATGAGAAACAATACAAATGTAACAGAAAAAAACAGACTGAGGATGCAATTCTCAAATTGAATTTCGAACCCTGAATCATTACAATGTTTTGACTAGCGAGATGGGGAATTATTAACATGTTTATAGATTACTACCAATGTCGTGGATTGTTGGCCAGAAGTGGAAATTTTATTGGTTTTTGAAGGACAATAATTGACTTACTCTATAGTTTAGAAACGTTGCAAATTAATGGACAACCCAGTGTGTGCAGGCTGTAAGGGCGGTCATCTGAAAGAGAGAGCAAGTGGATGGTGTGTTGTTTACGAAGCCGAATTGTCCAGAGCCGATGAGATCAGCACAAGCCAGATTATTTTACTTGCAAGAGTGGTTGTGAATCAATGCTTTGATTAAGAGTTTTGTTAGTTGTTATATATGGAGAAGCTTGAAAAAGGTAATGGTATGGAATCATCAATACCTCAGTGATGACAGTTACAGGTGAGATGACAGTGATGGAAGTAGTTTATTCACAGGCTAATGCAAATACACTTGTTCATATTGTAGCTACAGTTTATTATGTAATCTGTCACTTAAATGCAAAAAAAGTATTTAAAAATACATTTGGAATACGTCACGTGATAATATTTTTTATTGAGTCAAATTTCGTGATAAAAATGAAGACAATCATGGTGAGGGCAACATGTTTTGGGTAATTATTCAATTTCAGAGTTGGTCAAATCTGGTAATCCTTTTATTATCTGAATGTTCCAGGTCTCCCTTGCAAAAGCTATTGGATCTCAACTGGTTCTAAGAAAGGCAACCTACTTGCCTGCTAACATAGCCATCTAACTCCTGCACAAGAGCTGATTTCAATGCTCCAGCTCTGTGTTGTATGTACTTTCGGCCGTGTCCCCTCCTTTGGCTACTCCTTTGTTGTCATCTTTGACCATCAACCGTCCTCCCTCCTACCGTCTTGTCCTGTCCAAGCCAACTTGACAGTCAATACGATGTCTGTAACTTCCATATATTCTGTAATCCATATGTTCCTCTTGATCTCTCTCAGTATAATTCTAATCATGCACCTCTCCATGCTGCTTTGCGCACCTTTCAACTTGTGTTTAAAATTTGTAGTGAATGTGCACATTTCTCATGCTTACTATAATTAAACATACACCTTCGATGATGTATCTTCGCTCAGACGGAGAAACAGAGGCGACGGACGAGGAGTGTTTCTCCGTCATCACGAGAACCACCAATCAAAGCGCTCCAACGAAACTCGGCTACAACGGCGAGCTGCACTGCGTCGACCACCCACACAGGGAAGACGCCGCCTACTATCCCTACAGGCGCGACACCGCTGCCGAGTCGTACGACGGCCAGCAGGTTTGGCAGCAGCGACTGCTGGCGCCGCCGCTTGACGGACACCGATGCGATTCCTCCGAGCCAGGCGATGGCACGGATAACGCGGCGCCGTCTGGGGAGCGACGGGCGGACAACGGCGGCGGCGGCGGCGGCGGCAGCGCCGGGCGCAGGGACAGCCCGCACTCGTCCGCCAAGCCTTTCGGCTGCCGCGAGTGCGGCGCTCGCTTCGCCACCAAGTACAACCTGCGGGTGCACGAGAGGCGGCACACGGGCGAGCGGCCGTTCGCGTGCGAGGTGTGCGGGCGGCGCTTCTCTCGCTCTTACTGCCTGGGCCGGCACAAGCGCTGCCACGTGCTGCGGCCCGTGGAGCGCGTCGCGGCTACCGCCGCCACGCAGCCATTGCGTTAGCTTCCCTGGCGTTGCGCCAGCGTCGCAGCTAGTTGTGAGCGGCGTGAAGATGGCGGTTCCTGCACGCCTGAGGGAGGACGTTGATTTGCGTGTGGCCAGAAGCAGTGCCACGGAAAAAAAAACGAATTATGCACATTATTCAAATGGGACGTCGAGCGGTGTGTTTTATTTATTGCCATAATTCTTGGAGGTTGGTGGAAGTGGCACTTATATTTTGAACATTGTTGAAAAAGATTTCTGTGTTTTGAAAGAAAACCCCCAGCCTGTTGTAGTGACAGGTATGAATGGAATTTCATGCTTGTGCTGTATAAAACTGGGTGATTTCAAAGTTCGAACCATTGCCAGTGTAAGTGCTGTTCGTACAGCGAGCGTTTATTTAAACGAGTTTGATTGGCATTTGGGGTGTGACATGGTCATGATGTGTAGGGGTATTGTCACAAACAAACGTAAATATTTCAATACTACACAGGATCATATTTCTCGTATAGTGGCAGTATTCTGTTTTGCAATTTGTTCTGATATTGTGAGTACAGGAAAGGAATGCTATTACTTATGAAATTGAGTCTGCTTGCTTAGTCTTTTCTGTGTGATGTTTATACACACGATGGTGTCAACATTCATTCATCAAGTTCACAGAATTACAATATTTCTTGTTTTGTGCGAACATTAGTGGGTTTTTTTCACCTAATAACAACTATCTGGAATGTTTGAAATTCATGGAACGGAATATTACAATGAAAATAAATCACTTGTTGAGGAATGGAACACGATACATTCAACCACTATTTTTTCAATAATCGGTCACTTTGAGGAATAATTTTAACAAATAAAAGCTGTGCATGCCCGAGTATTTTGTGTGCGACTCTTTATCCTCCCCTTCACACCCGCTTTGGCCAGCCCTCAAGCTGGCCAAGTCTGCTGTGTTTCCACACCGTGATTCTGAAACGTACCGCGACGTTCCTGGAAAATCCTTGGAACGGTCCATAGCATAGCGTTGGTCTTGTTCCAACGTGGGCTCCCCCCATCTCCACTCAGAGAATCATATTGGTCTGAAAAGCTAGTGAAATAGGTTGATAATATTTTTAGTGGTAAGGGGACCCAAGGTCTCTTTACATTTTGATGTACAAGTACGATGTACTTGCCCATGGGTGCTGCACAACGGCACACCATGAGTTTGTACAAGAATCCTTACGGAATTTAATCCTTACGGAGCTTTAGCTTAACGCCGCAAGCCTCTGGCTCACGTGACAAGAGCGCTGTGAGCCTCGTGAATTCTTAACATTACCCCCTTGGAAACTTAAGGAGTCCTTGATATTCTTACATGGGACTTGGACATTCTTGGGACAGTCTTACTTAGGAATCATGCTTGTGCTATGAGTTGCTAAGGAACGTAGTGTATTTCTTTGGGTAATGTGCCTTTTTCACCACAGTCGTACTAGTCAATGCTATAGAATGCAGTCCTGTGAATGCTTCCATGGAATGTGTTTTCTCGTCACTACCGTTGCTTGCGGTAAGGCTGACTCATGTGCTACTTGTACCGTGGAACAACCAGAATTTCTTCAAAGATAATTTAAGGCTCAACTGTGCCGTGCCATTGACATTTGGGAATTGTGACCAATGGCCAAGACGGCGATCACGAATCCATGGCTTTGTAACAGTGATGTTCAATCAGCCCCGTCATTCTTCACTTAAGCTAGTTAACAATGACGTGAAGATATTTCTCACAAAATGGCACGTGAATAAACTAAAAATAAAGATCATAGCAGTCGTTTATAAAGAAGTAATAGCTCCGCTGAGATTGCATCAATACACGAGGAATCGTGCAAAGAGATCGACTGTCACCAGGAGGAGTCGGTGGCAGATTTCTGAACATTGAATTGGAGCAATGTTGGTATCAATAAATGTCGATAATATTAACCTCGGTTCTACTGCCACATCCAATGGGAATGAACGGCAGGAAATGATTGAAGTACATAACACACAAAAAACATTCTCCGACACCAAAAGGGTAATTGCCTGAAACGTCGCCGATTATATAGTTTCTTGTTTCAAGGCAGTGTTATTGAACAGTGTTTTTTTCCGTGTTGCCCTCCCCCCGCACCTCCCGATTACCACTGTTGGCTACGTACGGTGCGAAAGAAGTCCAAAGTATACATACACGAGTTGAGTTTATGTTTGCTGTCGGGGTACGTTGGTGGTTGTTTTAACACGAAAGAACAAGGAGTGTGCAATGTTGGAGGTGCTCAAGCTACGAAGCAACTGCCCTATGCAACATGTTTGCAGAGCAATGCGTTTGGGGAAAGATAGACAAACATGACGTGGTGCGTGGGATTGCAGGCTGTGATGACGGACGAGAGTCTGGGTGGCTGATGGAATCGCAGCCAAAGGCGGGTGGAGTTGTTGGTGGAACGCATCCCAGGGGCCACGTCCACGGAGGAGATGGAGCGATGGGAACGGGAGGTGCGCGCAGCGAGGCGATGCACTTTGGCAATCGCGGCACGGCGAGGGACGGATCCTGCACGGTAACATCCAGCAGTGGAGAGACCACGGCTGGTGTTGTGAGATGTTAACTACCTCGCTCGGTATGCAGGAGGTTCCATTTATAGTTTCCATTTATGTTGGTATTGCCCTGTGTGAGACATTCGGCTCTTGAATCGGGTGCAACCGCAACAAAAAAAACTAAAACGTGAACAAGACAAACATCTTAAAGTGACTTTGTGTGACTGTGCAAACAGAAAATACAGGGAAAAAAACATCAAAATATTGCCGGAAATAGCACCGTACACCGACGCTGTGTGCAAAAATCCCAGTGGGATGCAAGTCAAACAACAATAACAACAACAACCACAAGACAACTAAGATTAAGGCCATCAGTCTAACTCCGTACTACAATAAACACAAACATGGCCAAAAAAAAAAACGTTTTCGAAATCACCAAAATAAAAGCCGTAAATGCAATGTAACAGTGCTCATAGGGACTGTGACCGAATTTTTAAACAATAAACTACATAAATAAATTATAACACCAAACCCTAATGTGTAGTTTGTCTCCGTGTTGTTGTTGTTGTTCCCGAGTCGACATTCCCCGCCACTGCGTTCGGCTATCGCCTGATAAAAAAAAAAATATCTACGTGTAGATAGCACGGCGGGGCCTTGCACCAGGATTAAAGGGAAATTAAATGTTATAGTTTATGGTTTTATATTCTTAGCTCTTTCGGTAAAGTCACGTTAAAAGGGAAACAATAAAATAATAAAATATATAAAACAATAAAAAAATTCTCACGACGTTTCGACCATAACACAAACGGTCGTCATCAGGTGTTATGGTCGAAACGTCGTGAGAATTTTTTTATTGTTTTATATATTTCATTATTTTATTGTTTCCCTTCAACGTGACTTTACCGAAAGAGCAAAGAATATGAATTACTGCAGTCACGAAAGCTTTAAATCAAAATCTATGGTTTTAGTTTAAACACAACATAAAAACGGCGCGCTTTAGTTGTGTCTCCATGGCAACCGGCGTTGCTGGGAGACGCGAGCGGCGAGGCCGCGACGCGCCCGGGTTCACTTCTTCACGTCGCTCATCCTCACACTGTTGACGTTCTGGACGAATTTAAAACACAACAACCCCCCGTTAATCGTGATACTCGCGACGAGTCTGGCCGTGTTGAAGCTACGAGCGCGTCGCTTTAAATGAACGGTAAAGAAATAAGAGAGCGATGTAGGCCTTGTCGACCTAGCGTGAAGCCTGCCCGTAACAACAACAACGTCGTCTGGTAATTAACTTTAAGCGAATCGGGTTTAATTAGACGGCCACTCGACTTGACACGGTGCTGGCAATTGCGTGGAGAAAGACAAATTAAAACGGAACGTTTCAATATGCGGGTTTCAGAATTATAAACGGGTTCCACGTAGGTCGGTCGGCAGGTCAGGCGCGGTGAGGTAAAGTGTTGAAGGAAGAGTAGGCCAAATACAGTACTGTAGAGGGTTTCTAACAGAGCCGCCTCTTGAAGGAAGAGTAGGCCAAATACAGTACTGTAGAGGGCTTCTAACAGAGCCGCCTCTTGAAGGAAGAGTAGGCCAAATACAGTACTGTAGAGGGTTTCTAACAGAGCCGCCTCTTGAAGGAAGAGTAGGCCAAATACAGTACTGTAGAGGGCTTCTAACAGAGCCGCCTCTTGAAGGAAGAGTAGGCCAAATACAGTACTCTAGAGGGCTTCTAACAGAGCCGCCTCTTGAAGAGTAGGCCAAATACAGTACTGTAGAGGGCTTCTAACAGAGCCGCCTCTTGAAGGAAGAGTAGGCCAAATACAGTACTGTAGAGGGCTTCTAACAGAGCCGCCTCTTGAAGGAAGAGTAGGCCAAATACAGTACTCTAGAGGGCTTCTAACAGAGCCGCCTCTTGAAGGAAGAGTAGGCCAAATACAGTACTGTAGAGGGCTTCTAACAGAGCCGCCTATTGAAGGAAGAGTAGGCCAAATACAGTACTCTAGAAGGCTTCTAACAGAGCCGCCTCTTGAAGGAAGAGTAGGCCAAATACAGTACTCTAGAGGGCTTCTAACAGAGCCGCCTCTTGAAGGAAGAGTAGGCCAAGTCCTCTCCTCTAGAGGGCTTCTAACAGAGCCGCATCTTGAAGGAAGAGTAGGCCAAATACAGTACTGTAGAGGGCTTCTAACAGAGCGATTTGCGGGGTCTGCAGCTTCATCTTGTGGCTTGCATCCTGCGCCGGGTTGAACCCTCGTCGCTGTGTTGCCAGCGGTCGCGGCGTTTATATTCAATTGTAGCAGTGCGATTCAACGCGACATCTGTAAGCGCAAGGTGCACACGTGTTTATAGGTGTGCATTTAAAAGACCAAATGGAGGCTAAATGCAGTGTAAGCCCGTGTGCTCCTCGCCCGCGAGCATGGGCATCTGGGCAAGCGGCAGCAACATTAAGCAGGTAAGGGTTAATTCAACTCACTCACCGCAAGTTATTATTTAACCTCTTTTTTTTACAAAAAAATAATGTTGTGTACAGATGAGACGGAGGAGCGATGGTGACCTGAACTCGTGTGCAGGTTCATGCGTGGACTGTGGAATGAGGCCTTCATCCAGCAGTGGATTTACCATAGCGATAATGAATGAATGAGTACCGGAGGGTATACTATTCGCTCATGTAGAGTATACTTTTACTTTTTCACGCCACGTCCTGTGCGTGGACATTAGATTTTTTTAAAGTTAATTTGTTTTTAGGCATGCCCTTTTCATAAGCATGGTATGATCACCCATCATACTGCTGTATGATAATAAACCAGGCCTAAAGTGGACGCTGCTTGTGTAAACAATGAATTGCAATCGTGCAAAAAACCCAAAGCAACGATCACTTCAAAACAAGTTATGGCAGAAACTAACAAAAATATCGAGCCCGTAGACTCGGCATTTAAAATACAAAGATTACTGAATGTTGTCAGCAGAGGGCAGTGCATAAAATTGTACTATATTATACGCCTTGCCTTAACCAACCCGCATTGACCTGCGAAATAAATGACGGCCAATTACTTGTGTTTAGTTTGTTGTCCTTCCCCCCCGCACCCCCGATTAGCACGGTTGGCTACGTACGGTGCGAAAGAAGTCCAACATATATACATGGCCTTTTGAATCTCCCTCTGCTCGCACGGTGAGGGAGGCCCTCGCCCAGCAGTGCTCTTGCACCACGTACACGACTTGCAGGATTCACGTGGCTGATGTTGACCAGGTTTGCAAGTGGGCGGTCACGGAGTCGCCCGGATACCAAGGGCTTGGCAGAGAAGAGGGGCATTGGAGTTGCCACAAGCCGGACTGCGGGTGTTATAGACCCACATCATCTGGTGAGGTTGCCGTCTCCTCTTCGATGCACCCGTCTGTTTACCTGCATCTGTATCGTAGGCAAGTTATCCGAAGCAGAAGTGTGTTGCAGACAACGAAGCACTTTAGTTAATCGTAATCACCATGGTCACTAAACTGACGTCATTTGCTTAAACGTAGCAATTAGATATCTCAATTAAGCTGGTTGACACTGAGGAGGAGCAAGTATCACAGTGGTGACGTGTACTGCTCTAAGAACACGGCCGCCTGAGTTTGATTCTCGGACACGGCCAGCGTCATTGTCGAATGATATCTAAATCGGTCTTGGGTCTCTCCCCCTTCACCAACCCGCACTGATGGAGTGTAGTACTGTGCAACCACCATGACCAACACGGCGATGGGATGCCCTCCCTCCAGCAGTTTATTGACACAGTATTACAGATGTGTGAGTATGGCATTAAAGAGAATTACAGTAATTGACTTATTCCTGTGAGGTGCATTAGCAGTGGAATATCACGGCAATAAGGATGACGCACTGAAGCGATAGTGCTTTGCTCAAATGCCACTCATACCTGCCTATCCACCGTCGACAGTATAGTTTGAGCCATGGGGAATTTACAAATATAAGCACCAGCCAAAAAGCCCAGAGGTTGGATAGATACAATTCTGAAACATGCCAGATATGGATGCAGTGTTTGGATAGGCAGCTATTGTACACTCCACGCATTCACAGTACAGATACTGTCTTTGTCAGGTACAAGAGGATGGATGAAAAGCTACCAGATTGATAAAACATTTCTAAACATCGTATCTTTCATCAGTTAAGATACTCCTTTGAATGTGCATTGAAAAGATTCAGTGAAAAAAAAATACATAAAAGCATATACTTTTCTGGTACAGTATTTCCAAAGTGATGAGCCATAGCATATTCGTGTTAATGATTAATGTATTTAAACACATGTTCTGTATGAGGTTTGTGTATCATCCAGAGTAACATCAGCCTACTATGTAGGCTTTGTAAAATGCTCTATATGGATTGGCCCCTTGTGTACTTGCCTGAAGACTAACTGGTGGTGTAATCTTGATTTGAAGCTTTCGGTGGTGTAATGGTTTTCTCCTTTTTAAACATGTTTGGAATAATCGTAGAAATTTTAACATTGCAGCGTATTGGGCTCTTTTCATTGTATTGTTTGTAATTATTTTGCAGCTAGTCCAAGCCCACGAGGCCAGCTTCAGTAAAATTTACACCCTAGAGCTGCATGCAGAAGGCATCAAGAAAATAGAAAACCTGGAAAAGGTCAGTGTCATCCTTGCATTTACAGAGGGTGCATTGCCTTTTTAAAGTTATAATCTTATACCTTGTCTTGGGTTCTTAAAAACACAATAATCATCATCCTCTAAAACTACAGTGGTGAATTTTCCAGTACTGTAATATAGCAAAAAATTATGTTAATAACAGTGGCAGATAATATGCAATAAGAATGAGTTACATGTATACCAAGCTTAATTAGTCATGCATCAATGCATAAATCATATTTTTTATGAATGTTAGAGATGCACTGGCACAGTGCTACAATATTTAAAGTTTCGTGACCTGTTTTATCCTAAGAGAATTGTCGCCATAATTCCCCCATTGCTTTCTTTATTTGACCATTTGAACAAAGGTGACTTCTTTTTGTTCCAGTAACACCGTAGTATACACGATACACAATACTTAACGAAGGAAGGTTACAGTGCAGTACAATTTGAATGTACCCTATAACACATTCCTGTGGAGGGAGCTGGTAGTAACGTTGGGTTGCTCGGTCAATGGCCAGGGTCAATGGCGGCACCACGTGGTGTATTCCGCAAATATGCCCGACTGTGAGGGCGGGCACAAGCCGGCGTGAGTAGGTTAAGCGTTGAGTTTTATAAGGGCACCACGGGGTGACCAGCTCCTCCCCACCCAGCCCCACCCCTCCCACCCCCCACCCACCCCCTCCCCACCCTCCCCACCCAGCCCCTCCCCACCCTCCCCACCCAGCCCCTCCCCACCCTCCCCTCCCTATCCAGCCCCACCCTCCCCACCCAGCCCCCACCCTCCCCACCCAGCCCCTCTCCACCCAGCCCCTCTCCTCCCATTTTGGATGCACGACGGACGGATGGACACAATAATCCCCTGTGGGCTGGTGTAACCAGGAGGTTCCTACCAGTATAACATGGAATGTAACTACACCTTAAGACGCTATACATAAACAGTGGGCGTATGTAAGGCAAAAGGGAAAAATGAAGTTATTGAGCCTGGACTTGAACAGGGACCAAACGTGTGGTGTATGCACAGTTTACACGGCTGAGGTCATTGGACCTTTCCTGCAACTGCATCAAGTCTATTGAAGGGTTGGAGCACCTGAAAGACCTCAGGGAACTCAAGTTGTATGGAAACAAGATAACCATTATTCAGAACCTCAGCCGGTAAGACGTGTGTGCATATGCTTGGTGGTGCAGTGTAAGATAATGTTCTGTCTATATGTACAATGTGTACCCCGTGCTGTAGACATAGAATAGCATCATAGTTGTTATCCTCCTGCAATTGAATTGAATATTGACTTCATACCAGTTGTTTTAATTAGTGTATAAGGACAATTTGGGATATAAACTTATGCATCACCACCGGTTTTTTTACAGTTGTGCACTCTTTGGGAAAGTTCACAATTCAATACAATGTGTGTTTATTAAGTGTGTAAAGGTGACCACATCTTAGAATGCTGTTCAGAAAAATTAATATGCTACATGAGATTATGGGAAACAGGAGGTTAGGAACTGGAGGATGTAACATTGGTGCCTTGTGATGGAATAAAACACTAGGATAGGTAGATGGGGGAAGAGGAAAGCATAAGATTCCTGAAGAGAAAATTGAGCTAACAGTGTAAATGGTCAGATGAAAGAAATCCAGTGTTATAACAGCGGGTTTTGATAGGTTTGTGTTGCTGGTTTATATTCACAGGATGGTGAGGAGATAAACATATTGGAGAGTTAGACAAGAATAAGTTGATGCGGGATTTTGAGTCAGATGAAAGCATATATTTTAGTTGATTGAGATAGGATTGGTAGCTCATGGTGGGATCTGAAGATTGGGGTGATGTGGTCTTATTTAGATGTGTGGGTACAGAGCAGCTGTGACTTTGGGGATAAAGGTTTTTTTGCAGAGGTGAATTTAATATTATTTATGATTTTATGACCCAGGTAATGCTCGGTGAGTCTCAGGAAGGTCCTACCAAGTTTTCACATAAGGGTTGACAATTGCTGTGTTCCTTGACTATATAATTTGCTAGTGATTTATAAAATATGGGCAATTTTGACCATGGTGCCAGCACACAATGGCTTTATTTTCTTTGAATGACATCACAGCATCTGTAATGTTCGTTGCTAAGCAGACGGCACACATTTTATGGTTAAATCACCCACAGTATTAACCACGGTGGCATTCTGGAATCGAACCACAAACCTCTGCAATAGATAGTAAATGTGCTACCAGCAAGCCTTGTCACCACCCCATGATTGCATACGTGACCATTTTGTTATTGAGCAGCTTTTGTGAATTTCCATATTTTTTCAGGCTCAATGAACTTCAAATTTTACATCTCCAACACAACCAAATCATCAAAATAGGTAACTGATTACACGAGTATATTGTGTTTCATATATATTTCTTTTACATCGTTAATAACCACTTGGTTTCTTCATTAATTTATGTTTCTATACCTAACCCCTACCGTACTTGCAGTCAAACTTGAGGACACTGCATATGAGTGTGTGATTTTTTGCATAAAATCTATTTTTGTTTCATCTGCCATGACATAATAATAATAATACATTCTTTGCTCTGAGATATACATCTTAAGTTATATTCTAGCTTGTATACATTCTACCTACATTATCTAAGCTGACAAGCATATGAGAAAAAAACAAGATACAGTACAATAACGAGTGCGTCATCAGTTATAATCTGTCATTGAAAAACAGACGTGGTATTCCATATGTGTTGCAGTTCTATAATTGATGATTGTTTTTTTACCCTTTTATCTGGCAACAAAACTGACACCTTTTTTTACAAAGAGTCATGTTTGCATTGACCACAATACCTGCGGTCGGAATGCAAACAAAAAACATAACTCTGATAATGTATGCACTGTCCTTGAAATTGATTGGTCCACACCCGAGACAGCTTTCCTTAGAGCCTAGTCTCACATGGTGTTGGACCAGATGACGCCAAAAGGCGCACAACTCAAAGACAATCCACCATCAGAGTATGAGAGCTCGGGGTAAGAATTTATGATAATTATCATATTTTGCTACTGGCAAAGGAGGTTCCAATGAGTTCTATCATTGTTTGCCACCCTCACATTTGCGTTGAAGTTCCTTTCACTTACACTGTTGTGTTGCACTACGTGCACGCGTGCATAGGCACCGCTTTGGAAGGCAAGCAGAAGTTAAAGGAGTTGAGGCTGGACAGCAACCGTCTGTCCCAGCTGTCGCCCAAAGAAGTGGCTCAGCTGAGCAGCCTGCACACACTCGATATCAGCCACAACCAGCTTACTGACATCACGGTGAGTGGCTGCACAGCTTCGGCAGGGACGCTGCTGCTTTGCTCATACAAACGAACAGTTAGTTGGCTGCATGTTGACGGTCATTTGTGAGTTATTTTTGCTTAGTGTAGAATGGGTACTGTAAGTGCACAACACTTGATTGCACACGTGCAGAAGGAGCTTCTTTAATCAGCGCTGACTCCGGTGCTGCTGTTGGTGGATTTTATTGTCCGTGCTTCTCTGCGCATTTTCTTCCTCTAATCCACGTGCACAACCTTGGATAATTCAAGTAACAGGATTAAATTACAATTTTTGGTCATTTGTGGTAAGGTCATATCTGCAGATAAGCACAGATAAGTGGATATACTTTTGCATAGATCTGTAAATCGAGTCAGGGCACATTTAATGAGAAGAGCAGATAATATGTAAGTGAATGTACATATATACACTTTAGCATGTATAAGTAGGAGTGTGTATTTTTACAGAGCACATTCTACCAAATCTCAAATTTCTGTATTGGCTGTCCGTCCATTTGAACGTTGACTGCCATCTGCAGTGGCTGTCTCCCTTACTTTATGCATTTCTCCATCCCATTTTTTAAATACAACTAAAATAATATTTCTTCTCTGTTGCATGTACCTTATTGGCTCTGTAAAAACGTTATTCCAATCTCCCTCTTCTCATTCATAATCCTGTTTTAATATTTTTTTAATAAACAGATTTATTGTAAAAGTCCATGTGTGTTTTCCACACTTAATCAGTTGTCTCTGTTTGCATGTTATAGTTGTGCGCATTATCCAGAAATATATTTTCTACTTGATTTGCTTTGTAAAAACGTCATTGTATTGTATGGACCCTTAGGCGGTGTCTGTTCTGCCGAGTCTTGAAGAGCTCCAGGCATGTGGAAATCAGCTGAGTGACATCCCAGGGCTCAGCTGCTGTGAGCAAGTAAGTGTGGATCTTCTTCTCTCCTTCAGTCAAATTATTGTATTTGATACCACATTGTTACACCAGGGCTAGCTCATGTAGAGAGAACATGCATAACAATGTGCAGTTTTTGGTAAAAATAAATAAATCGATACAAAAGAGTGGTATTCCAAACTAACCTCTAAATCATCTCAAAGTCTCCTGTAAATCACGTGACTTCTGTGTGGCCACCCCCACTCTGAATCCCTCCCCTCTCTCCACCCCCTGTGAGAACAGATGCTCCTACCTTCAGTGTTGAGACCCTTATGTAGCCTCTTCCTTCCTATCCTCATCTTTCCTGACCCATTGGTCACGTTTTTTCATTCCCTTTCCATCCTTTTCCCCTTATTTTCCTATCCTTTCTCATATATTTCCATGCATTATATCCTTAACTCTTCTCCCCATGGTGTACCACAGGTAAAACATTGTAAGTGGAATATAAAACGGATTAATAAAGTATTGAATGAAATTAACATGTCTATTGTCTATTGTTAAAGGAACAGCAATTGCTGGGTATGAAATACGTATTACAATGTAGAGGATCATTTATTTGTCCATTTATATGTCAGGAAGGGCACAGCTGAGAGGCACGGTCCATTGTTGACAGTGTGTGCCCCCTTGCTGGCATCGACATGAAATGCCATGTGTGACTTGCATTGCAGCTGAAGGTTCTGGACCTCTCCGACAACAGAATAACACAGGCTGTTCATCAAATCAGCCTTCCCAAGCACCTAAATGTGAGTCTGGTATTCATTGTAATGTACTTACATGGCGGTGCTTTGCTCTCCTAAATAACTTTATAGATTATACGTGTAATCAGCAATAACCTGCTGGCTTTATGTGTTAAACCGTTTTATTTATTTGTGTTACCTGGCCAGGAATAATGCTCTAATATGAAAATACCATTGCGAATCCTGTGACTCGCAACTCTTTATTATTGTTATCGTAATTTGATGGGCACATCTTGTTTATTTTGTGACAATGCTTTTCCATAATATATTATACTAGACCAATGCATGTCTTACATAACAGTATATGAATTGACACACTTGTTCTGATCTTATTTTGGTTTACCACAAAAAGTTAACAGTTTTTCATCACTTTTTCATCACTTACCATCATTATCGTGATCCCGTTAACCATTTTTATGATAGTTCTAAGCCTTGTTCCAATGTTGACTATCTAAATTACACAACTCCACGTAGAAAACATGACCACTATGTAGTGCACTGTTGTACGAATGCATGAAATATGTTATGCTTGTAACGTGATTGTGTTTTTTGTTGATTGGTATCCTGCACAGGCACTGAATCTATCAGGAAATGTTCTAAGTAGCCTTGAATCGTTTGGAATCTTAAGGTGAGTGTCATGAGCACTGGTGCTGCATTTTAATGTGTTTGCATACCCAGTTTCCTATTTCTGCAAATAGATATAATAATCCACTGTACAACAGAAGGTAGACTCTGGTAAAACAAAAGCTCACTTCTAGATTTGAAGCTTTCGTGACTGCAAGGATCCATACTCTTTGGTTCTATTCGGTAAAGTCATGCTGTCCTCATGACATCACGGTCCCTTCACCTGATGAAGGCCACTTGTGTTGTGGCCAAAACGTCGTGATTTTTGTTATTTTATTTTTTACTTACGTGACTTTACCGAATAGAACCAAAAAGCTCACTTCCCCATGACATTGTAATTCCTGCAGGGTGAAGCTGTCATGTGAGGAAATGTTGCCGTTAGAATTCAGTAATGAGTAGTCGAGCTCTGATGGTTGGCACGTCGCACGTGCACCCACGACATGTAAAGCGGCACAGCAGTTGTAACCTAACAAAGGCCGATCTGCAGTAGATTTGGAATGGGTGTAATCAAAGCGGTTACAGATACAGTAGGTGGCTCGCTCCAATTTAACACCTCACATCAGGGCATGCCACAAAGGTCTTTCCAGAGTACTTTAGTAAAGACACGTGTAGAATGTAAATGTGAGGCGTGCCAGAGGGGACCTCGTTTCACTCATAGCCCTGTGAATGTCTTCACTTCGTACAGACAACACAACAGTGAGTCTCACCGATTTATTTTCAGGTGCGGGTTAGGTTAACCATATTATAAACACCGGTGTACACCATACTGTAAACACCGCTGTACACCATACTGTAAACACTGGTGTACACCATACTCTAAACACCGGTGTACACCATACTGTAAACACCGGTGTACACCATACTGTAAACACCGGTGTACACCATACTGTAAACACCGGTGTACACCATACTCTAAACTCCGGTGTACACCATACTGTAAACACTGGTGTACACCATACTGTAAACACCGGTGTACACCATACTCTAAACACCGGTGTACACCATACTCTAAACACCAGTGTACACCATACTGTAAACACCGGTGTACACCATACTGTAAACACCGGTGTACACCATACTGTAAACACCGGTGTACACCATACTGTAAACACCGGTGTACACCATACTGTAAACACCGGTGTACACCATACTCTAAACACCGGTGTACACCATACTCTAAACACCAGTGTACACCATACTGTAAACACCGGTGTACACCATACTGTAAACACCGGTGTACACCATACTGTAAACACCGGTGTACACCATACTGTAAACACCGGTGTACACCATACTCTAAACACCAGTGTACACCATACTGTAAACACCGGTGTACACCATACTCTAAACACCGGTGTACACCATACTCTTTGGTTCTGGTGTACACCATACTCTACACACCGGTGTACACCATACTCTAAACAGTGGTGTACACCATACTCTAAACACCGGTGTACACCATACTCTAAACACCGGTGTACACCATACTCTTTGGTTCTGGTGTACACCATACTCTAAACACCGGTGTACACCATACTGTAAACACTGGTGTACACCATACTTTAAACACGGTGTACACCATACTCTAAACACTGGTGTACACCATACTGTAAACACCGGTGTACACCATACTCTTTGGTTCTGGTGTACACCATACTCTTTGGTTCTGGTGTACACCATACTCTAAACACCGGTGTACACCATACTCTAAACACCAGTGTACACCATACTCTTTGGTTCTGGTGTACACCATACTCTAAACACCGGTGTACACCATACTCTAAACACCGGTGTACACCATACTCTTTGGTTCTGGTGTACACCATACTCTACACACCGGTGTACACCATACTCTAAACAGTGGTGTACACCATACTCTAAACACCGGTGTACACCATACTCTAAACACCGGTGTACACCATACTCTTTGGTTCTGGTGTACACCATACTCTAAACACCGGTGTACACCATACTGTAAACACTGGTGTACACCATACTTTAAACACGGTGTACACCATACTCTAAACACTGGTGTACACCATACTCTAAACACCGGTGTACACCATACTCTTTGGTTCTGGTGTACACCATACTCTTTGGTTCTGGTGTACACCATACTCTAAACACCGGTGTACACCATACTCTAAACACCAGTGTACACCATACTCTTTGGTTCTGGTGTACACCATACTCTAAACACCGGTGTACACCATACTCTTTGGTTCTGGTGTACACCATACTCTAAGGCCGGTGTACACCATACTCTTTGGTTCTGGTGTACACCAGTTAATATTTGATGAGCTAAAAACAGCAAAGCAAAGGTTGCGTGTGCAATGTTTATTGCAAAGCAGACAGAGATTCAGAGACAGAAACACAAATTGATAAGACACACGGAAGTGTATAATAAAAAATGACGAAAACTTTTTATTTTGCTTATTGCTGAATGTGTGTATGTTGTAAGCACTAATGCAAACCATTACTTTAATAATGCAATTGTAGGTAATGCGATAACCATTTCAAATAAAAACTAATTGTCAAGTATGTATAAGATGTAATTGATCAATTCATCAAAATTGGCAGCTCTATCCCTGTTTATGTTTGTGTGTGTATATAGTGACTTTCACCGTCTCACCTTGTAGTCTTTTGCCGACTGCCGAGTTGTCTCTGTGCACAAGTTTCCTCACGGGGTCACTGAGCGATTGCAGCTGTGCCCTCTTGTTTAATAGGTAGTAAGTGGCATTGGTGGAGGAATCGTGCCCATTTCGACTTAAAACTCCCCATGCTACAAAGTTCTTTAATTTATTTTAACCATTTGTGGAGAAGTCTTCCTGTTTCGTTCCTTAAATAGAGCGTAGATGTAATGACACCACTTGTCCGCTCTTCTCCACAAATCTGGCTGTCGCCTGATGAAGCTAGCTGTAATTACTGGCGAAACGTCGTACTCAGATTGTAAATGTTGTGGCTTTGCTCTCCAACACACCAGTGTGTTGTACTAGTAATGAATTGGCATGTTTTGTTTACATGACAAACCTTACTAATTGGCTGTGTCGGGTGGTGGCCGGTTTAATGACACATTTATATATTTACGCGATCTAATCTAAATTTAGTTTTTATTATGGCTGTTCATACTTGTCACCAAATTATTTTAATTAATTTTTTCGTTCCAGAACAAATTTAATTTGAATTTGCTTTTCAGTTCAAGAAAATAAGTAGTTAATTCCGTAGAATAAGAATAAAATAATAAAATAAGACAATAAAATTCTCACGACGTTTCGGCCACAACACAAGCAGCCTTCATCAGGTGAAAGAACAACTGTCGGGACGGCAGTGCTCCAATGAGCATTGTTAAGATTCGTAGCATCTTTTTAAGCTCGGTGAGAGGCGTGAAACCTCTTGACAAAGGAGTTTAAGTATCAAAACAGGAGAATTTAGCATTGAAATAGCTGAGGGATTAGCTTGTGACAGAAATAGCTATGTTAAAGTCAGAGTTTACCTATCAACAGAGGCATTAGTATATGGACGCTAAAGGCCTCCAACTACCCAACTATCATGCTGTAAACCGATGTGAAAATAACTAAGTCTATATTACATAATATAATAAATGTACTTAATATATTCTTCAATAAACTGGGCTATTAATCACAAAGGAACTGGGTATACAATACACTATATGAGTGTCTTTTAAGCTCGGTGAGAGGCATGAAACGTCTTGACAAAGGAGTTTAAGTATCAAAGTAGGAGAATTTAGCATTGAAATAGCTGAGGGATTAGCTTGTGACAGAAATAACTATGTTAGAGTCAAAGTTTACCTATCAACCGAGGCATTTAGTATATGGACGCTAAAGGCCTCCAACTACCCAACTATCATACAGTAAACCGATGTGAAAAACTGGGTCTGTATTACATCAATATAATAAATGTACTTAATATGTTCTTCAATAAGCTGAGCTATTAATCACATGGCAAATAGGTAAGGTAATGCCAGCGAAAGAGCTGCGGTCTGACGGTCACCGTAAGATACAATTAATTAAGAACCGAAATGGTTTAAAACATCTTTCCAATGGTTACTAAGCCAGAATCCATCTTCTCGGTTGAAATGGTCTCTGTTCTTGTATATGTGGATGGCCTCATGAACGAATCTCTCATGGTAGCCGGTTGGCTTGCTAATCCCTCAGCTTAGTTATTTTCTCATCGGTTTACTGTATGAAAGTTGGGTAGTTGGAGGCCTTTAGCGTCCATATACTAAATGCTTCTGTTGATAGGTAAACTCTGACTTTAACATAGCTATTTCTGTCACAAGCTAATCCCTCAGCTATTTCAATGCTAAATTCTCCTGTTTTGATACTTAAACTCCTTTGTCACCTGATGAAGGCTGCTTGTGTTGTGGCCAAAACGTCGTGAGAATTTGATTGTCTTATTTTATTTTATTATTTTATTCTCATTCTACGTGACTTTACCGAAAGAACCAAAGAAGATGAATCCTTGCAGTCAGGAAAGCTTTAAATAGAAATTTAGTTAATTCCGGTTTCCAGTTCAACTCTCATTTACATACTGAAATATTATATACAAGTACAGTGGTACCTCGGTATATGTCGTTAATTCGTTCCAGAAGGGGGAAGACTTATACCGGAAGTGACGTCTACCAAACGAATTTTTCCCATAATAAATAAAGGGAAAGGAAATAATCCGTTCCAGAGTATAAGAAATGACATTTTATATGGCATATTATATATTAATGGGGTTGCATAAGATAATTTAGTCACTACTTATTACTGAAATGCATACATTAAAATAAATGCATAAATAAAATTAATTGAAATAAAATTTAACATCCCTTTACCTTGCTGAGAGTTGATAGCCTACGAGGATGGTGGTGGGGAAGGGGGGAAGGAGGAGATGTTATTTTTTTGAAGGAGAGTCCCCTTCCATTAAAACTTCAGGAAGCTGAAATTCTGGGGTTCTTTCTCTTTTCTGTCTTTTTCTTGACTTGAACGTGGTCGAGGCTCACCAGGTTTGAGTTTTACTAAAAACCTGTCCATTGAATTTTGATTTTGCCTTCTAAGATTGTTCCTGAAGTGTGACATTGTCTGGTCATTCCACACAATACTGTTACGGCTTATTAGAGCCGTAACAGTATTGTGTACGCGGTGACTCATCCCGACCCATACAAGTTCTAGCAAGCGCGTCGTATCCCAAGACTTTTTTTCTCGTCAAAACACGACATATACCAAATTCTACGTATTCCAAAGCGGTCGTATACCGAGGTATGACTGTACTAATTTGATGTCTGCCGTTTCCCAGCTCCTTGCAGGACCTTGACTTGTCATGCAACAAGATACAGACTATAGGAGACATTTCTGAGCTGTTCCCTCTTCTGGAGACATTGAACATTGCAAACAATTTGGTCAGCTCTTGGCAAGACCTGGTATGTGCCTTAATGTTACTTGAGCTCATGAACCTGCAGTAATAGTCAGTCTAACAGGTGCTTCTATTTTTGAGCACAGGGTTAATAAAATCAAATGATTGGGTTTGTGTTTCCAATATTGTTTCATGACCATTTGACATCATAAATGTTTAATCGTCACACGAACGATTTGGTGTTGGCACACAGGTGGCTACGATTGCATTTGAACCAAATAATAATCATAAACTGTCACCCATCCACCCTAAAAATAATTTGTTTTTAATATTAAACACAAGCTGGTGGTGCTCTCAGCGATATGAAATGGTTCCAGTAAACATGTCCTTACAAATATTTTTTCACCTCTTTTGTATCCTTCAGTGTCAAATATGTAATAACAACGCACTTTAATTACCCAGGAAGTTCTCACCGACCCTCAACTTGTTTTTAACTTGGGCCTGCCGTGATGTGATTGGCCAATTCTATTAACAAGTGTTAGTATGTGGAAGGAAACTAGAATACCAGAGAAAGAGCACATAAAAGGTATAAGTCATAGGTCTGCAGATGGATTCAAGCTAGATAGACTCAATAGTATTCCTCTGTAAACTGAATGCATTACTGTAATGTCATAGACTTGTTCCTGTAGTAGGAACAATTCCATTAACATCTCAGGGCTATGAGCGCCTTACATTTATTAGGGTGAGCAGAAAACCACGGATTTTTAATGATTAAACTGAACCCTGGTTACAGGGATGCCACATAAATATTATGCGTAACATATATTTGTTGTTCACCAAAACTGGTGGTGGAAGTGTGTACATCCGAAAATGAAACATTCGCCATGCTTTTGAGTTCAAAATGTATTCTCAGTTGGCACCTCTGAATGAATTAATGACGCCTGCACAGCAGTCATAATTTTTTGGCTATTCAGAAACTTTTAGGCAACTGCATGAACTTACTGGAGCTGTGTGTGAATGGAAATCCAGCAATCACATCCAACATTGAGCACAGCAGGTACGTTGGACTCATCTCTACAGTGCACAGCATGTGGCTGTATGACATGAAACTGCGAAAAGTTCCACAACACTTCTAAAGTCGTCTTGTTGTGACAGGTATCAGCAGGAGCTCACCAAGATCCTCCCACATGTGGAGATACTTGATGGGGTAATATTTAAATATTACTACCTTTTTATACAGGAAAGTTTTGATTTGAAGCTTTCGTGACTGCAGGAATCCATACTCTTTGGTTCTTTCGGTAAAGTCACGGTAGAAAATAAATCACGTTTTAAAAGTCTTCCACAGCAGCAGACCATGCTTTCCCACCTGATGATGGATGCTCGTGTTGCGCCCGAAACGTCGTGATTTATTTGATTTATTACCTACGTGACTTTACCGAAAGAACCAAAGAGTATACAGGAAAGCTTAACTGGCACATCTTACATTGGCATGTTTGGCCAATTTGTTTTAACGAGTATTATGGGATTTCTCCAATGATATAGATGATGACGGTCATGGTCAGTAATGATTGCAGTAACAGCAATGAGTAGTGATGACAAGAGTACTGATTATTACATTCCTAATAATGGTCCTGATGAAACTGTACTTGCCAGGTATCAGTCACATCAAAGCAAGAATCCGCAGCCATAAACGCGAGGCCAATGACTGCCAATAGTGGTAAGATTCTTGGTACTAACCTCAATTTTGTCAACATGAAAAAAACTAGTTGTGTACTTTTACGGTATATTTTTGTATGTAGATATAGCAGTTTTCCTTCATGGCACTGGAAGCGTTGCTTTTATGAGTGTGTATTTGGCAAAGGTGTCAATACAGAATTGTTCTGCATCTAACTTTATTTTTAATTCCTGCCAGCAATGATTTCTCAGAAACTTGTGGGACAGATGGAGTCTTTGGAAGGGCAGATGGAAGCCACACTCGGGTCTCTCCAGCAGAGGTCTGTTTCGTAAACTGAAATAAAATAAACCACAGGACATTTTAATATTGTTGCAATTATTTGCACATCGGTTGGAATTTGACATTTCCCACCTCTATATCGGTTGCTTCAATGGCACAGCCAATAAAAAAAGCTAAGCATTTAATAAAACGAATATGTTAAGTTTTTTTAATAAAATATGCATTAAATATTTTTTTAATGTCATTTTATAATTAGTAAGATTATGCACGAGTTCGTATGTTGTAAATATATAAAATATTTTTTTTATAAAAACAGTTAATAAAATGATCCAAGACCAGGAAGAATATAACTTTTCTGCAGCGAGGTGAATGTTTGGTGCCTTGTGGTTCGAAGACCTATAACACGTGACCCACTTCGTTCAACGCAGGTTCAATGAAGTCAGGTGCCTTGTCGTGAACTCATTACCCCAAGTGTCACCACCCAGACCAACATCAGGTGGGGAACTGTTTTAACACATCGGGGTTTTGCTGTTAATATCCACGAATGTTTTAATATTAACAACGCAAGCGGGAACTCCCATACTCTGGGCATAGGGTTGCCAACTCTTGACTGAGGCTATTCTGGGAGATTTGTTTTACCTCAACATGAAGTATTGGCATTACGCTGCAAAGGGAAAGAAAAACGCCATCAGATGACACCGTTACGTTTTAAAAATGTATCTTCTGTATGAATTGTGCATTCAATTGATATATTTATAAATATTCTATTGAAATCTCACAGATTGCATGTTGAACTTCCTTTGCATCGTACGTAGCCAACCGTGATAATCGGAGGTGCTTTTAAATAGTTTTTGTTTAAGTTCACGTGAAATCAATGTTAATTCCAATCAGACTCCTGGCCAATCCAGGATTGGCAACCTTATCTGGGCACTTCATGGAGTCCACTAAACAGTAAATTGTGCATATTTAAATATGGGCTCTTAAAAATCATCTAGTTTTCATTAATTTGTATGTGTTGTTTGATTAATACAATATGCTGTATCTCATTCACACCGGCAGTACCGATTCGCATGCCTTTGACCGGAGGCACATTGCAGCACTTTTAATGTAGTGAACACTATCAACCTCACTCGACATACCATTACCAATTAACCTCACCATTTGCAGTCCACTCTTTACTTTTAGAACATGGAATGCTCTTGCCAATAATTGCTTATAACCATGAGCATGTAACAAGCCCAACTGCTGACAAGATGCCGGTTGAACCAGTCGGTTTTTTTTTGCTTAAACAAATGCGACTGAACAATATTAGTAAGGACCGATGGTCTAATACATATATATTTTTTATTTATACGAGCACTGCTCATTTGTCCAGGATACACGTTCCGAGTGGAGGGAGGCAGGACATCAGCATGCACGAACCTGGCTCTACACTGGATATCACACAGATGTGGTCAACCATACACTAGCAAAACTTTTGTAATGTAGCACGATTTAAAGTCAAAACGGAGCAATGTGTATATGTTTAGACCTATATCCAGTGCGCAACCACACATTGATAAGAGCTTTCAGTGTTTTTTTTTTTACGCAGGACCAAGTAACAATAAGGAAATGGAGTCATCCAGGCCTTCCAGCCAGTGCAGCAGGTAAGCACGGTGACATGCAGATAGGGATAAGTATTTTCTGCAGGCCTGATGAACATCCGGAGAAATCTCTCCATAGTTTTTTTTCCGATTTAAAGCTTTCGTGACTGCAAGGATTCATCTTCTTTGGTTCTTTCGGTAAAGTCATGTATAATGAGAATAAAATAATAAATTGATAAAATAAAATAACACAATATTCTCACGACTTTTTGGCCACATGCGCGGCCTTCATCAGGTGAAGGGACTAGACTGTCCGGAGGATAGCGCTGTCACTCTCCATAGTTAATTTATACTGGTAGGAACGAAGTTGTAAACTGAGTGTACCAGCCTGCAATAGATTAATGTGTCCGTCCGTCCCCTTTCAATACTTTAACGAAGTGAAATCTCGTGCTGTTGGGTGTAAAATCAGAAATAGACAGCGCAGAGACTTGTCCTACCAGCCCACCCTGCAGGGACCTGTTAGTTCCTCTCAAGCAGTGGTTGCTGCCAGACCATACAAGAATAAGCTTTAACATGCCAGGCTATCACAATTTCAAGAGCCTGCATGATGTAAAAGGGAATGTTTTATTATGCAAGATTTGAAATGTTTCCAGCCATATATACTTTGCAAAATATTCTGTGTGCAGTCGTAAACGCATAGAAGACGCTAGAAAGTTTGCAGCAGATCACGACGGACAAGCTTAACTGCGTTTGACAACTGGATCAAGTTTACATGAAATTCGTTGGTAAGTTTTGCAAACCAAGCCAAAACAACCCATTGTTTTGGTAAAAATAGCAATTCGATTTCTAAACGTGCCATGCTTGTGGGTCTTTCACTTTCCAGTGTAAACCAACATCTTCATTATGCAACAAACTTTCAAGACAGGACCACAATTAGTTGAAAACTTTATTGAAATACTCCCAAGTTTCTTGCAAATTCAGTATGGGAATAAACAGAGAAATCGTGCCAAGTTATGCATGACAAATACATCAATGCTGGTCTTTTATAATGATGCAATCACAAGTGTCCGCATATTTAATTTTACCACCCTAACAAGTACTAAAGTTTGTCTTGAACATCTGGATCAAGCCTTGGGACAGGGTGCCTATTCCCACCGACTGTAAAAAGATGCAAAAGACAAATCTGATGCTTCCATGGGAATTTCTCGCATTGTTACATTTTGCCAAAGGTAACTAATGAAAACAATCTCACAAACATCTAATTACACCCCCCCCACCGAGAAAAAAAACCTTGTCACCACCGTCTGTAAAGTGGGGACTAATACCTGTATTGATGTCAATATGAATATTCACAAAAGTTAATATTTCCCCTCCCCCCCCCCCCCCCCGAAATCCACTCTTTAGCAACCATTATTTTAACGGAATATAAAAAAATTGGTGCGACTGTTTTCATCAGACACCACTACGGTGTAGGCTGCACCACGCACAAATGCATAGCAGTCAACTCTTTGACAAAAGCACACAGACAATACACTTACCGATAAAAAAGAAAGGAAAACCACCAAGCAAAAATGCTGTCAAGTGAGCGGGTGGAGTTGCCGAATCATGCAGCGTCACAGACTGCTTTGTGAAACGGTGCTCAAATCTTCACACATCGATAACAAACAACACCAATGAGCAGCCCCGTGGACGCCCAAGTCGGAGCAGGTTGCACATCTAGAAATCGTGACAGTGGTATTTTTCCAGGTTGTAGTACTGTGTCACGACCACGCGGTTGGCGAACTTGCGGCCGCTCAGCGCCTGCTGAGCCCTCTGGCAGTCGAGTAGTGACGCAAACTCCACAAAGATCTGTTAAAGTGCAGAGAAGGCACAGGGCATGAAGTTTGACGATAAATCAAAGCCAGTACGATGGATCAGGTCTATTTTTTAAATAAAACTGCATGGTATAAATAACCTGAAGCCTCATTAGGCTCTGCCTTTGACCTCAGGTTTACCCAATACCAGTAAACTACATTGCATGACTTTAGTTCACAAATCTTTTTATGTAGTTCAGGGCATAGGTCTTAAATCGCTCACTGTCAATACCATAGGTCCCTGGTTCCTTCAAGCCTAAGTTCCTTTCTGCGATTTAAATATTACTCGAGAAAATCTGACTGACAAGACCTGCAGATGGACGAATTAAATGTAGACATTGTTTAATGTGCATTAAATGTAGACATTGTTTAATGTGCAGATAGCAGTGTAGGTTGCAGCAGCAGGCTGTACATCAGGTGTTAATAAGGGACAGCAGCGTGTGCACCCTCACCTTGCCGCATCCCGGGATGTCGAGTCCGTTGACGGGTCGCGGGATCTCTACGGAGCGCACGGATCCATACTTGCCGCACTCCTCACGGATGTCCTCCAAGATGTCCTCGTATTCCTCGTCGTCCACCAACTCCTCAGGGGTCACCATGTTCATGAGGCACAGCACCTCTGTGGGCAAGCCGCTGTGCTGCACCTGGCTCGATGCCAGCCCCGGAACCTGCAGTGTCACGGGCGTCTGCACCACCACCGTCTGTTGGTGTGCACGCACGCACACGCAAGGACAGGTGATACTGTTCATTGTTGTTAAAGTTCGTTTTGTCAGTGGCTGTCCAAATTTAAGTTGACTGAAGACTTGTTTTCTCAAAACTGTAATTATAAAAAAAAAACTTTTTAAAAATTATATTCTTAAAAGTCCATTCAAAATAAAACCACTCATCATTACATTAAAAAATGTGTACATCAATATGCTTGTCCTTTAACCACGAGTGTTATTATGGCTTTAACCTTTAGATTAACCAAATGCATCTTTTTTGGTTCTTTCGGTAAAGTCACGTAGAATGAGAATAAAATAAAAAACAAATTCTCACGACGTTTTGGCCACAACACAAGTGGCCTGCTTCAGGTGAAAGGAACAAACCTGTCGGGACGACATTCCACACCGTCTGTACATTGTAGCTGTCGTCCAGACAGGTTTGTTCCTTTCACCTGAAGGAGGCCACTTGTGTTATGGCCAAAACGTCGTGAGAATTTTATTGTTGTATTTTGGTATTTTATTCTCATTCTACGTGACTTTACCGAAAGAACCAAAGATGATTCCTTGCAGTCACGAAAGCTTTAAATCGAAATTTAACCAAATGCAATTAACGTTTCCAATTATAGACGAAGTTAGGTGACCTCTACTTACAAAGACTCCCATTTTTGTTGAAGGCAGTTTTTACACCACGAGTGGCACTCACTGAAACTGGCTTCCCCAGTCTGATCACGAGCACTTTAAAATGAACGTCTAAAGTTCAACCTCCAAATGGTAAATTTAATGCAGGAATACAAACAATATTTTTCATATTGACAAATATATTTATCAAGCGCATCATAAGTCACGCATAGATCTTACTATTGTGTGCTTCTGTTTAAAATAATCTCAATAAGCGCATTAGCTGCAAGATTTTTTTTCTTTAAACAAACTCAATTCCCATCGATTCAACAGGTAGTGCATGTGCCATTCCGTGCCGTACTGTGTCAGGTGCTCCAAATACCGGGTTGGCATTCTTGGCCCCCACGCTGGCTCGCTGCACAATCAGCTTCTTGTCACCCAGCTGCATGCCATTCAGTCCTGCAATAGCCTGCACATTGGGAGCAGATTGACAGCGTGTGAGGAAGTCGGAGTGGCTGAATGCTCCCCTCTTGACTGGTGCTGCAACGATCGCTTTATATCACATGAGATTTAGCTCAATGAGAAAACGCTTACCTTTTCCCACTTAAAACTTTCAAAAATATGTAACCTGCAAACACGCACACTTTCGTATTCACACAAAAACCAAAGGCACCAAACTTTCTAAAGTCTAATTTAAAATTATACATGATATAAGGATGCTTTTGGAAGATTTATCTGCAAGGTTTTCATCCATAGGAAAGGCTATGATATGAAAAAAGTGTGAACCCAAAGTTCTCCTTTGGGCTTGGACAAAAATGACATTGGGATAAACAAAAGGCCTTGACAATTGTCAGTGGAATAATTCAAGTAGGCTACACAGATTCATTGGAATCGGGTGTTTGGCAGAGTATCCTTACAACTTGTAACGATGCCTTCTAAATAAAACAAACAGTTAAAAAACATTCTTCTTGTGCCATTTGGCAGGTAATGAACCAAAATGTACATGTTCCTCTGGATTACACTTTAAGCAAAGCAACATGTGTAAAAACATCAAAGCTCAGTTTGTACATTTGGTGTACATTTTGGGGTCAACGTCAGCACAATAATTAACATTTCCCTTGCCAGGGTCGAATCTAGTGAGAATAAAGGGACAAATCAACGCTTCCTAGGAAAATATTACCAGACAAGCAAGGCAACTCACCTGGTCGGTGACGTTGACGTCGGCGTACTCGCAAAAGGCGTAGCCCTTGGAGAAGCAGGTGGCACTGTCCTTCACCAAGTTGAAGGCCTTCAAAGGCCCGAAGGACGTGAGCAGCTCCTTGACCTGCCGAGTGAGGCACACGTACAGTCAGCAGGGGTTGAAGCGCTGGACACGAGCTCCACAGGAGGCAGATTTGTCGGCAAAGGTTATCAAAAACCAGCAGCATCCATGAAGCTGCCTTATATGCAATTAAGTGGGCTTTCATATGCAACATGAATGTGCCAAGAATTTTATCATGCACACCTAGTTGCAGCCAAGCAATTTAACCGGATGGAAGAGCCAGCTATAAATATATGCATGGGTAATACAGGAGTGATGCATCTACATTTAAAATTAATGTATAAAACATTTGCATTGGAAATTAAATGCATGTGTATGAACAAACGAAAATCTATGTACCACACGAATAACTCTCGTTGCAATTGTGTAAATTACAATGCACTTGGCTTAAACTGACAGTTTGTATCGGCATATATTTTTGTGGACACATGAATGTTTTACCAATATCTTGCAAGGAAAATGTTGTGCTATGCAAATATAAAAGCCCACTTAAGTACCAGATTTTTAGGATTTGTAATGAAAAGCTTTAAAGTTTAAATATATTTAAATATTTTTTTAAAGTGTTGGGACTCGCCAAGAATATAGATGCAGTGCTTTACTGCGCATAAGTTTGCAACATTTTCATTGATGAGTGTAAAGTCCCAATCTTAGAGGTCACCCACTTAAGACCGTTTCAGAAAATAGTGCAGTTTTGAATAAAAAAAAGTCGCAATGTTGGGAAAATGTATATGCATATGCCATTTGTATGAAAATGTGGATGTGAAATGTGTACCTTAAGAGTGATGGTTTAACATAATAAATTTTACGCCCACGTTTCAGTGGATCGCAGTGGTGCCATGTTTTGCTCAGTGTGGATATTTATTCTAATCTACATGAGAAGATAAAGTATGCTCAAGTTGAAGTAAATATACTAAGATTCACCCTAACCATATCTAAATGTACTCTCACCAAAAGATATTTAATCTATTAAACTGTGCAATGCACACCAGAATAACACAAGCAAAAAAAAGGTATATTTAAAAGTATTTTTGCAGACAGTTATGGAAAGCAAAAGCTGTTATCCGGCGCTTTACCATCGGGAATGTTCTATTAACCGGCATCTGTCATAGATGGCAATACAAATCTTCCTTCACGTATCCGGATAAATCCAACGGCCATCCGGCATCTAGCCATGCGCTTATCAAAGATCCGTTGTTTACGAAAGCTTCAGGATGCTGGTGAGTAGTGGTGCTAGCGAAAGATGTACATACAGTACTGCAACTCCAATATGATACTCTAAACGGCCCCAATGCTTCACTACAATCAACTTAGAATGCTACAACTGTCTGGTGAGTACCTCTGTAAAAGAGGACATTTCTTATGTCGTACGTGGATATTTTGGTGAAAAAAAGTTTAAGTAGTTGGAATTTTTTTTATTTAACCATAAGTATAACTCTCAGATAACCGGCATATTTCATTAACCGGCACCCTCCATTCCTCATGGATGCCGGATAGAGCTTTTGCTGTATCTCTTTTATCAAGAAATGTAATTGTAACCGAGGTAGGGAACTAGAGCACCCCCAGTGCTTGCAGGCACCCCAAGAGCAGCTTTTATCTCAATCTCTGGGGCAATGAATGATTAGGCGTGTCACTGGGAGCAGAGATCTCCGCACAAATAGGGACACTGGCATAAATGTTCGTTGACAACCATCCATGGCTGTCTGTTTGAGGGTGCAAAAGCATTACGGTGGCATTGCTACGGTGTACTTAGGGCACAGTTGCAGTTTAAATCAACGTTATTACTACAGCCATTTCTCAGTGTAGTATTCGGCCAATTTAGCATTAGGGTGAATCAAAGCATAACTTTACAAAAAAAATGCTCAAACAACAAAGAGCTGCCAAAAATCCAACTTCCCCCATAAACAAAACACTATCCTAATTGAATTTGTAAACACTGATCCAGGCCACACCAAGTGAATCCTCCCACAATCCAAAATCCTGACCACCCCCATGATTGATTGTTCGATTCCTTTAGGGGGGAAGGGGCCAGAGGAACCAGAAGGCGCGGGCAGGTTTTGTTGGTGCCGGTCTACTTGCCTTTGTTAGCAGGCGGGTAGCACTGCCGCAGAGGGTCAAGTGCTACTGAACAAACGGTACTACGCGCCGCGACTTACGCTCTTACAGGCCCCTAGCTGGGGGATGAATTAGGGGAACAAACATAAAACAGCCATCAGTATCACAAACTGGAGGGAACACGTCTGAACACTTTCCTACACCGATTACATCGGCATTGATTATTGATACTTCTTTCGGGTTTACGGAACGTGCATGATGCAATGCGGCTTGAGAGCCCGCTTTTTATTAAGAAAATGCTACATTTCAGTGTCAATTGCTATATTTTTTACTCACAGCAGCATACAACATTATAATGCACGTTCCAGACTGGTAAGATCAATTTAATACTTTATGACCTATCTCTACAGAATGCACAGACGATTGATAATTATGTCCATACCTTATGATTTAAAAAGTCGCTAGTTAATGTCAATGGGGAATCTCACCGTTGGCGTACGATGCTCATTCAATGGAATTTCAAACCCTGTAAGCTGTGAAAAAACTGCTGAAAAAGAACACTCAGGCTCCAGTTGCAGAGAAGGCCCTGTATTTGGAGAGCTGCAATTTAAAACTCTTAAATGGCTGTTCAGATCCAAAGAAACCTAAAAACACAGCGATGCCCCGGCTTCTAGCACAGAGCCCTAAAAGCACCTGTAACTCAACAAGGAGGGGTGGGGGGGGAAAATAAAAAATAAAAAAAGTGCGGGGAAAGAAAAGTATTCTTGGCCGCCCCTAAAACTTGACCCTGGATAACAGAACACCACGATCGCGCGAAACTGTACGCCCTTGTGAGACGGATCCAGGTGCAGCGAGCCCTTACCTTGCTGAAACACACAAACTCAGGGAGAAAACACATTACCTGCACGTCCTTCCCATGCCCACTGTTGTGTGGTCTTCTTTTATTTAACTACGCGCCCCTTGGAGGCAAGTGGGGGATCGAATGCGTGCATGTGTGCTAACACGTGTGCATACAGCATATTAAAGAGTGCATGCTTCATGGGTGTTTTCAGGCTCAGGTGAAAACTGTTGCAGATAAAGGTGAAAGAAAAAAGTAAACTTTTTGTGGTTCACATTATTCTGTTTTCTAAGATGAATGACAGAAAGAAGCATAAGAGAATAGTAACACATTCCCAAATTACTTGGGCAAAAGGTATACATATAGATCGTGATTTTTGCAAAACTTACCTGATCATCCGTCAGATAGCTGGGCAAACCTCCGATAAACAGCTTGTGCGGCGTGTCTTGCACAACAGTGGACACCACACCTACTGAATAGCATACATTTGCAACAGCACAACCAAAATGAATAGCCAATCGAAGGTGGAAGACATCCTTTGTAACAAGGCATTCAACAGAGGTCAACATTGTTTTACCAGCAAAACCAGTGTAACAGGTGTCATGTGATGCAACTTTACACCTTTTGTGGCTGTGACATTTAATGAAAACCAGCTCCGGAAGACAAATAGGCATGTAACGAGTCAGGATTTGATTCAAGAATGATTAGTTTGCCTTGTATTTTGGTGTTTTATGTTTAACAATTGGTTCATTAGCATTAGGTGTGATAAAATGCATTCATCCATTGACCAATACTGATGCATAATCTTTTATGCATCAAAACCGAATGTGCAAGACATGGTTTTTTATTCATTTTTGGTGTCCTGTATTTACATCACTTCTGGAGTCACTAGAGGTGCTACTATACACTGCAGTGTTAAGTATGATAATCTATTGTTGAATCAAATTGTGACCGAATAATAATTGTGTCCAGGGAATAAATTACCCCAAATTAGCATATCATTTGCATACATAATATAGATTCATGTACTGCCAGAATATATTTTTAAGTTGAAATTTTAAGATGTCTAATTAAGATCCACTTGGGGAGGCATGAGTGACCGCTGATATAATCTTTGCCCACGTTCGCGCACGTCACTCGGCGAAACTGACAAAATTACAGTCACTTTTACCCTCAGAGAGGCAAGTGTGCTGCACAGCCTGTGTGCTGCACAAGCGCGACAAAGACCGCCATAGGTTGCACGTTCTCACTCGACGTACCTGGTACATGCAAAGCGGGAGACTCTGACATGCCAGGCAGGGGCTGGTAGTCGTGTGGGCGGCGCAGCTTGAGTGACTGGCCCTGGAAGATGATTCCGTCGAACGCCAGCGCTTGCGTCGTTTCATCCACCGACCGGAACTACGTAAAATAAGTGCAAGCAATGAGGCGACCGCAGCTATATGTGAGGACCTGCACGGTGGCCCTGAATTGCAAGCATCTGGCCACCTGGAGGCGCTAACCACATTCAAAATTCTACTCGTACGACTTCACCCTTGCCAGTATGTCACAGCAATACCTAAAGATGTATGGCCAACAACGCTAAGTGCGGGGGGGAAGGACAACAAACTCAACACAAAAAGACTAACGTGTAAATTGGAGATTGTTGCTGGTAATTGTAGTTTTCTGGATGTTTTGTGTTGACATATCAAAATTGCATTTTTGCACGTATTGATAAAAAAAACCTAAGCCTCCAAGTACATGTATAAATATATTGTAATTGTATCCATCACATTTTGCTAAAAGCATGTTACAGGATATTTCAGATTGATTTAAATAACTTCTAAATCCCCTGCTAAGACGCGTCCCTTCTGAAGCCTGAAACACCAATGGACAAGCAATTAATGTAAGAAAAAATGAGACTTCGGTACATTAATATGATATGAAGTGCTTTGCCCATTAATAGGATGTGTTATAATGGATGTAATTGTATCAATAGCTGCTGTGTCACGTGTATACCTCAAGGAAGGCAAAGTTCTTGTCCAGGTTTATTTGGACAGCAAGAACAGGATTGCCTGGAGCCTGTGCCAGTCCTGCCAACTTCATCTGGTTGTTAAAGAAATCCATCATGGCCTCCTACAAGCAAAACAGGAAAGCAATACATTAGATCAAACTTGGATAAAGACATATTTCTTGAATTGAACCAGCTTGTAACTTGCAGAAAGGAGAACATGGGAGGGATATTCCAAAGTTGAGCAGTTCGAGGAAAGAAGCAGAAAGAGTTTTGACCTGCATTAAGGTGGTTAAACACAGTATGAATTAAGTCATTCTGGGTAGACAAGAGTTCTCAAGAAAGGTGGAGGAATCAGCAATTGAAATTCGTGGGAAAGTAACCATGTTAACAGCGACAAACTGATAAAGAGGCAACAGAACGCTGGTGAGCGAGTGAGGTCGACTCAGCCTCAAATGGAGTACCTGGTGCAGTGTGTAAACATCGCCAATGGGGAGACAAAGGCGGTCAAGTGTGGTGCTGGCCACCCACCCCCTCGTGTGCCATTGCCGGGCTTCAGAGGTGTTCGCTAACAGCACTTTCTCCAACAGTTTGTTCAGGCTCTTCAGGGGATCTTCGTCTTTGATGGTGTCGTGCGACGAAGAAAGCTAGCATGTGCACAGTGCTGCACCGTGCAGGGCACACGACCGTACCTCTGTGACTCCAAAGGGAATGTTGCCGACGTAGAGACGCCGTGCCTGGCGTGTAAGCTGGCTGCCCACGATGGGTACGGGCATCGCGGCAGGATTCGGCAGGCCAGCCACTGTTGCGGTGGTAGTCGTGGCGATGAGAGCAGTTGCTGGGATCTGGCCAGCAGCTGTGAAGAGAGGAGATATATTACATTAAATTATAGCAGTGTCAATTCACCGGTGGTAAAACAAAATCTAAATATTCATATTTGACTGCAAATAAACATACTATAAAAGGCATTACTGAAACATTAGATTTTTTTTTACAATGTTAATCACGTAACTACAGCAAAAATATGTAATCACTGTATAGTTGATTAAATACTTTAAACGTTAGTCGGGTCCATGACCGTAGCATACAAGTACCATCACTGCACTGATGTCAATGCCAATGGTGAAATTTATCTTAACGACAGTCAACAAAATATATATTTTTACTACAAATGCTTCCAACTTGAGTGACAATCCAGGCCACAAAGCCTGGGTACATATCGAGACGATAACAGCCGTTTGTTTAATGGGATTTCGTCACAGCAGGTCAAATATTTAAAAAAATAAAGACATGAAAATGTGTCATTGTGTATGTAGTTGACAGTTAACAGTTGTTTGTTACTCATAAAAACACTGAAGACGGCTGACGATAACATTTGTACAATTTTACTTAGTTTTAAGTAGCATAATCCAAATGTTTAGGTAAAGTGCTTTGACATGTTGTGCTAGCCACCTTGCATGGCTTTGTACTGAAGTGGCGTGATGTGTTCGAAGCCAGGGGGTGGCACATCCCAGTACTTGTATGGCTTCTTCTTGCGTGGCTTGCGAGGGGAGCGGCTAAAATGTGACAAAAGCATAAAGTCGGTTAGAAAGAAAGCGCCTTGAAAGACTTGACACAATCTTGCCAGCTGTGCGCAACTGCATAGCAATGGAATTACTTTATTAACTAGTGGCTAGAATAAGGGGTATCCTTATAAATCATAACCCACAATTGTTGAAGATGACATATGCGAGCATGAAACTTTACAATTACAGTTTATAGCTTTCATCGTATCCAGATGGTCAGACAATTAACACAATAATTAACCTTTCAACCACTTAACCTGCCTATTCTGCAAAACCGTATTAGGGAAAATTAGACTGAAGGTTAAATCATAATCGATTAACCTCCACAACAAGGCTCCCAAAGTGTAATAGGTGGCAGTTGATACCTGCGTATCTTATCGCCTTTCTCCTTCTTTTCTTCTTTCTTTTCATCCTTCTTGTCTTTGTCACGGGAGGGGCGCTCACGACTCCGGCTCTTCCGATCCCGGTCGCGGTCCCGCTCGCGACTGCGGCTGCGCTTCTTGCGATCACGGCTCCGCGAGCGACTCCGCTTCTTGTGTCGCCGCTCCTTCTCGCGCTCTGTCAGGTGAAGCATGACATGGCAACTCCATCATCATCACCAACAGCGATCATTCCCAGTGCAGGATAAATGCTGCCACCACGTCATCACCATCTCTCTCAATCCTTCAATGGCAGCTTACTCCTCCTGCACGAGCTAATGTCATCACTGTTTTCTCCGTGGTGATCACCCTCTGGGGCATGTTCACCAGTCTCGACCATTAGATTATAATTCCTACAATACTATCAGCAAATGTGAGATGGTTAATACTTTTATTTGATCATGCCTTACATTTCCAATACAATGTTTGCTAAATATCTGCGAACAGTGAACAGCATAGGTGGGAGCGTACGTCCAATATCCCATAAAGCGCTATTTCACGTAATATATCAGCAACACAAGCGGCACTGGAGAAACGTTATGGCAGCTCCTTCGCTACGCTAAACATATGCAAATAATCCCTGTTATGCATCGGTTTAGTCTCATACAAATTATGAACTTTAGGGTTAAATGTTATTCGCGAGCACCGAGAACTCCGCGGTACACACACTAGGGTCACAACAATTAAGATAACAGCGCAACTTATTGTCAGCAACACGTACGAACTAGATAGGTATGCATGATTGACAAATGGACACTTTTTTTAAAAAAAGTCCAATTACTGTTAATTATCTGAGCCCGTCAGAGCAATGTGGAATTTCTCAGGGTTACCAACCAAGCGAAGAGCGCATCACCGCTTGGAAAAGGGGCACATCGCCCTATACCTGTTGAACACGATTTAGCAAGCGGCTTTAAGTTGACGTCGATGTGGCAGGTTTACGAGCGTGTTTGTTGTCGACACAGCGGCGGTGCCACCACCACCACCACCGCCGGCACCGCCGCCGGCACCACCCTCCGACTCCACTCTCCACGCCAGGGCCCGGCTCCCTTGCCGCCATTTTAAACTCCCCACGCTCTCCGCCTAGACGCCATTCAAAGCGAGGCGAACCGCGCCAACACCTCCCCACCCACACCCCCCCACCCACCCCAAATGTTTACACGGCGCATCCGAGACACTTTGACTCACGCATATTAAGATGTGTTTTTTAACCGCAATTTGTATTTGTTTCTCATCGCGGGAGCGCGACCACGCAGCTTTGCTCTAGGGCGAGCCTAGACTAGGCCACCCCCACCAATCTCAACCGACGGCTCCCGTGTCGCCTCGGTCACCACAGCGGCTACAACAACCGCAGCCAAACACAAAGCAAGGTCCATTGTAGCTGAAAAAACATGTTTACACAATTGTACAGTCATCTTAAATCGAGACGACCGCGTTAGGCCGCGAGGTGAAGCCTATTCTCGCCTAGCTCCCCCTCCCTCGCGGCCGCTTCGTCGTGATTGCGCGGGTTTTGCGACCTCACCTATGCGGGTTTCGCGCATTTGCTTCTCCAACTCGACGAAGTCCGACATGACGGCGATGTAGTTGCTGCTGTTGTTATTCTTGTTGTTGTTCACGATGATGAGGAGACGGGAGCAGGGCGCAACTGCACCGCTTTGTGCTGCCAAATCCCCCCACAATGCAGCGCGCCCTGGCGGGGTCACGTGACCGGGGTAGCCCCTCCCACTCCCACACCCCCCCACACTCCCCCCCTCCACATCCCTCCACACCCCCCTCCACACCAAATTAGCAGTTTCCTATCCACCAACAATCTACTACATCTAAAACAATCTGGGTTCCGAAAAAAATACAGCCCCACATCTGCTGCATTAGACTCTTTAAATCAAATTTACAATAGCCTTGATAAGAAGCAGTACTGTGCCTGTCTCTTTTCTTGACCTGTCCAAAGCTTTTGATACAGTAGACCACAACACCCTGCTTAGTAAACTAAGTTGCCTCGGTTTTTCCGAAAACACAGTAAAATGGTTAAAAAATTTCCTCTTTTCTCGCACCCAAACTGTATTCACAGATGGTTGGAGGTCAAACAGTGTTAAGATAACAAAAGGGGTTCCACAGGGTTCCATCCTCGGCCCCCTCTTGTTCTCTCTTTATGTCAATGACTTGGGCACTGACCTGGATCATTCCAGGGTAAATATTTTTGCAGATGACACGATACTGATTATTGCTGGCCGCTCTCCGGATGACGTGATTGCTAAGCTCCAGGGTGATTTCAACAAACTACAACATCAGCTAGTTGCTCTTAAACTAGTCCTGAATACCACCAAAACCAAGGTGCTATGCTTCTCATCGGGACTAAAGCAGGAAGTTATTTTTCCCCAATTACGTTCCTTAAATAATTATCAAATAGAGCAAGTCAAGATCTATAAGTATCTTGGGGTCATCCTGGATTCAAAACTGAATTTTGAAGATCACATTGATTATATTGGTAAAAAGACAAAAATAAAAATTGGTTTTCTGTATCGACACAAGCACTGCTTCCCCCCAATGTTCCGTTTGGAATTGATAAAAGCTACCATACTGCCTCTACTTGACTACTGTGACATCGTGTATAAATCAGCCCCAAGTACTGTACTGAAGAAGCTTGATTCCATCTATCACTCGGCCTTAAGATTTGCATTGAACTGCCCATATAGAACTCACCACTGTGATCTCTACATTGGGTCAAACTTAACATCTCTTAATGTTCGACGGCTTGTGCACCAGATCTTATTTATTCACGATGTACTTACAAAAAAATCCGCAGACTACCTGCTGGATCTCCTCTCTGTTTCAAAGAACAAATTTGACCTCAGGTTTTCGCTCATTTACCAGCTTCACATTCCCTATTGCCGTACAAAAACCGGAGGAAGGGCCTTTGCTATTGATGCCCCCAGGGTCTGGAATGCTATTGCCAATAAACTGCAACTTGGATCACTGCCTATGAGATCTTCACTCAAAACTGCTCTAGAGGAGTTGGACACCCCTAGCTGCCACTGCTATTCAGTGGGCTAAAATAAAATAAAATGTTTCGCTCCGGATGACCGCTGGAAAGTATTATCTGTATTTTGATTTAGCGTGCTGATCTTAAAGGTGCATTGAAAAATGTGATACTCCGACTGATGCTCCTGTTGTTGTGGAGTGACTCATGCAGCCAGCTGTGGCTCTAGGGTTTGGTGTTACATGTTATTTATATAGTTTATTGTAAAAAAATTCGGTCACAGTCCCTATGATCACTGTTACATTGCATTTATGGCTTTATTTTGGTGATTTCGAAAAGTTTTTTGGTTTGGCCATGTTTTTGTTTATTGTAGTACAGAGTTAGATTGATGGCCTTAATCTTAGTTGTCTTGTGGTTGTTGTTGTTTGACTTGCATCCCACTGGGATTTTTGCACACAGCCTTGGTGTACGGTGCTATTTCCGGCAATATTTTGATGTTTTTCCTGGATTTTCTGTTTGCACAGTCACACAAAGTCACTTTAAGATGTTTGTCTTGTTCACGTTTTAGTTTTTTGTTTGTTGCGGTTGCACCCGATTCAAGAGCCGAATGGCTCACAGGGCTATAGCAAATAAATGGAACTATGAAACTATGAACCCTCCTCCACACCCCCCCAAACCCCCCTCCACACCCCCCCTCCACACCCCCCTCCCTCCACCCCCTCCACAGCCCCCTCCCTCCACCCCCCTCCACACCCCCTCCACAGCCCCCAGGTGACGGAAGAGGACGGTTGAGTCTATCGGTAGAGGGAGCGGTCTAGAACCAGCGAGAAGGTTCGGGAATGGGGGCGTGGCCTCGGACCCTATGTGAGGGAGATGCGCGGGAGACTCGGGGCTGTTGCAGTGGGGGTCTCCGCCTGTTCCAGTGTGAGCACGTGGCTCCTTAATAAAGAATCCATCTCAAGACAAATGCGTCGAAGTCGTCATTATATACGTACTGTGATGTGGTTTATCAATTCGCTTGTGCCATTGCATTACATAAGCTGAACTTACTACCGCACTGTGTGCCCTACCATTGTGAAATTTAGAACGGTTTAAACTTGAACTCCATCTGCCCCGAGAAACATTCACTGGGCTCTATTTTAAAAGTTATTTCTGATAAATCCGCTAAATACTTAATGGATCTGTTGATCCCAAAATAAACGAAGCCTGAGAAGCTCTTACCTCATAAAAAAAAATCCCTGCGTTTTGGGCGTCGTGGTGGTGAGATGTTAACTTCCTCGCCTGGTACACAGGAGGTTGTGGGCTCGATCCCGACCCTGGCGCCTGCTGTATGTTTAGAGTTTGCGCGTCTCTCTCCCTGTGGTCGAATGGATTTTTCTCTGGGTCCTACCGGTTTTTCCCTCCACATTTAGAAACATGCGTTTATATTATTTGACTGCTTTACATTTCCACGTGATAATCCACTTCGTTGAGCTATCATTTGTGGCCAGATCGTTTCTGAAAAACAGCTAGATAGCTCAGTGAGCTTTACCTGGTAAAATGAAAAATAGTTTAGTTCATTTACGTATTTGTTTATGAGTGATTTGTTTCCCTTTCCTGTACTTTGTACTCCTATATTCGTGACGTTCTGACCCGTCCCTACTGGACATGTGTGAAAAAGAGCTTCAGAGCTCATTGGATTTCTCCAGGATAAATAAAGATTCTGACTCACCATTACTCCAGGTCGATATCACACTGTGGCTCTGGACCATCGTCATTAGGTAAACTGAGTTCGACATATAATCCTGTAACTCGCTGCTTCACTGTTACACCGCATCACTGTCACAGCGGGATCGCTGTCATGACGTAAGTCGAGTCCGACTTGTAATCCTGGGCTCACTCGTCACAGTTTCCCTGGATTGCTACCACACTGGTAATTTGAGTTCGACTTCTATATATGTGTAGTGACTCAACTAGGAGACACTAAGACTTGGAGGCACTTCTTTATTTAACAAGCACCATCGGGATAGCACACACAACACCCGACGTGGGTACACACGACTATTATTGTTATTAAGACCGTCTATTGTCAGCGGCACTACTGAGTGAGAAGAGTTGGTGGGCTGTCTGACTAGCGGCACCACGGAATGGTGAAGACGGAGACGGCGACGAGGAGATGGTGATGATGAAAAACTTGCACGACAGGGTTCCCACTTCCAGCAATAGCCACGAGGTTCCCCGCAGGGCCCCTGTTACACTCCAAGCGTAGCCTCGCTCCGCCCCAGCCACGCCCCCTTTCTGGAACCTACTCGCAGGTTCCCGGGGCTTCCCGATGGGCCCCTTCAGTGACCTTTCCCCTTTAGTTGTCCCCTTCGTGTCTATCGTGGCCTACTGACTTGTGTACTGCCATACACCGCAGTTCCCCTCTTTCGCCAGCAGCCATTGCTATGCCACTACATATGTATATTCTTTGGGTCTTTCGGTAAAGCCACGTAGATAGATCAAATAATAATAAAAAAAATAATATCACGACGTTTCGATTGCAATACAAGCAATCGTCATCAGTTGAGAAATATCGCGGGAGAGCTGCTGAGAATATATGGTGGGAGCGCTGCTAAGGAAAGGAGTTATAAAGGTTTGGGACGGGGCTAGAGATGAAATTTGCATGTAAGTGTAAGATCGGGTAAATCTTGACAAATGAAGCTGTGGGGGTGGCCATTGTATTGTGAGAGATTAGCATGTCAGTGTAAGAGATTTGCTTGTAAATGTAAGCTCGGAGAGAGCTTGGAAAGAGCTATCGCCACACATGGAGGTGGAAAAGGATGGCAAGCCGCCATTCACTAACACAGCTAACGGTGGCTGTGTTGGTGAATGTAACTCAGAGAGTTGAAAATAACTCCTGCCATCGGTATGAAGGGAACATCACAGCCAGTTATGACCTAAATTGGTTAATAACGTCCTTCATATTTATGTTGAACTTCTTTCGCACCGTACGTAGCCAACCGTGCTAATCATAGGTGCGGGGGAAGGACAACAAACGGAACACAAAATGCATAATTATAATCCAATGGCTTACTGGTTACTGTTCTCTCGTATATCATCTGCATCGTTGTCACCCTTTGTATCCTGGTGTCCCCGTGATGATCTCTTTCCTTGCATCTCCCTGTGTCTCCCTGTGTGTCTCCTCGTCTCTTGCCTGTCCCTGCGTTTCTCTGCCTCACCCCGTCTCAGTGTAACTGTATCTGTGTTTCCGTGGTTCTGTTTAATTGTCTTACTCTGTGTCTCTCTGTCTCTGTGTCAGTGTGTGTGTGTCTCTCTCTGTCTCTGTGTCACTGTTTGTGTGTCTCTCTCTGTGTCTCTGTGTGTGTGTCTCTGTCTCTGTGTCACTGTTTGTGTGTGTGTCTCTCTCTGTGTCACTGTTTGTGTGTGTGTCTCTCTGTGTCACTGCTTGTGTGTGTCTCTCTCTGTCTCTGTGTCACTGTTTGTGTGTGTGTCTCTCTCTGTCTCTGTGTCACTGTGTGTGTGTCTCTCTCTGTGTCTCTGTGTGTCTCTCTCTGTGTCACTGTTTGTGTGTATGTCTCTCTGTCTCTGTGTCACTGTTTGTGTGTGTGTGTCTCTCTGTGTCACTGTGTGTGTCTCTCTCTTTGTGTCACTGTTTGTGTGTGTGTCTCTCTATTTCTCTCTGTGTCACTGTTTGTGTGTGTGTGTCTCTCTCTCTGTGTCACTGTGTGTGTCTCTCTGTCTCTGTGTCACTGTCTGTGTGCGTGTCTCTCTGTGTCACTGTGTGTGTCTCTCTCTGTGTCACTGCTTGTGTGTGTGTCTCTCTCTGTCTCTGTGTCACTGTGTGTGTCCCTCTTTCTGTCTCACTGTGTGTCCCTCTCTCTGTCACTGTGTGTGCCTCTCTCTTTCTCTCTGTGTCACTGTTTGTGTGTCTCGCTCTCTGTCTCTGTTTGTGTGTGTGTCTCTCTCTCTGTGTCACTGTGTGTGTGCGTCTCTCTTTCTCTCTGTGTCACTGTTTGTGTTTGTGTGTCTCTCTCTCTGTGTCACTGTGTGTGTCTCTCTCTGTGTCACTGTTTGTGTGTGTGTCTCTCTGTCACTGTGTGTGTGTCTCTCTCTTTCTCTCTGTCACTGTTTGTGTGTGTCTCTCTCTCTGTGTCACTGTGCGTGTGTGTCTCTCTGTCTCTGTGTCACTGTTTGTGTGTGTGTCTCTCTCTTTCTCTCACTGTCTCTGGTTCTCGGCTTCTGGTCAACAGCCTTAAACAATAATCTCAATGCTGCATCTCGAGAAATGTTAATTCCAAAGGCAGCTTGAACTTAGCCAACCCCAAGAGGACAAGGGATGCTGAACAGGAAGCTTCATCATCTAATATATTTATGCTCACTGAGAAACGACACCATTCACAGTTCATGTCACGATAAGCGGCTGAGTGGTCGTGCGCTTCCCTTGGTGTTTTGATCGCTCTCAGAACCATGCCAGGTACGCGCGGCGTCATCTCAACACGATCACGTTTCTCTTACAGCGACGACGTTACAACAAAGTGTACATTTGTGAACAATGATGTACCATGGCAAATATTGCCACTTTAATCAAATGTTCTTCGGTAAAGTCAATGACTATGACGTACTTCACATGCTAATATTTGTATACAATATACTTTACTAATTGTCGCGGTATATTATAGTTTAGAGCACAATTAACTTCTACATTCTACGTGAAAGGATTACTGAAAAGAGCTCCTCCGTGTTGTTATAATTTTTCACAACATTGATGGCGACAGTGAAGACAGAGATCTTTGATTGTAACAGCACATTTTAAATGCTTTGTTCGTTTTAGTACAACACACTTTGTTCACTGTTTGAAATTCTTTCGCACCGTACGTAGCCAACCGTGCTAATCATAGGTGCGGGGGAAGGACAACTAACGGAACACAAAATGCATACTTATAATCCAATGGCTTACTGGATACTGTTCTCTCGTATCATCTGCATCGTTGTCACCCTTTGTATCCTGGTGTCCCCGTGATGATCTCTTTCCTTGCATCTCCCTGTGTCTCCCTGTGTGTCTCCTCGTCTCTTGCCTGTCCCTGCGTTTCTCTGACTCACCCTGTCTCAGTGTAACTGTATCTGTGTTTCCGTGGTTCTGTTTAATTGTCTCACTCTGTGTCTCTCTGTCTCTGTGTCAGTGTGTGTGTGTCTCTCTCTGTCTCTGTGTCACTGTTTGTGTGTCTCTCTCTGTGTCTCTGTGTGTGTGTCTCTGTCTCTGTGTCACTGTTTCTGTGTGTGTCTCTCTCTGTGTCACTGTTTGTGTGTGTCTCTCTGTGTCACTGTTTGTGTGTGTGTCTCTCTCTGTCTCTGTGTCACTGTTTGTGTCTCTCTCTGTGTCTCTGTGTGTCTCTCTCTGTGTCACTGTTTGTGTGTATGTCTCTCTGTCTCTGTGTCACTGTTTGTGTGTGTGTGTCTCTCTGTGTCACTGTTTGTGTGTGTATCTTTCTCTGTCTCTGTGTCACTGTTTGTGTGTGTGTGTCTCTCTCTGTGTCACTGTGTGTGTCTCTCTCTCTTTGTGTCACTGTTTGTGTGTGTGTCTCTCTCTTTCTCTCTGTGTCACTGTTTGTGTGTGTGTGTCTCTCTCTCTGTGTCACTGTGTGTGTCTCTCTCTGTCTCTGTGTCACTGTCTGTGTGCGTGTCTCTCTGTGTCACTGTGTGTGTCTCTCTCTGTGTCACTGCTTGTGTGTGTGTCTCTCTCTCTCTGTCTCTGTGTCACTGTGTGTGTCCCTCTTTCTGTCTCACTGTGTGTCCCTCTCTCTGTCACTGTGTGTGCCTCTCTCTTTCTCTCTGTGTCACTGTTTGTGTGTCTCGCTCTCTGTCTCTGTTTGTGTGTGTGTCTCTCTCTCTCTGTGTCACTGTGTGTGTGCGTCTCTCTTTCTCTCTGTGTCACTGTTTGTGTTTGTGTGTCTCTCTCTCTGTGTCACTGTGTGTGTCTCTCTCTGTGTCACTGTTTGTGTGTGTGTCTCTCTGTCACTGTGTGTGTGTCTCTCTCTTTCTCTCTGTCACTGTTTGTGTGTGTCTCTCTCTCTGTGTCACTGTGCGTGTGTGTCTCTCTGTCTCTGTGTCACTGTTTGTGTGTGTGTCTCTCTCTTTCTCTCACTGTCTCCGGTTCTCGGCTTCTGGTCAACAGCCTTAAACAATAATCTCAATGCTGCATCTCGAGAAATGTTAATTCCAAAGGCAGCTTGAACTTAGCTAACCCCAAGAGGACAAGGGATGCTGAACAGGAAGCTTCATCATCTAATATATTTATGCTCACCGAGAAACGACACCATTCACAGTTCATGTCACGATAAGCGGCTGAGTGGTCGTGCGCTTCCCTTGGTGTTTTGATCGCTCTCAGAACCATGCCAGGTACGCGCGGCGTCATCTCAACACGATCACGTTTCTCTTACAGCGACGACGTTACAACAAAGTGTACATTTGTGAACAATGATGTACCATGGCAAATATTGCCACTTTAGTCAAATGTACTTCGGTAAAGTCAATGACTATGATGTACTTCACATGCTAATATTTGTTTACAATATACTTTACTAATTGTCTACATTCTACGTGAAAGGATTACTGAAAAGAGCTCCTCTGTGTTACAATTTTTCATAATATTGATGGCGACAGTGAAAACAGAGATCTTTGATTGTAACAGCACATTTTAAATGCTTTATTCGTTTAAGTACAACACACTTTCTTTACTGTTTGCATTTACACGTGACGTTATTGCTGTTAAAGATCAAGCTTCAGTTGATGTGACCTTTTGTTCGGGTGACATCAATATCCCCTGCGTTTATTCAATACAGAGCAAACCTTTAATTTCATACAATTCAAAGATTATTATTGAAATATTTACATTCCGTAAGCGAGCGTCGGTGCATTATCAATTAATGGGGTTTTCTGGTTCACACTAAAAGTGTGGATGATGGAGTTGTCAATGATGATCACATTGTTCAGTGGCGTCTTTTGGTTTATGCATCAGCAGTCGCGGTTCAAATTAACTTTGTGTATATGCGCACAGACTTAGAAATTGCTGCCTCGGTTTCTTTAGCTATTCAGTGGGCGTTGGTTGCGAGTTCATGAAGTGTTTTGATGGCCACGCGCTGACTACACTACTACTACTACGTGCTCCATTGTTCCGCTTCATATCCGTAGTTATTGTGAATTCATGCGTTTCCTCATCAGATGGCATTTGTCCTCGCCAACTTGCCGCCTCTCAAGGAGCGAAGGCATTTTATATTTAAACGTAGCCTCTACATAACATAACCCGCCCCCCCAAATATGAAAGTCGCTACATACGGTGAAATTACAGTACTTAAAGCTTCTTCTTTGGTTCTTTCGGTAAAGTCACGTAGAATGAGAATAAAATAATAAATTGATAAAATAAATATCAATTTATTATTTTATTCTCATTCTACGTGACTTTACCGAAATAACCAAAGAAGATGAATCATTGCAGTCACGAAAGCTTTAAATCGAAATTTATACTTAAAGCTTATGAGGAAAATAGGGTTATGGGGCATAAACACATATTTTATTTGAACATTAACAAAAACTGTATGTATTCATAAATACATATATCGTATAGTATTGTTGTTACATAACTTACCTTTAATAATGATGAACATTTCAAAGTGCAAATACCAAAAAAATATATATTTTATCCAGGGACGTAAGTCCAAAGGCATGTGAAGGAAAGCACGCGCGGTGTAAACAGTGGGGCTGACGAAGGCAACGTGAGACAGGGGCAGCAACACGTGGGGCTGACGAAGGCAACGTGAGAGAGGGGCAGCAACACGTGGGGCTGACGAAGGTAACGTGAGACAGGGGCAGCAACACGTGGGGCTGACGAAGGCAACGTGAGACAGGGGCAGCAACACGTGGGGCTGACGAAGGTAGCGTGAGACAGGGGCAGCAACACGTGGGGCTGACGAAGGCAACGTGAGACAGGGGCAGCAGCACGTGGGGCTGACGAAGGCAACGTGAGACAGGGGCAGCAACACGTGGGGCTGACGAAGGCAGCGTGAGGGAGGGGCAGCAACACGTGGGGCTGACGAAGGCAACGTGAGACAGGGGCAGCAGCACGTGGGGCTGACGAAGGTAGCGTGAGACAGGGGCAGCAACACGTGGGGCTGACGAAGGTAGCGTGAGACAGGGGCAGCATCACGTGGGGCTGACGAAGGTAGCGTGAGGGAGGGGCAGCAGCACGTGGGGCTGACGAAGGCAACGTGAGACAGGGGCAGCAACACGTGGGGCTGACGAAGGCAGCGTGAGGGAGGGGCAGCAACACGTGGGGCTGACGAAGGCAACGTGAGACAGGGGCAGGAGCACGTGGGGCTGACGAAGGTAGCGTGAGACAGGGGCAGCAACACGTGGGGCTGACGAAGGTAGCGTGAGACAGGGGCAGCATCACGTGGGGCTGACGAAGGTAGCGTGAGGGAGGGGCAGCAGCACGTGGGGCTGACGAAGGTAGCGTGAGACAGGGGCAGCAACACGTGGGGCTGACGAAGGCAACGTGAGGGAGGGGCAGCAACACGTGGGGCTGACGAAGGCAACGTGAGAGAGGGGCAGCAGCACGTGGGGCTGACGAAGGCAACGTGAGGGAGGGGCAGCAACACGTGGGGCTGACGAAGGCAACGTGAGACAGGGGCAGCAGCACGTGGGGCTGACGAAGGCAACGTGAGGGAGGGGCAGCAACACGTGGGGAAACTTTCGCGTTCTCACGATCGACGCCGCTCCCGCACCCCGCCACTTTTCGCGTGGTAGTAGCGCGCACTCCGAATATTTAAAATACAGCCCTGCGAATATCAAATAGCACCGATAAGCAATACAAAACACACTGTTGTAAACTCCACGAATATTAAGAGTGTACTCTGTTATTATTATTCTTTGCATCAGCACATTCTACATATACGAAAGAATTGGCCACAAAAAGGGAAGTTGTATTGCTGCCACTCACAGCAATTGCAAAAGTGGGGAAAAAAATATCCCAAACCATGCTTAGCTTCGATGTGTGCTTAGCTTCGATATCATTGCATAATAAACGGTTTCCCATTTTGTGCTCGACACATAAACACAGAATTTGGTCAATTTATTTTTACATGTGTAGTAGAATAATACAATAGATTGTATATACTGCATGTTTATAGCATGCAAATGCGAATACTTCCCCAAAACCCTGGACGTCACAGTATTTTGAAGGAGACATTTTTGTTATCTTAACAAATAGCTTTCAAACGGGGAGAGAATATGGGCTAGGACGGTATAAGGCAGAGAGAGTGAGAATGAATCCGCATCAGAGAGAGAGAGAGAAAGAGGGGGACTGTCAGTCATAGGCAGTAGGGAAACACAAGGTCTTGAGATGGTACGTGAAGAAGAAAAGCTAAGTGTCAGTGCCAACAGCCAGTTGGAGGTTAATTCTGGACAATGAGGGCAACACACAACAGAGAAGGAGCTTCCTCCCACCACAAGGGGGTTGACTGGAGAGGGATGGTTCCGTAGAAGTCTTGGGTTGCCATCGCAGAGACTGCGCGTAGGGGTTGTAGACTGAGATAAGAGATTAGAGAAGAGGACATGGGTGAGTCCATCGTGAAACTGAAAGATGATGAATGCTGTCCTGAAATTAATGCGGGATCGGATGCGAAGCCCGAGGAGCAAACAGAGCATTGGGGGTGACTTGGTCTCGCTTATGGGTGGGGGTTGTCAAATTTGGATAGATGATGTACGATATGTAACGATATGTGATGCTACGATATGTGATGTACGATGTGATGTTACGATGTGACGTACGATGCATTGCTATGCGGTGTTCTCCACAGACATGCAGTTCTAGATTTGAAGCTTTCGTGACTGCAAGGATCCATACTCTTTGGTTCTATTATTTTATTTTTTACCTACGTGACTTTACCGAATAGAACCAAAGAGACATGCAGTCTTCACCAAATGGCCAACATCAACGCTGCAGCTGCATGGCTACCATTGTGTCCCTGTTATTTGTGATGAACACCATCCTTGCCATTGCCTTGGTGACCAGCAGCCTATTCGGTGCGTTGTCCATCATACACGTGTGTATTACAATGACTAGGCATGTGACAATTCACTACTCTTAAAACAGATTTTGACACTCAACATACATGCCTTGAATCGTGGGGGGAGGTTTTTATTTGTGTAAACCGTTAATTTTAACAAATGGTCAGAACAAACCTAATGTGAACCAATAATAATTGCCTGATAAATATAAGCAGCAGGAAATTATACATTTTGGGTCAGGGATAATGTTGTGCAAACTGCGTTGCACAATGCAATACAGGTATAATGTTGTTTCCTTTCAGTTGTCCACACAATTAAATCAGTCGCCACCAACTTTAAAGAAGAACAGCTTTTGATCGTGGATCATCAGGATGTTCAAAAGGGTGAGTCCACATTTGGACATACGTTTCAATATTCAGACATTACTTTTATACATCAGAGAAATACATTTTGGTTGGAAGACAGTCACCAATAATTGCACAACCAAACCCCATCCCAATGCATTTGGTTCGATGCTTAATGTGACGAAATTCCAGATCTGAGAGTTAAATATGTTGGCTGAACATTTCCTATAGCAGGGCGGGTGGGAAAGTGCTGCCCACCACTATGAACTAGAGATCATTTGAAGTTATCTCAGAAGCAGTTGCGATATCCGATTACATTGGCCATTCCCTAGAGTTGGAGAGTTACGCAGCTCTGCGAGAGATCTGAATCGATGCTTAGTCTCATGGCACGACACGAACAGCAAAATTTGGGATATGATTTAAGGAAAATACAAAGCTCACTGCCATCAAAATTATTAGAAGTTTTGAGCACCAGCTGCAAAATTGAAGCATGATAATCGTTAGCTTGAAAAGGGAGGGTATAATTACGGAATATAACAATAGAAATGATTTGGAGATGAGGATTGGGGCAGAAAAAATATTGGGGAACCACGGAGAGGATGCAGAGAAGGATCAGCTATTCAAAGGCAAGACAAAGACTGCCCAAGCAAGGAAGGCATTTGAGGGTGGCCAGGCAGGCAGGCCCAGGGAGGCCCAAGCATTCTTTAAGTCGATGAGTTAACAGCTCTCATTTTTAAGTCCATTTCTCTGGTTTAAGTTCACAATTAAAATTGTGATGTTTACTTCAGTGCCCATGTGAGGACATATATTGAGGGTGGCAGGTGGAGGATTAGATGGTGCCGGCACACAGCTTGAGATTGTCTAGCTGTGGCCTGAGACTAGGGGGTGGTATTGTCCTGCAGACTTCATGAACATTGTCTCCAGGTTCTCATGGGTGCCTGGATGACAAGTTGCCTGCAACCCTTATCTCATGGAAACCACACTCCGCCGCTGTCGGATGAGATTATTCGTTGTACAAATCGCTCCGTTGAAATGTGTTTTATTCCAGTCACAGTGGACAGCCTTGAGCAGCAGATCAATGCCAAGATGTCTGGCCTGAAGGAGCAGGTGGATCAGCTGAAAGACAAAGTGCGCATACTGAATCAAAACGAGGGTAAGAAACTAAATGCTAACATCACCATTCAATGTTCACATCGATATGATACAGGCTTTAGCTGAGCAATCTCAGATTTTATTTCAGTTGATAAGGCCCCATTTAACCTAGCAGCTCTTTGACAAGGACGACGACAGCCCAAGACCATCGGCGGTGACAGTTGCCAGATATTGTCGTTACAAAGAGTTACGTAGACACTCGTAGAGTTAGTACACAGATATCAAACGAGTAACATTGAGACTCAGACCACAGCCCAGGGCCGTCGGCAGTGTTGGCAATTACAGAACATGACAAGGAGGGAATGTGCAAACTCATGAGAGCAAAAACTCACGCCAGAACTTACTGCAAACAAGATAAACTAATTAAGCACTTTAATACAAACCTAAAACAGTGTAAAAAAATCCTGTCACGGACATATGTAAATACACCATCTATTATAAAAGCCTTGCGCTCAGAAGGCCTGAATCTGAAAGTAATAGAATGTGTTCCCTCCTCCAGATGTGGGGGTAAGAAGTTGATCCAACAGGGTTCCAAAATTTCCTTCCCCCCTAAAATAAATTTCTCTTGTAGGCATATATACCTACACACAATAGTCAGTAGTATCTACTGACTCTTCTTCTTATTTGTGTCTTCTCTCCAACCTATAAAGTATTTTCCCAATATTCTGCACATGCCACCGCTTCTGGTGTTGGCATTGCCAAATCTTGAAGGGTCAATTGTGGTGCTGCAGGGCATCTCAGGAGATGATCCACGTGGTTTTGCTTCTCTTGACAAGCACATTGTTCGGTTGCGCAGAAGCCCCATGATTTCATGAGATATGCATCTGCCGAAACTCACTCTCAGTCTTTTTAGGCTCCGCCATGTGAGCCATTTGGAATTGGAGCCAGATGCGAGCTCCTCACTGGGGATGATTCCTTGCTGGCTCCATTCAGCAGTTTTGTCACTCGATATTTCCCATTCTTTTTGCCAGAGGGAAGTTCTTGCAGATTCCGGTGATGTGGTCAGTGGGACACTGGAGCACAAGAAGCTGTTTCTCGATGCCAGACGATGGTGTGCTGGCTGATGGCCATGTAGCGGATGACGGTCGTCCCCACTCTATGACTTGCCGGTCCTGATCACTTGCTACCCTCCCCCTGATGTTAGAGGACGCTTTGCCAGATAGTGCATACAGACAGGGGACAGGGGTGGCTTTCAGGCACCTTGATGTGATGCTGCACGTGTCATATAGGGTGGTGTCGACAGGTTTACTGTGCGTTGAGCGTCCCCAGGTAGAGAATGCATATCCAGCCACATAGAACAAAGTGCTCAGGCAGTGGTGCGTAGACTGGATGGATGTGCTCCCCACTTTGAATTTGTGAGCATTCGCAGAATCTTGTTTCGCGTGTTGACCTTGGCTTTGGTATTTAAAGTGTTCTTTTTGTAGCTGAGTATACGATCCAGTGTTACCCCGAGGTACACTGGGTGATTGGTGTTCGAGGCTCTGGTCTCCCCAGGTGACATTCAGGTGTCACTCTGCATCCCAGTTGCTCAGGTGGAAGGAAAATTTTGGGTTTTACTCGGTTGGGGTTTGAGATGATTATTTAGGGAGTATCTGGACATCTCATCCAGTGCCCTCACCAGGATATTCTCTGTGTTCTCGAAATTCCTCTGCTTTGTGGTGACACAGAGGTCGTCAGCATAGATGAACTGCTGACATTCAGCAGGAAGTGGCTGATGGTTGGTGTAGATATTGAATAAAAGTTGGGCGAGCACACTGTCTTGTGGTAAACCATTCTTTTGAGAACACCATCTACTTTTCTGCCTGTTTAGTTCCACAAAGAAGTGTCTATAGTCTAGGAGGCTACTAATGGTCTGGCTCAGTCTAGGTCGCCAGTTATGAGGTACAGTTTATGGATCAAGATGCGGTGTGAACAGTGTTATATGCAGCAGACATCAACAAACGCTGCACCTGTGATCATCTTGTGTTGGTAACGATCTTCGATGTGGTGTGTGAGGTTTAGTAGCTGGCTTGCACAGGATCGATCGGATCTGAAGCCCACTTGAACTCGTATGAGTTGGAGATGTACCAGGAGTGAAATTCGTTGCAAGATAAGACGTTCGTAGAGTTTGTAAATGATGCCAAGGAGGAAGATCGGTCTGTGGCTTTTTGGTGATAAAAGGTCTTTCACTTGTTTGGGCAGCGCTATGACTCTTGCCTTCCTCCATACTGATGGTATCAGTTTACTCATCATACATGTGTTGAATAGGTCAAGGAGCTATCGCTTTTCAGTGGGTCCTAGATGGTGTATCATATCAACTAGTATGTCGTCTACTCCTGCTGCCTTCCCCTGTTTAAGTAGGCCTATGCCGGCTGACAGATCATCTGTAGTAAATGGACGGGCTTAGTCTTTGGGTGGTTGCTTGTCAGGCGGTATAATGGAGCGACGATGTTCTCCGGTGTTTCTTCTTTGCAACCGCTTCCCATTGTTGAGCAGGTGTTGCGCAACCTGGTTGGCAGTAACATTTGACACGGCCATAGGTGTGATGTTACGTGTCAGATTGGTGTTCACGATCATCTCCCTCCAGGCACTGTGTCGCTCTACGCCTATTAGGTTTTCTCCCAACGTAATAGTGGATTCTGAGAACGGGTCGAGATGGTATTCTTTCTCATAGATAGCGTACAGCTCAGATGTTGTGCTTGATATGCCTGGGATGTGTCTTGTGCGGCAGCTCCTTGGGATGGAGCGGCAGGCACTTATTTTCACAGCCACCAAGAAATTGTTGTATTTCTCCTGGGTGGGTGAGTGATGTCCCTGATTGATTTCTCCACTGCCTCTGTGAAGGCTACCCAATTGGAGGTATCTATTATGCATCCCATCTACTGACTTGATACTACTGACTACATACAATAGAGTCAGTAGTATATACACATATGGGGGGGGGAGGGGGGAAGAAGAGGACACCAGTGTGAACACCACCCTTCACCGAGAAGTCCTCCGCAGGAGCTAGAATATAGCGGCCAGAAGCCACTGAAATTCTAGTGTGCAAAAATCCCTGTACAGCCTTAGCAGACTGTTGGGGCAAGTGCCTTTAGCAAGCACTTACGAAGGCCGACACGTTACACGAGGGAGTGGGTGGCCAACACCACGTCCGGCCGCCTTTGTCTTCGCTCTGGCGATGTTTCCACTTTACGCCAGGTACTCATATGGCTGAGTCGACCTAGGGGAGGCTCAGGACCAGTTCATAAAATCGTCACTGGTGTTGGTCGTGTGCAGGAATCGAACTTGGCTCGCTGGGTTCGTAGCACAATGCTCTACCTGCTGTTCTACCATTCCCCGGTAGTATAACAAATCCTCGGAGGCAATGGAGCTTAGTTATAATATTCATATAAATTGTGGCAGAGATAATCCTGCTCCATAGCCTTAAAACACATGCTAAAGAAAGTATATTTGGGCTAATACGATTGGTTATGAGGACATCCCAAAATGTGGGTGCTGCGCAAAGTGCAGGCCCTGGAACCAGTCTAAGTTCTCAATCTAGCAAGGGTCAACAGGCAAAATCTTGGATTTTTGATGGATCGAGAATGTCAGTTAAATATTTAGCTAATTTGAAATAAAGAAAATTTTGTAGATGAAAATAGTCCCCTATACAGGTAGATTTCAACATAACTCCAGCGAGGTTAGATTAGCTTCAAAGTAAGCTCACAATGATGAGTTATAATAAGTGCTCATCGAAGGCAAATTTGAGAGCCGAATTATAAAGAAAATGTAGTTTATTGAGCAGAGTGTTTGATCTGCACGCTACATCACAACAATAGCAAGGCATGTTTTGAGAGGAATCAGTGCTTATTTATATACAAGACCAATTTCACGTGTATTTATTTATTGAGTAAACACATAGTCAATATGAGTGGAACGTAACATAAGTGTCTCAAGAGGCCAAAGTGTTTTTAGTGGGTTGTCTGTTCGATACATTCACCACTTGACAGCTGTAATTAAAGTGGCTAGACATGGTTGAGAATAACAAGTTTCGTTTCATTAGCATTAACAAGTTTGATTGGCTTTTCATTATCAAATTAATTTTCCCAAAAGCACTCCAACCTGCTCTCACTTGACTGTTTATTTAATTATTCTTATTCACGACCCGCCTGACATAATTACCTGAGCTATGCTGCATATGTTAAAAGTGTTGTCCCTCTGATGTCCATCTACATGTTGTCTGTCGAATTTGAAATCGAATTTACAGCCACCTTTATAGGGTTCATCAATAATAATAATCTGTAAATCCATTGGTTGTTATAATAACGTCATCAGCAAATCGAGATGGTTGCTGTCTCCATTTGTGTTGAATGTTTATAAACTATCAAACTTTTTTTTAATCATAAAGGTTTTTGGGTTAGATCGCGTTATTTATAAATGTGTCGTAACCCTCCACCACCCGACACGGCCAAACAGTAAAGAAAAGTGTCATGTTTACAAAGGACACATAGTTCACTACTTTAGCCCACCGGTGTGTTGAAGAGTGAATCAACATCATTTAAAATTTTGAGTACGACGTTTCGCTGGTAATTACATCCAGCATCATCGGGCAATTTTGCCAGAATGGTGAGGCCCTCCACTTCCTCGCGCTTACTGACTTGATACTACTGACTACATACAACAGTCAGTAGTATCTGCACATATGGTGGGGGGGGGGGGGAAGAAGAGGACACCAGTGTGAACATCACCCTTTACCGAGAAGCCCTGTGCAGGAGCTAGAAGGTGAGGCTCACTGAGTTTTATGTCGCTCTTTTTCAGAAGCGACCTGGCCTTTCAAAAATGATAGCTCAAAGGAGTGGCGTATGTGGAAATTGATAGCAGCCGAATACTCGTAAATGCATAATTCTAAATACGGAGGTGAAAACCGAAGGACCCAAGGAAAAATCCACGCGACCACGGGGAGAGAGAGATGCAAAATCCTAATATACAGCAGGCATCAGGGTCGGGATCAAACCCACGACCTCCTGTAGATGTAATGAACATCTCGCCACCTTGGCATATCACTTTGGTTAGTGTATCTTTTTTACCAGACTCCCCCGTGATAGAAAACGGACATCAACAATAGCATGACATAGCATTTTGAAGTAATTTGAATGTCATGCCTATAGGTGTCTCCATGCTACAATGAGCATCGGGTGTGAATAGTCAACTTATCTGTTGATTTCCACAAACATGGTTCGGATTTGACGACTCACCAGTGTCTTCTTACCTTCAACGTGACTTTACCGAAAAAACTAAGAATATAATATAAACACAGTAAAGGCTCAGAGTACGCCGGGGGTGAAGTGTACCGTGTACGAGTGTCTATATACAATGTATGTGTACACTTATATATACTACTATACACCTATACGAGTGTCTATATACAATTTAAGAGTGTATATACAATGCATATACATGTTTAATAAAGTCCAGTACTGTAAAGTCAATTATTCTCTAATCATCGATAGCATCCGTGTCAGATAGAACACTCTGGATTTATTTGGACTCGTTTCTTGCACGGGCGATAGTTCCACGCCATCAAATCCATGTTCACGTGATGGCGGGGGGTGATTTGACTCATCGCTTCCCGCCTTGTGTGTGTGTGGCAAAAGTACGAGTCGCAAGTCTAAGTAGGAATCGGGGTCGGTCGCGTATGAGTGGGTCCATGTACTCTGAGCCCGCGTACTCCGAGACCTGAGTGTATATTATTCCCCCTCTGCTGGAGGCTTTGAACCAGGAGTGGATATTCCACATGTCCATGGTGGTAGCTATATGAATGCTCTGTCACAGCATAACCTAACCGGATTCCTTCATACACTCTCTTTCACAAACACACACGATTTACTATATTTTTTCACGAGATTATTTATTTCACTTAATCTCTGCCACTCATGCCATATGAACTGCCGCACGTAATCTCTCCCCAACCCTAACACAACCATGCTTTTACTTTGGCAGCGTTTGACCTGGATGTGGAGTACGTGCTAGTGAAAGAAAAGAAGACTCATACGGATGCAAGAGCTTATTGCAAAAAGAAAAGAGGGGACTTGGCAAACCCAAAGTTCCCTGTCCAGAACTGTAAATTATACAGATTAATTAACAATGATGTATATATTGGAATTAATGACATAGATAAGGAAAATAACTTCGTATATGCAGATGGAACACCGCTATGTGAATTCATAAACTGGGATAAAGGGGAACCTAACAATCTGGGAGAGGAAGATTGTGTTGTAATGAAAAGCAATGGCATGTGGAATGATGTTTCATGTTCGAAGACGTTTCCATTCTTATGTGAGATTCCAAAAAATAATTCCAGCACTTAGATTACGATTTATAGTTATTGCTTATCGAATATAAACTTCAGACATTGTATGACCCATATTTGTTTTTGGGTTAGGGCCACGTCGCATTTTTATGCCAAAAAATATTGTAATTAACCCTCCACAACCTGCCATAATTGTCATGTTTTTCATTATATTATCGATACGTGCTATTTGTTGATCAAATCCTGCCCAATAGAGCTTATAGCCATTTTACCCAATTTCAGAATTCAGTTTATGACACAAAAAGTTGGTTTCCATCAACACCTGAATCACACCGGTGAGATTTCAGATTTCTCATTTAGAATTAGAGTTGTGGTTCGTGGCCTCAAGTTTAGGTAACAAAGTCTGCATCGGATTTTAAAATCTCACGTGATAACGTAACGTGCGCATGCAGATTCGGATTCATTGAGAAAAAAATGTAATACACCGGCAAATCCTTAATGAACGGCGCCTCCTCCACCACACGGGCGCATGCTGCCCATGCACTTTCCTCGGTGAACTGGTCTGGTGGGAGCTCAGCACTGGCGCATTATTATTATACATTGCCTTCGTGTTCAAATTATAAACGAGTCTATTTACACAAGTTATCACATCACACTGGAAAACCTGAATCAGATTTTGGTAACTCTGGAACCCGGAGCCATTAATTGCCACTGCACGGTAGTGAAGTAAAGTCTGTGTGTGTAGAACCGTGTGCTTCGAAGTTCACGTGTGTATGTTTCCTGCCTCCACGTGTACTTACCAGCACGGGGGGACGTCAGATAACGCCTGGAACCCACATGGCGGGGTGAGGGACACTTGTCAAGTAGTGGACTTAAAAATGACTGGACATGTACATCATATAAATACTGTACAACATTTTTCAGCAAAAAATTATATTTTAAGTTTCACGTCTACAAATATAAAACCATGGGCGATACGTTGACATCTACTCATCCATTTAGTGCATGTATGTTTCTGTTTTGTAATCTCTGTAAGAGTCTATTTGTATTGCCGCATGTTGTATTCATTTACTTATATTAACCTCCTTTCAGCTTATACGAATTAAAGTTGCTTAAAAAGTCTCATTTGTTCCGTGGTTCGTGTATTTTTGCCCGTTTTCAGCGTCTTCCATCTGTGCACTGTTGAATGGACATGGAGAATTCGCAGCACGGGAATTCAGATAACTGAAGCCCTCAGAATGAAATGCGTGACTATGCAAGTTAGTCGACTACACTTTACAGAATCAGAATCTGTCCTGGAGGAAGCCGATGAGCTATGAAGCTCTTCACAGATGTCCACTAGGGGCGGGTGAGCAAGTAACAAGATGAAACAATACACAATGCAAAGCGGTAAACATCCTTCCCAGAGCCTTTACCACAAGGGCACGACCCATCAAGCTAAAGTAAATACTTTTCATGGAGAACTGTGTTTTAATAACAGGAGTGAGCACACTTCTATGCATTTATAAAGAAGCTACTCGGAGACGTCCACTCTTTGAAAAGGTTAAGTGTTTATTTCCATATTCTTAGCTCTTTCGGTAAAGTCACGTTGTTTATTTCCAGTTAATAACGTATTTACAACTCCGCAATCAGTCGACCTCGATGCCGAGTCCACCCTGCAGCTCGCTGATGCCTCGCGCCTCTTCTTATATACCCGCTAGGCCCCGCCTCTTCTTATATACCCGCTAGGCCCCGCCTCTTCTTATATACCCGCTAGGCCCCGCCTCTTCTTATATACCCGCTAGGCCCCGCCTCTTCTTATATACCCGCTAGGCCCCGCCTCTTCTTATATACCCGCTAGGCCCCGCCTCTTCTTATATACCCGCTAGGCCCCGCCTCTTCTTATATACCCGCTAGGCCCCGCCTCTTCTTATATACCCGCTAGGCCCCGCCTCTTCTTATATACCCGCTAGGCCCCGCCTCTTCTTATATACCCGCTAGGCCCCGCCTCTTCTTATATACCCGCTAGGCCCCGCCTCTTCTTATATACCCGCTAGGCCCCGCCTCTTCTTATATACCCGCTAGGCCCCGCCTCTTCTTATATACCCGCTAGGCCCCGCCTCTTCTTATATACCCGCTAGGCCCCGCCTCTTCTTATATACCCGCTAGGCCCCGCCTCTTCTTATATACCCGCTAGGCCCCGCCTCTTCTTATATACCCGCTAGGCCCCGCCTCTTCTTATATACCCGCTAGGCCCCGCCTCTTCTTATATACCCGCTAGGCCCCGCCTCTTCTTATATACCCGCTAGGCCCCGCCTCTTCTTATATACCCGCTAGGCCCCGCCTCTTCTTATATACCCGCTAGGCCCCGCCTCTTCTTATATACCCGCTAGGCCCCGCCTCTTCTTATATACCCGCTAGGCCCCGCCTCTTCTTATATACCCGCTAGGCCCCGCCTCTTCTTATATACCCGCTAGGCCCCGCCTCTTCTTATATACCCGCTAGGCCCCGCCTCTTCTTATATACCCGCTAGGCCCCGCCTCTTCTTATATACCCGCTAGGCCCCGCCTCTTCTTATATACCCGCTAGGCCCCGCCTCTTCTTATATACCCGCTAGGCCCCGCCTCTTCTTATATACCCGCTAGGCCCCGCCTCTTCTTATATACCCGCTAGGCCCCGCCTCTTCTTATATACCCGCTAGGCCCCGCCTCTTCTTATATACCCGCTAGGCCCCGCCTCTTCTTATATACCCGCTAGGCCCCGCCTCTTCTTATATACCCGCTAGGCCCCGCCTCTTCTTATATACCCGCTAGGCCCCGCCTCTTCTTATATACCCGCTAGGCCCCGCCTCTTCTTATATACCCGCTAGGCCCCGCCTCTTCTTATATACCCGCTAGGCCCCGCCTCTTCTTATATACCCGCTAGGCCCCGCCTCTTCTTATATACCCGCTAGGCCCCGCCTCTTCTTATATACCCGCTAGGCCCCGCCTCTTCTTATATACCCGCTAGGCCCCGCCTCTTCTTATATACCCGCTAGGCCCCGCCTCTTCTTATATACCCGCTAGGCCCCGCCTCTTCTTATATACCCGCTAGGCCCCGCCTCTTCTTATATACCCGCTAGGCCCCGCCTCTTCTTATATACCCGCTAGGCCCCGCCTCTTCTTATATACCCGCTAGGCCCCGCCTCTTCTTATATACCCGCTAGGCCCCGCCTCTTCTTATATACCCGCTAGGCCCCGCCTCTTCTTATATACCCGCTAGGCCCCGCCTCTTCTTATATACCCGCTAGGCCCCGCCTCTTCTTATATACCCGCTAGGCCCCGCCTCTTCTTATATACCCGCTAGGCCCCGCCTCTTCTTATATACCCGCTAGGCCCCGCCTCTTCTTATATACCCGCTAGGCCCCGCCTCTTCTTATATACCCGCTAGGCCCCGCCTCTTCTTATATACCCGCTAGGCCCCGCCTCTTCTTATATACCCGCTAGGCCCCGCCTCTTCTTATATACCCGCTAGGCCCCGCCTCTTCTTATATACCCGCTAGGCCCCGCCTCTTCTTATATACCCGCTAGGCCCCGCCTCTTCTTATATACCCGCTAGGCTCCGCCTCTTCTTATATACCCGCTAGGCCCCGCCTCTTCTTATATACCCGCTAGGCCCCGCCTCTTCTTATATACCCGCTAGGCCCCGCACTGATCGGACAGTGCTTATCGTCCCCACTTACGGCACGCGTCGTCAATTACCTCAACGTGCGTTATTTCATTATTTCACTTTCTCCTGAGTCCCCTGCACGTTTATTGTAAAACAATAAATACGCCTGCCATTCCATTTATAACACGGAAACCAACATCTGTACAAGTGTAATGACCGAAATGAAGAGACGCTCGCCCCAAGCCAACGTGCAGCCAAACTGTAATTCAAAAAGTAGGCCAAGGCCTCCTATTGGCGGAAAGAGGCCTCCACGACGATTGGTCGAGAGGCAGGGCTTGCAGGGATTGGAGGAGAGGTTTAAGCGGGAAACAGAGCGGGGCCCAGAGGCGACGGTTGGGAACCGTTGGAGGACAGGGATTGGCTGCGGGGAAAAACAGCGAGGGAAAGTTCGAGAAAGGGGGGCTCGAGAAAGGTAAAAAAGGAGAGCACGGGGAGAGGGGGGGGCACGGGGAGGGGGGGGGAGGGCACGGGGAGGGGGCACGAGGATGGGGGGGGAGAGCACGAGGATGGGGGGGGGGGGAGAGTACGAGGAGGGGGTGGGGGAGAGAGCACGAAGAGAGGGGGGGAGCACGAGGAGGGGGGGGGGGGAGAGCACGAGGAGGGGGGGGAGAGCACGAGGAGGGGGGGGGAGAGAGCACGAGGGGGGGGGGAGAGCACGAGGAGGGGGTGGGGGAGAGAGCACGAAGAGAGGGGGGGAGCACGAGGAGGGGGGAGAGAGCACGAGGAGGGGGGGGGGGAGAGAGCACGAGGGGGGGGGGGAGAGCACGAGGAGGGGGTGGGGGAGAGAGCACGAAGAGAGGGGGGGGGGGAGCACGAGGAGGGGGGGGAGAGCACGAGGAGGGGGGGGGAGAGCACGAGGAGGGGGGGGGGAGAGAGCACGAGGAGGGGGGGGGGGAGAGAGCACGAGGGGGGGGGGAGAGCACGAGGAGGGGGTGGGGGAGAGAGCACGAAGAGAGGGGGGGGGGAGCACGAGGAGGGGGGGGGGAGAGCACGAGGGGGGGGGGGGGTGAGCACGGGAAGTGGCGAGCTTCAAGAGCAAGAAAGAAGCCCGGGCCATAGTGTTGTGGTTAAAATTAAGAGGCGCTTCGTACAGAGTCGGTGTCATTCACAAGGATAAGCCGTTCACCAATATATATAAAAAACTAATCCCCTTTCTAAACTGTAAATAGTTTCTGAAATTGTGTGACCTTACTTGTATGAATGGACATCTTTTGCACCGTAAATAGCCAACCGTGCTCATCGGAGGTGCTTGGAGTCGGGGAAGACTCCTCAATGGAGTGGATGGTTGAGTGCGATGGTTCGCGTAAGATACTTATCCATCGATGGACAAACGCTAAATTATAAAACCGTCATCATATTAGAGTTGAACTCCAAAATTCCACGCTACTATGGGAGAAGTATCTCACACACGCCGACGAATTATTATCTCACTGCGATACTCAAAAAACATTAAATAAAATCGCACATTTTTTGGAGTTACTAGCCGCGTGACTCGCAATACACATTTTTTTTATTGGAGTTGCGAGGCACCCGTCTAACCACTCTATTAACATTTGCCAAACCTCATGGATTTTGGGAGTCTCGCCCCACGGAATATTCGTTTCCGCGACCCATCGGAGCACTCACATTTGTTGGATTAGCCAATTGAACCTCATGGCCGGACCCCGGAGTCACATAAGCCCCCCGACTCTCGCACAAACTGCGTCGCAACGTCGTTTTATGTCTGTTGAAGGCGAACGATACGGCAATCTATTCCTCTCGACGAGCGCTACACGATGCGCTAATCAACGTTAATCTTTTTTACCTATTTACTTTAGCGATTTTTTGTTACCTTTCCTATACCTTGCACTCCGTTTTTTGTATCGTTGGTTGTAGCTTTCTGACCCACTCCCACTGGACATCTCTGAAAAAGAGCTTCATAGCTCAGATTTCTCCAGGATAAATAAAGATTCTGATTCTGCAAGCACAAAGCCATTTTGTTTGTGTAAACATGTAAAGCAGGTTTCCACTTTTGCTCCAAAAGCTGGTCATACTTCTTGCATGACATCAAGAGTTATTCCACCAATCCAATGACTGTATTTAATGCTTTATCATTAAGATTGCAAGCTTTACTTCCACCTGTCTTGCTGACAATATATAGCAAACGGTGATAAGATGGCTGTAATTCCTCCAAGTTCAGTCGTATAACCAGTGTTTGCTAAAAACAAGACAACTCAACAATTATAGGACTAAGAAATAATGTAATTAACAGGACGATGATATATAACAAATACGATGGCTCAAATGCTCCAAGGTTCAGTCATAAAAAACACAGATAATTGTAAAGAAATATACAAATAGCTGAATGCATGAATACTGCTTTAAATCAAAGATTCTGTGCACAGACCAATTAGTAAATAAGATACAGTATCACAAGACAAATATTTCCGCGTTCAGTACTGAGGTTGTGGCGCCACCTCTGACACGTGTTCAAGTAAACAGGAACTGAATTCATACTTCCTGCTGGCAAGGAAATTTGCATATCCACCGAGATCTATTCAGAAAATAAAACATTGAAGGATATATATTGCTCATTGCTCTTCAAGTAAACAGACATTTATTTCAGATACCTCAAAATAATGTAAGTAGATACACGATTAAAATGGGCCTTGTATGTCAGACGGGAGCAGTTGGGGACGGCGTGGCATGTTTCTCCCGTTACTCCAAGGATCCATAGAAACAAGCCGTTTCGTTGGAAGTTGGGGGAACCTTTGGGATTTACATAGAGTTGTAAATCTCCTCTAAAAATGGTGCGTGGTGTTAGCGAGGCAACGTGCACCGACCCATAGGTCTTAAATAAACTGGATGAAGTTAATGTCTTCGTTTCATTGAGCGAATTGTTATAGGTCGTATTCTTATTCATCACATGCTCGTGGCTTAATGCCATGATCCACTCGTACAATTTTAGGGCAATCGTGTTCCGGCATCAACCATGAGCTATGGCAACTTGGTGGTGTTTGTTTAACAATGACTGGTCCTATAGAGTGAAATCATCTGCAGTTCACATGACTCAAGAGGCCCATCATGGCCCATCAGACCAACTCACCACACCACCATCTTCATACAATCGCACAAGTAAAAAAATATGAATAAGCCAAACTACTGCCTCGCATTCAGACTTAAAAGCCATTTTTTTTAAGAGGGCGAGCCATCGAGTAGTCACGTGACCTCTGCATCTGATCCGATTGCAACTTGCCATGGCAGTTGCCCACGAGGAGCTGCCATTATATTTGCGCAGATTTTTTTTCATAAAAACATGTTTTTAAGTCTATCCTGTACACACCAAATATGTAGTACAGATTTGACGTTCAAATTGCAATGCTGCACTTGGAATTATTGCGTGAGACGAAAGAAAACGCAACACGGACTTGAAAAGGGTCAAACCGCAATTCACTTGGGGTCACCCCGCAGTAGTAACAGAAAGCCATGGCCGTCAAGACGAAACTTCTTTCATAGCAAAAAGGCATTGGAGTGCTTCACACAAGGCAAACGGCCGTGCGATCCAGCACAAGGCAGCAATGGTGAGGGGTAATGGCTTCAACGCAATTGGCTGTGTTGACCTCTTGACCCCATTGTTCTGTAAAAAGTCTGCCCCGCTCACAATGCCACCACACGTTGATAACTTCACTCGGAATGGCATTTCATATTCTTGTCTATTTACATATTAGTGCCACGGTCACCTGTAAATCGAAATTTAAAGTCACCTGTAACTTCATTTTTTGAAGGGAATTTTATATTTAACTTTTATTTAACAGAGAGTCATGTTCGTGCAATATGTTTGATTTCCCATGTGATGGTTGTTTTCGGTTTGGATTTCTTGTTGTTTTTGTCATTTTGGCGACCGTAACACTCTTGCAAATGAGTTATCAGGTGGCTAAACGAAATTAACTTTGACACTTGAAGGTGGATGGCCTCCAAATTCCACTTATTATCAAGTAATTTGGTCCAATTTTGAATACCGGCCAAACAGGTAGGAAAAGGTCAGGTACCCACACAGCACTCCACCACGACGAGTGGTCTACAATATACTGCGGTGTATGCTTTAACATTTTGGGTGGACAAAAGCAGTACTGGATGAAGAGACTTCACAAGGCATGCCACCTGGTGTAGATATGCTTTGACAAATATCTTTCAGCATAATTTTTCCAGCATTTAGTGATGTACTGCTGACCGTGACCATTCCAAAAGGAGACGGTGCTTTACTCATTACCTGAGGAAACAAGCGACCACCTTGGCTTGTATTTAAACCCAGTATTCTTTGAGTTGTGGGTCACATTGTTCCAGCCACTGCACCATCTGGTGTAGATTAAGAGTCATATTGAAGAAACCCCAGAGGGTGCAACTAATTCTACACGTACTCTCCTTGCATCCTCAATGTAATCACCGATTCCAAAGCTGCTCACCGACGTATCTGTGAAGGTACAATCAATGTTGAGCTTCATAAAATCAATCGCCTCTGTCGACGTTGACTAAACTGCACACCTCTCTATATGCAGCAACGGAGCGGAAATGGCCGATGATGATCATAATAAAACGCTGATTTTCAAAATCCTTCTAAGTATATCTGTAGGTCGGCCTTCTCCTCCTTCAAGTCTTTCAGCATATCTTTGGTTGTTTTAGTGAAGTTGTTATCATACAGCCTGGAAGAAACAATACAACCACAAAGGTTAAACTTTAAACAGGTGTCGTACAAATCAATGAAGACATTGCCTCGACAACGCGTGCCGATTCTGTGATTTAAAACTGCTTCTGTGTTTGTATTACAAAAATGTATAGTTTTACATATGAACAGACAATAAAAGACAATCAAACACAGAAAGCATGCGGATGTTCCTGAATCCAGGTTTACCATAGTCGTAAACAGTCTGAAAAACACAACATGAGTGTATTTAATACCGAGCGTAGATGCGCACACCTGCAATCAAAAGCATATTCGTCATTAACACTGGCCTGAAATAAAACCATAAATAATAATTTAACAATGTGCAGAAAAATATATATATAATAGACGACATTGACACCGCGTTATCTTTTGGATACGATTTGTGATTGCGTGGCCTGGGTTGGAGGATCGCACAAACGTCGTCACGCGTGTGAAACGTCCTGCAGACCACGTCATGGCCTGTGAGGCAGTATACCAAAAAGGTTGCTACAGCAATAAGGTTGCTGGCCTGCCCGTGTGGATGTTTAAGCGAATGCTACCTTCACTCTTCTACGCCACTACAATTGTAACGACCGAATGAGTATTTCACGTTTCTGTAAATGCAGTCTGCTTTTGTCTTGTGAGGTGGTAAAGGAGGCTGCGCGCCAGTGCCATATGAATGCCACGCACCAGATCTCCTTCATTCCTGTGTTGAGCCGAAGACCTTCGACGATATAGCTTCCTCCCTCGTCGCACATATGATTGTCTCTCAACCTACAACATAGGAAACATTTTCTTATACACCGAGGAAGAAAAATCGTACATACGTACGGATTCTGTAACATTTTCCATTATACTTTTGTCCTCAGAAATATTTAATTAGTCGTAATGTATGTATGTTGAAATTCTTTCGCACACCGTATGTAGCCAACCGTGTTCATCGGAGGTGCGGGGGAAGGACAACAAACAATTCTATGATGTAAACGCGTGATGTTGCGAGATGACATCACACGTAATGGCATCACGACGAAGCGAGGTGCGTGCACGTGGAGTGTGATGTCATTGCCTTGGCCTGAAGAAGCTTCTCCACTTTGCGCTGTATTTTAGCGCCAACTCTTGGGCAACCCTTTCATTAATTGGGCAACTTATCTGTAAGGACAAGTCCAAAATGATAACACCACTTTATAACTTTATATGAGTAAATACTAACCTCAAGTTGGTTAAAGTTGTGTTGACCTTCAGCATCTCTCCGATGTAGCGTGCTCCCTCCGCACCGATTTTGTTACAGGCGAACCTACGGCATCAAAGGTTTTGGGGGGGGGGGTGGTCAGGCGATCCGATGCGACGCATTTAGTCCGAAAGAAACGATTCATAATTATGTGACTAAACCGTCCATGATGAGACAACACACAACCTGGGAGCGAGCGTCCCGGGAATGGTCTCGTGTTTACAATCTAAGTGGGCCGGGTGGCTCAAGGCCAGTTCACTGAACAGGCACCTGGAGTCTACAAACTAAGTTGCACCTGTGGTGGGTGTTACATTGGGGAAACAAAACTCGGACCGTGTTCGCGAGCACAAGTCAGATCTGAAACACGGTAGAACTAATACCTCCGCCGTGGCTGACCATTGCTATAACGCTGTGGGTTTTCATGATATTGTTTTTTCCGAGACCAAGGTACCAGAGTACCAGAGTACCTTGGTCTGCACACCTTCGGGCTACTATCAAAGGTTTGTTCATGAAGCCATCCAGATATATAAACCTAGACATAACTTCAACCGAGAAGATGGATACAATTTGAGCAATCATTAGAAGGATGTCATTAACCAGGTAAAACCTTAACGGCTTTATTGTGTTGCCTTCATATCCGCATCTCCAGTCTTCGTCAGCCTCCCACTCCCAGCCCCGCTCACTTCCCCCCCCCCCCGGCATTTTGCCATACTCGCCCTTTAATCCCTTCTAGCAGCGCTTCACTTGGCAGCGCTCCACTCCCCCTACCCCACTCCCCCTTCTCTATCTCTCCTCCCTGGCTCCTCCCCCCTCTCTTACCTATATAGCCTCTTGGTGCAGCAGCCCTTTTGCCCACTTCAGCAATTGTTTCTTGCTTTGGTTTTTCCACCTGATGACGGACGCTTGTGTTGCGCCCGGAACGCCGTGATTTAATTTATTTTATATCTACGCAACTTCACCGAAAGAACAAAAGAGTATAGGCACCGCTGTGATCCTGGGTTTGAATCTGGGTTTCAGACACCTGTGATTGAACTGGGTGGTCAAGTGTGGTTAGTTAATGGTCTCAACCAGGTCAAAATTAACTCAACAAAATCACCACGTAACATTTCTCCTACGGTTGTGAATAAATAAATAAAAAATATATAGCGCGTTTGGTGTGTCACGCGACGAGCTGTATCCTCATGTTGCAAGGAAAGAGTAAACGTGCTGCCTCCTACTGCGTGCCACTGGAAGTGATCTCCGAGGTAGCTCTGCAACTTGCAGACGTCTCAGAACGGGGAAGGGTTAAAGAGGAAGATCCGGGGGAAAAGCTAGCACAGGTGGCAACGCGAGTACACCTCAAGGTGACAAAACCCTCACCTGAGGTCATCCAAGCTCGTGTTCACCATCAGGGCCTCTGCCACATGTCTGGCTCCCTCAGCACCGACATTGTTGTGAGTAATGCTGCAAGCGAATGTGCAGCGAAACAAATTTTCAGACGACGTATTCATACGTACGACACACGAGTACACACGCACACTAATGTGAACCGATGAACAGCGGCGGAAAGCTTTTAAGGCGGAAATGTTAAATGTAACCAAAGCTTAACGTTTGTTAAAATAATCGAACCCGACGTGAAATAAAAGGAATCTGACAGACTTTGTTTGTATGGGTTACTCATTTGTAACATGCTTATACTGCCAGTTTCCCGGCGGGTTTTACTGTAATAATAACGGTGTGTTTTGGGGCGATTCAGTACTTACTAGAGAGCCTTTATCCGACAATCCTCGCTACGTAGGGCTTCAGCAATCACCTCTGCTCCCTTCTCCCCCAGTTTGTTGTTGCTGAAGCTGTCACAGGATACAAAAATTAAAAAAAATTGCTTTTAATAGTGCGCCCTTCAAGCTACAGTGTGTCTCAGTGCTTAACCACGTGATGAAGAATTATTAAAAACTTAAAATGTTTTCTTCCAAAAGTATTTTATTGAACAAACGATGGAGGTACACACAGGCGGCATGTATGGGAATTGACAATAACATAGACAAAATGCGGAGTACTGTTGTATATGGCCCTTTTTCCACAATTAATATTCATAAGAATATTTACAGATGCATACACATAGATTTCTTTTTCCTTTCTTTTGTGACAAACATATATATTTTTTAATAATGAATAAAACCCGTAAGCCAGAAACACGAAAAACCAGATGTCGGTCATCAACAGGCCATATATATAAAGACATAATAAAACTCTCAAGGCGAGGATGTAACAGCTATCGGCGAAAATCTCCAGATGAACAAGAGTTTGATGGGCCCTTAGGAAAGGTCCCTCCGAGGTCAGAACACCAAGAGAGCAGACACGGAGACGCCAACAGGGTAAATCGTATACATATTCTTTTCCTTATATGCCTGTAAAACAACAAAAATTTTTTAAAAGGCAACAACAAGAATAAGATAAAATTAGCGATCCTAACGCTCACTCCAATTAAGAACAGGCCACCAGACACATCAGTGAATTATTATCCAATGATTAATTCGCTATCAAATGATTTTCACCTTTAATACTTTTACTGTTAAAACAAAGCTTGGAGCAGGAATACCGAGTCACGTCAAAGGTTATCGAGAAGGAATGAGACAACGGGCAAACTTGCGAAAGAGTTTAAACAATATCCCAAGCAACCCCGACCACCTTTGTCTCTCTCACAGCGCGGAGAAGCAGGAATTACACCTTATCACAAGGGGCCATCTGGAAAAGCCAGCCGGGTTTGATGAGGAGACACACCCCACCCCACACACGGCAACCAGGCAAAGAAAGTTTTAAAGAAAATTGCAATATAATATTAATAATAACAACGTGTTAACCTTACACGACATTCCATTATAGAACCTTACAGAACCAAGGGATATGGATTCCAACAATCAAGAAACGGACCTCTTAAACTCAGGATGATAATTATTTTTCTTTTTAATAATTCCATCATAACAATTCGAACCTCGGTAAAACTGAGAGGTGTCGGGAGGACGTAGTTACAAACACGAGTCTTGGCGAACATGGGACCAAATGGTATTTGAGAAATATAAGTCGAAAGTATAAAGAGGTGCTCCCGACCACCTTTGTCTCTCCCGAAGAGCACGAGAGAGGAATTTCACGCCAGGGCAAACAGATCGTTATCGCGGGGACCATCTGCCACACACGGAACTTAGTAGTGGCCCCCACCCCACCCTGCACATGGGCAGCAAAAGAGGGAAGTAAGAGCCAAGGTAACGGGGTGGATTAGCCTGGTAGAATGTGGAGTCGAAATGATATTTGCAAAGTATAGAGAGATGGGAAGATCCCGGCCACCTTTGTCTTTCCCTGCAGCATGTGATAAAATGCATACGCTCGGAAGAGCATCTTCACTTGGAAATAAATCAAATACTATGAATCACAAGCAGGATCATAACTGTGTATGATAAGATACCAACTGTGATGTGAAATGTTAAACTTAAAAAAATCTTAACCATTTCTTTGTGCATTGAAAACGTGTACGAAAAAGGGGGGGGGGAACCCACCCCTCTCTCTGGGTGGATGGAGTAGACAACCAGACGCCACCAAGATGAATCGAGGTGTCTGTTGTCTTGATGTTTATGGCTTGAGGAAAGACCCGAACAGAACCGTGTCATAAATGACACACACACAAACATACACACTGACACACGAACCCCCCCCACCACCGACACACGAACCCCCCCCACCGACATACGATCAGATCAAAGATAGCTCCGCCTCGTGAGGGGGAGCCGAGGAGAGAGATTTTTGGCATAAAAAGGAGCCGTTTCAGCATTGAAATCAGCTCATCAGCCCTCGGGGCCAGCTCAACAGAAGAAGACTCATCTCAACTCATCTCAGCAGAAGACCAGCCATCACCGACGCCGGAGACTCTTCTACAACTCGCCGAATTGGCGAGTGTCGCCGATTGGCGACCCGCTGCCGCTGTTAGCGGCCAGCGCCACCACGAGCGAATCGTGTGCCTGCAATCTACAACCGCCGACGACGGAGCACCAGCGTGCCAGCTGCTCGCAGACGCACTGCGCGCATTACCTACCGTTCGCGTACAACCGCGCCGCTGCGGGCGTGCTTCTAACGCCATCAACCAGACGGTCATCGCAGCTACAACAACGTATCTACTCGTTCACCAACGTCCGTCGAGTCCGAACCAACTACTGAAAGAAGAATCAACTGATACGTATGATACACTGCCCCCCACTACACGACAAACCAGACGTCTGCTTGACGCAAAGAATCGATTCCGAACATTGGCCTACTCTTTCACCACTCATACCATTCAACACACACACCATTCAACACATTAACAAAGCCTAAAACCTCAAGCCATTGAACCATCCGTGATTGTGGAAACATCGCAACGACCGAGTGAATAATCCATCGTTTTTAAGAGTGTTCATAATTTTCCTCTTTAATATTGTGCTGGGGCTGTACTTCTAACCGCATACATTACCAACTGACCCATTAACAAGGATTAATTCTTGGCACCTCACCACGGAGCGCCGCTCGCGGGGGTGAAGAGCTTGTTCAACCGGTTCCCTGTCAGGGGTCTGGCCACAATTAATTAAAAGATTGGCCCGAGATAAGGATCTCAAAAGGAAACATCGCCACCCATTGAGTCGCGTTGAGAAGTTGATTAGGAATACTTGAGTCGTTCGTCAATATTTGTCTTTCTGCACAATCTTGCTGGTATCCACGAATGAAATAACGAATTCAAACGCATATTTGTGCCTCCAAGAATAATACTGGTTGGAGTGCCCTGTCAACGAGTAGCGTTGCATAATAATCAGTCATCCTATTGTTAACAACGTGACAATAATTGCATTAAGGGCCGCGCATGATCAATGACCGAATGCTGTGTTGTGTGACAATTCAAGTAACGAAGCATTGCGGCCATCGAGTGGTGTTGATAAGGCAATTAGAAGTATTTCAGTCGAACGCTTTAAATTCATAATCGTTATGAATCAATGAACGAACATCAACGTGGTACTGTGCTGACGATTTCAAGCATAATAACTTCGCATATCAGAATGTATTAAGGATTGGATACGAATCAAAGACCAAGTGCCGTGTTGTGTAACAATTCAAGCATACGAGTTTGCATATTATAAAGTTAAGGTTTGATAGAATAGTTCGCATGTTTTTAATCTCTCTCAACAACCGATCGATTGCGTTACGCGTCGGGAATTAACCACAGGTGCCGCTATCGAGGTGAAACAACGCAATCGTGATGGTATCATATTAACGCTGTGTTGAAATTCCAAAATCCCGAGATTGAGTTTTTATATTATCCAAAAATTAAAGTTAGCTAGAAATAAAATTGATTAAAGCAGGTTTGTGTGTGATTCTTCCTGAAATTCTGCATAATATTGTTCTGCGTATGAGATCTGAATCCTGGAGACCTATCATAAGCACACTATCACCACACATAATTCATAATGTTCAATCGAGAGTAATCGTATCCTTATCGATAATACGGAATTAAAGAGCAGAGTCGAATCGACTCTCTCTCATTCACGCTCACAACGCCGGCGTCACTGCATACGATTAATTGCGTTATTCCAATTCATAACACAATCCTCGTCACCGAGGCTCGACCTGATAATCCATAACGACCTGCATTATCATAACCACGCCCACTCGCATAAATGAATACGGTTATCTCTAGAATCAGCATAATTTATGCGCATAATTACACCGATTAACATAATTTCGGATAAATTATACAAATTTCATTTAATTTTCATTATTTTCATCAATTTTCATAACACCTATATATACAACAGTACAATGATTATTACCAACGTGTTATATTTTGAACCTGCCTATGCCATGTGCTTCAATAAACTCTACATCCCTGGCGTCTGCTTCCTTAATTTGGATAACCATCTATAGAACTGTATTTAAAAAAAGGGTTAAAATAATTTAAAAGAAATGTGGAGAACAAGATTAACAGCAACGGAAAGAGAATAAAGAGAGAGGGAGGTTGGAGGGAGGTAGAGAGGCATGGAAGCGGGGTATACGGCGAGGGAAAAAAGTATTTGATCCCCTGCTGATTTTGTACGTTTGTCCACTGACAAAGAAATGATCAGTCTATAATTTTAATGGTAGGTTTATTTGAACAGTCAGAGACAGAATAACAACAACAAAATCCAGAAAAAAACGCATGTCAAAAATGTTATAAATTGATTTGGATTTTAATGGGGGAAATAAGTATTTGACCCCCTCTCAATCAGAAAGATTTCTGGCTCCCAGGTGTCTTTTATAGAGGTAACGAGCTGAGATTAGGAGCACACTCTTAAAGGGAGTGCTCCTAATTTCAGCTTGTTACCTGTATAAAAGACACCAGTCCACAGAAGCAATCAATCAGATTCCCAACTCTCCACCATGGCCAAGACCAAAGAGCTCCCCAAGGATGTCAGGGACAAGATTGTAGACCTACACAAGGCTGGAATGGGCTACAAGACCATTGCCAAGCAACTTGGTGAGAAGGTGACAACAGTTGGTGATATTAAGCGCAAATGCAAGAGGCACAAAAGAACTGTCAATCTCCCTCGGCCTGGGGCTCCATGCAAGATCTCACCTCGTGGAGTTGCAATGATCATGAGAACGGTGAGGAATCAGCCCAGAACTACACGGAAGGATCTTGTCAATGATCTCAAGGCAGCTGGGACCATAGTCACCAAGAAAACAATTGGTAAACCACTACGCCGTGAAGGACTGAAATCCTGCAGCACCCGCAAGGTCCCCCTGCTTAAGAAAGCACATATACATGCCCGTCTGAAGTTTGCCAATGAACATCTGAATGATTCAGAGGACAACTGGGTGAAAGTGCTGTGGTCAGATGAGACAAAAATGGAGCTCTTTGGCATCAACTCAACTCGCAGTGTTTGGAGGAGGAGGAATGCTGCCTATGACCCCAAGAACACATTCCCCCTGGCAAACATGGAAGTGGAAACATTATGCTTTGGGGGTGTTTTTCTGCTAAGGGGACAGGACAACTTCACCGCACTAAAGGGACGATGGACGGGGCCATGTACCGTCAAATCTTGGGTGAGAACCTCCTTCCCTCAGCCAGGGCATTGAAAATGGGTCATGGATGGGTATTCCAGCATGACAATGACCCAAAACATACGGCCAAGGCAACAAAGGTGTGGCTCAAGAAGCACATTAAGGTCCTGGAGTAGCCTAGCCAGTCTCCAGACCTTAATCCCATAGAAAATCTGTGGAGGGAGCTGAAGGTTCGAGTTGCCAAACGTCAGCCTCGAAACCTTAATGACTTGGAGAAGATCTGCAAAAAGGAGTGGGACAAAATCCCTCCTGAGATGTGTGCAAACCTGGTGGCCAACTACAAGAAACGTCTGACCTCTGTGATTGCCAACAAGGGTTTGCCACCAAGTACTAAGTCATGTTTTGCAGAGGGGTCAAATATTTATTTCCCTCATTAAAATTCAAATCAATTTATAACATTTTTGACATGCGTTTTTCTGGATTTTTTTGTTGTTATTCTGTCTCTCACTGTTCAAATAAACCTACCATTAAAATTATAGACTGATCATTTCATTGTCAGTGGGCAAACGTACAAAATCAGCAGGGGATCAAATACTTTTTTCCCTCACTGTAGCAGCCAAATACTCTAAACGCACGTTGTTTCTAAGTGTGGAGGGAGAAACCTGTAGAAACAAATCTACGCGACCACGGGGAGAAATATAGAGCAGGTGTCAGGGTCGGGATCGAATCCACGACCTCCTGTATACCAGGCGAGGTAGTTAATATCTCGCCACCGTGGTGCCCTTATGACAAGGGGCAAGTAGATTACAGAGAAAAGACAAGGGAAAATAAAAGGGAAGTTGGATACATTTGGGGTAGGGGAGTAGAAAGTTTCTGGGGGTCAGGAGCGCAGAGCGGTCCCGTGCCACTCCCTTCAACCCCCAGTAAAAAGATAATAAGATGAGATATGAATTGTGGGAGGGCGTTAATCTGAAAGATACCGAGAGGGAGTGCCACATCGAGGTGGCAAAATGGGAATCGGAGTGCCCACCCAAAGGGATTTCAGATTGAATTTCGATTTGGAGAGTAGGGATATGTAAAGAGACCGGAGATTTTGAGAGGCGGAAGAGAGGGAGAGATGAGGGAGGATAGAGATAGGAGGGGACAAAGTTTCTGAGGATTTTTGAGCCCGAGGTTATGGGAAATGTGGCAACGGATGAGCCAGCGAAAGGGGAAAAAAAAAAGAGGGAGATGTTCACGCGACCGGGTGGGAATGCGGGGCAGCACCATTTTTAGCCATCCGGAGTTTATGAAGGTGGACATCAGGGAGGCCGTAGAGGAGGGAGTCACAGTGGCCAAGTCAAGAAGCGATGAGGGCACGGACACGCAGCTCAGCAGCACGAGCCACAAAGTACACAATTTGACTTTACTTGCATACGTAGAGTCCTTTTACCGATCTACTGCTGGATGAGGGAAACTTCATGGTGTGCGAGTCGCGAGGATCATTTGACCGTGCTGTACCAAAGTTGACACTTGAAACAACCATGCCAATTTATCACTGCTTCAGCACACGGAGTGTTGGAGAGCAATCACCAACAATAAACAATTCGGGACAAATTTCAAGTAATAACTCGCGCTACATGTGCACTCGTACCACATCTTGGAGTAGAGCGGAAGGATGGGGAGGAGGCGTCGGAGGCCTTCGTGGTTCAGGTCGCAACCCTCGAGCCAGAGCGGCAGCTCTTGCCGGGAGGACGTCGTCAGCTCCAGCTGCAGCAGAAAGGCTAGCGCCGTGTAGTCACACGGGCGCAATGTTTTGGCCTTTCCCCTTCCGTGCAGCAGCTTCTTCACCTACAGCGCGCAAAGCCACGGGGAAATTCACAAACGCATTCCCACCGCTGGCGGTGAAGTGGTGGCGCAGCGATTCGCGTCCTGCATTGGTAACAAGAATGCATAGCAACCCTTACGTTATATTCTGCGGCACGATAGTTGTCGCCATGTTAGATTCTCTACATATGCATACCAGTCAGTGCATACGGTTTACCCGTATTCTTGTGCAGGGAAATTGAGTTCAGGTCCATACGGCGTACAGCCGTTTCAATACGGGCATTTGTTTTTGCTCTATTTGTTTGTGTTTCTTCCTTGTGATGAGACTTTGTAGGATGACCGTTGAGAGTTATAAGGGCACGGAGTGACCAATAAGGTTTAAATTGGTCTGTAATAAGGTAGGCACTGATAAGGGGTTGACAGGTATGCATGTGAGAAAACACTTTTTTAAGACGCAGCGGAAAAAAACATGATGAAAGTATCACTGCAAAGTGCCTCTGCAGCATATTATACGTATCAATATGCTGGTTTCGACTTTCTGGGTTCAGAGAGCTGCTTGCTTAAACAAATATTATCTTTTATCATAAAATGCAATTGCTTGCTCAAGCCACTGCTGGCAGAAGGAAATCCACGACAGGAATCTCCACAGCATGTTGAATCAAACAGAGGTAGCCCTGGAAAGCTCTTCCACGCCTGAACAGAGACCTTGGAAATTGCTTTACAACACCGTTCTGCAAAGCAAACAGGCCAAATAACCACCAAACTACCCATTACAATTTTCACGTGCAGTCGTAAAGTTTTTGCGCCTGTGTGTGGGCCGCGTCAAATGCTCACCGGCTCCACAATGCTGGTGATGCGCAGTTCCTGCAGGCAGTACAGGACGTTGATCGACTGCTCCGGTGGGAGCTCACCGTGGGTCACCATCACCTCCAGTTCGGCCGCCACGGCGCCTGCGTCGGGGCTGCTCCGCTCGCCCAACAGCCCCGGCAGCAGCTGCTGCGTTCGCTCCGACAGGAGTCCCGCTGCGAAGCGGCAGAACATGTCAAGGTGTCCTTTGCCCGAGCGTTCTTGCGACGCCCTGACGGCGCACAAGAACTGCCTCCGGAGGTGCCTCTGCCGGTTGAAGAGCCTGCCGACCCACGCCCTGCCCCGGGCTGCCATCCTAGCCGCCGGGCCGTACTCCTCGCCGAAATACAGCCGGCAGGACGGGAGTACCGCGACGACGAAGTACAGCGCGGCCAAATACTCCTGCAGCGTGAGGTGAGTGAAGTGGAACACCTGCCTGCACGACATGTTCTCCTGCTTCAGGAATTCACGCAGGAACATGCTGGGGACGTTGGACAGCACCACGCCGTTGGCTCGCAGGAACTCGTCGGTAAACTCGTAGCTTTGAGAGAGCATTCCAAGAAAGCTGACCTTCCCCAAATTGAGAATCCACTCGCGGTACTTCGTCAGGTCCCTGCACAGGACGCGAACGCTCCGTGTGTCCTCTGTGCCGTGATAGGAGATGATGAGTTTTAGGAAGGTGGAATATATCTCGGTCATGGTCTGCGGGCCATTGCTTGGATCGCTTTGTGCCTGTGGCAGCATATCCTTCAAAGAGTGAGTGACTATCCAGCAAAATGCTGGAATGTGACACATCAATAAAAGGGGTTTATTCATGTTGATATATCGTTGGACATTCTTGGCTTTTTCCTCTTCTCCGCAGTGTTTTAAAAAGTACTCTTTCCTCTGCTCGTTTGAAAACCCCAAAATTTCAACAAAAAGCTGCACCTTGTCTTCAGGTATTGTCCCACAAGCAGCTGGTCTGGAGGTCACCATAACCGTCGCATTTTCAAGCAGGCTTCCCCGAAGGATATTCACGAGCATGTGGGGCAGACTCTGGGGGCGAAGCACATCGGTGCATATCGGAGTCGTCTCAAAATTCAGGCTGAGCTTGCTTTCGTCCAGACCATCGAATATGACGAGCAGACCTTCCTGCTCGTCCTTAAGCATCTTCTCTAACTCATCCTTCAGGTGGCTGTAGTGTTTGACGACCAGGTCGTGCAAGCTCATCTCTCGTTCCAGCTCCTCCTGATTCAGCAGCTTGAAGGTGAAATGCAAGATGGTGTGAAACTGCAGGAAGGCCACCTCGTCTGCCCAGTCGCATATGATCTTCTGGAGAAACGTGGACTTCCCCACCCCGGCGATGCCCAGCACGAGCACAAGCCGGGGCGCTTGACCCGCCACGTCCAAGAAAATCCGCTCGTTCTCCAACACGTGCGTGAAGGAACCGTCTTCGTTGGAGAGCGACTGGTACCTCTCGATGTTGTCCAGCACCTCGTTGCTGGGCCTGTCCGTCACTTTTCTGCTGGCGACGATGGTCGTCGGCACGTAATGAGAGCAGACCATCTTGCCGCTTTGCCCGGACACCCCGTATTCATGCACAACCTTGTGCCTTTTCTTCAGACACTCCCGATGCCTCTGCCGTTGGGGGCTCCGCGCGGTCTGCGAAGCATACTCCTGACCGTCCATGACTCGGAGGAATATTTCGCAGCTCTCCTCGCCCCTGCCACGTAGCCTCGCCAGGAGCTCTCGCGCCTTGTCATCCGGAACCTTCCCGGCGCGCACGCGATGGACGTCATCCTCCACCAGCGCTCCCCTCGCCAGCAGGACATCGAGGACAGGATCGACGCACGTCCTCAGGGCCTCCACGAAGCCAGGAAGATTCTCCCTCAACCGGTTGACATTTGCCATTTACTGGGGTTTTCACACGCTGAAGCTGCTCCAGATGCAGTTCTGTAACAGAAATAAAAAAAACGAACAGGTTAAATGGGTCACCTCAGACGCATTCTAAAAGGTATAGGGGTAACAAGGTTAAGGTGCAGCCCTCACATGTTTTGCTCATGCCACTACTGTAAGAGGGGCCAGCACTAGAGAGAGCTCTGGAGAACTCCTCTATTTTGGCCTACTCTTCCACACTATTCTATATACAGTAATAATCCCTCGGCAACCACGGACTTGCCAACCACGGCATTCATGTACACACGGTTTATTAGTTGTACACCAATTTTACCAAAGGCGGCCGAGACATTTTGAATATCCACGGCTAAGCACGGGTCCCCAAAAAAGCATTCACAACGTTTTGGGGGCCGCGCGGTTCTCGTCCGCGCCACCGTGGCGCTGCGCAACTTGTTAGCTGTCCGTCTCTGTCTTGTCGTGATTCTCGCAGCGCACAGACCGCATCGCATCGCAATCACACAGCGAGGTGTACCGGGACTTACACACGAGACAAAGTAATGCAGCAGCATCCATCCAGCCTAACTTTTTTTTTAAGAACAGAAACAGCACCACTGATCCAGCCAACATCACCACTGTGCCTGCCTCCTCGTCTGTGCCTGCTTCCTCCCCTGCCCACTCACCTGTCATTAATGGCCCAGAGGAAGAGGGTGGGCTAAGCCCTTCCTCCCCACGCCCCCCCCCCCCATTATCTCATTATCATCATAATCATGGACTTCTGCCCTCAATATTAAAATATTAAGTTCACTCACTTAATGTTTATGTTTCATTATGTTATTGTGTAATGTACTGTATTTTAAATTTTGATTTAAAGCTGTCGTGACTGCAGGGATTCATATTTTGGGTTCTGTCGGTAAATGCACCACGTAGAAGGGAAACAATATTATATTTATTATTTTATTGTTTCTCTTCTACGTGACTTTACCGAAAGAACCAACAATATGTACTGTATTTTATTAGTGTTTAGTTAAGAAATAGGCAACTTATTTAATCCATGATGAGTCTGACCACGGCCATAGTTCCCTTGAGCCCTTATTGCCTCATATGCCCCCTGTACTTTGTGGAACAGACCACACTATTGTCTTTTCCTATTTATTTACCACGTAACAATGTGCCAGACACCCAGATTGTATGCAGGCAGAAATAACCGACCATACCGAGAAGTCAGACTGCATGAGATGGCATAAAAACACACACACACAAAGCACCGGGCAACGTCTCAATGTCTCTTATTGAGGCAGCAGCCCAACTGAACCAACCGGTTCTGATTCTTTATTAATTATTCCCCGCTTCCTGATGGTATCGGTCGTTATAAGTAGTTTTCATTTATTTATATGTAAGTTACAAAACAGGTACGTGTAAATTTGCTTGATTGAAAAATATAGTTAAATAACACCAAATTCATATTGTACATTATATACTCAACATGCTTGTGTCTGATTAGACACGCAGACATGTGTAGCGGCTCACATAAAGTAGTGTATTTTCCCATTAAATGTCACAATTGTAATCCGGATACAGTATAGTGTCGTAAGTGCAAATGGACCCCAATACTCTGTAGGAGAAAAACGTCGCAACTTGGACCAGCAGGGGAAAGCAAGCATTATTTATCTTATTTTACACAGCGAAACAGTCATTGGTAGAGGAAAAGAGGAAGGATCGGGGGAAATTCAAGGCCTTCCTCTTTTTCTCGATCTTGAACAGTGGCAGCAATTAAACCAGATGTTGCCTCTCAAGATGATTTTCCATTGATGGCGGGGTGGGAAGTGAATTCCATGCTGGCAGAGGGAAATGTACGTGTGGAGAATTCTAAGCGTTTTTTTACTTCCCATAAGCTCTGCCAACTTCCACAAACATCAGAATTCGTGCAGTGGAAAACAACCAAGTCAAGTTCTGCCCATCCGCTGATAATATCACCTGGGGCACCATGAATTCAAATGACACGGCCTTTCTGGTACCTTCGAACGTGGTTCTTTGGCAAAGGAGGATATGCTGGTTACAGTATTGCACTCCAGGCACGGCTCAGTGTTACCGTGACCTTACACAATAAATAACCTTTAGTTTCATTATAGTCTTTAAAATGTCATTACGTCCCAATACAGAACAATGAATAATACTGGTCGCGAAAGCCTACGTGTTAAACAGAACATAAAGCCTTCGCAAAAGTGAGCACTTGCAAAACAGCACTTATTCATAGTTGGCCTTAAGACGGGAATAGAACGGGTGCAAGTGGCACAGCGGTACTGGGAGTTCGATTTCCGCAAAGGCTAACACAGCAGCGGCGAGCGATACCAGTTGTGGAAGCCCTCCCTTGACAGACCTGCACGAACCAGCGTGACGCGAGGCTCAATAACCACAAAGGTCGACCGACAGCGTGGGGAGGAGGCCTCCATTCATCAGTGGCTTGACAAAGGGGCTGCACGTTATAATAACGATGTGAAAGATGATTTTATACGTGGGATTTCATGACTGATATGATTAATAATTAGTTAATTTTGGATTAGATCGTATAAATAGTTTTTTTTTAACTCTTAACTCTCAACCACCCAAGAGCCAATCGTATGAAGTTGTGACATTGGGAAATATGCCACTTGATTCGGGAATGTTGAAAAGCAATCAACATTTGACAATTTGGTATGACCTCACCTTGTACAAAATGTTAGCGTCCGAATCAATCGGCACATTTGTCCACGTGACAAGGTTATTTGATTGGCTGTCAGGTTGTGTAGCAGGGTTATAGGTAAAAATAAATTTATGTCATATTATTTTACCATGTAAGGCCCATGGAGATAAACAGCTCTTTTTCAGAAGCGACCTGCCTACCAATGATAGCTCAACGAAGTGGCTTATCACGTGGACATTTATAGCAGCAGCCAATACCCTAAACGCACGTCAATTCTAAATGTTGGAGGGAGACACCAGAGAACCTGGAGAAAAAAATCCACGCAACCATGGGGAGAACATGCAGACTCCAAATATACAGGCATCACAGTCGGGAACGAACCCTCGACCTCCTGGATACCAGGCGAGGTAGTTAACATCTCGCCACCGCGGCGCCCTACACGATCCAACCCAAAATAAACTAATTTTGAATGTGAAAGTTTCTCCGCTACAAATAAAAAGACTTTTCACTAAAAAGGGAAAACTAAGTCAAAAAGTTGAAAACCTTTTCCTGTAACACGAGCAAATGCCGGATATTGTGTGGTGAGGTTTATTATTTAAACGTGCATTTCCCGATATGCACGCGCTTTTGTGCCACAAATTAAAAAAAAAACATCGGCTGGCAAAAAAAAAGCCCAACGTGCAATAATTTGATTGGGAAATGCGTGTTACTTTACAGCAAAGTCATACTGCAGCCATCGGAACTATAATGTAAGAGTTGGGATTTTGTATTCAGCAATGTTGTGCCGCTTTTCACTTTATTTCGTCACTGAACAGTAATTTAGTTTCATGAGGCCTCCTTTGCCAGTACCAAAATACACTAATAGGGGTTTTCCCCTTTTTTCTGGCAAACAAAACTGACACCTTTTGCAAGCAATCATGTTTACATTAACCACAATACTTGCAGTCAAATGCAAACAAAAAAAATACTCCGATAAATTATGCATTGTCCTTGAAACTGATTGGTCCACACCAGACAGCTTTTCTTTTCTTAGAGCCTCGTCTCAGATGAACGCAAAAGGTGCTAAAAAGGCGCCTTTTGGCGTCATCTGGTCGAACACCATATGAGACTAGGCTCTAAGAAAAGCTGTCTCTGGTGTGGACCAATCAGTTTCAAGGACAATGCATAAATTATCAGAGTATTTTTTTTTGCATTTGACTGCAAGTATTGTGGTTAATGTAAACATGATTCCTTGCAAAAGGTGTCAGTTTTGTTGCCAGAAAAAAGGGGAAAAACCCTATTAGTAATTTAGTTACTGTAATTAGAGCCCCAGTTAAGAGCCCCAGCAATATTACATTTAGCTTGAAGTGTCAATAACAAATGGTACTGCACTGAGCGTAAGTGATTGCCGCTAATTGCAATAAAAGCCTTTACATACACATAAGAACCTGTTTGTTGTAATATTTATTGATGGTGATGTTTCATTCTGGACACGTATTTGCAGCAGTATAGACCTTTTCATGCTACGGTGTGTTCCGTTATGATGTTAACTCTGTGTTTTAATGTTGCACGAGAAATTGTGGTTATTATATACCTTAGAAATTGCAATGTACAGCGCGCATATATATTATCGGTTGTCTTTTTCAGTCATATCCCTGCACCAGAGATTTCGTTTCGGCTAACTTGTATACAATGTGTTTTGTTCATATTTCATTATATGCGAGGGATACTTAGAACAAATGCTCGAGTAAATCACTGCCAAAGTGGAACTGGGACTTTAGCGCAACAAGAAAGCAACGTAACCAAGTAACCAAGACCACCCAATCACAAATACCACATTGAATATGTGTTACAGCGTAACCGTTTTTCCGGTTAGCGGTTGCACAAGCCAGTCTTGTTTATATTATATAGAGTTCAGTGGAACAAAAGGTCCGTTCCACCAGAAGGTGAACCTTAAAGAAACGACACCTACCTTTGCGTTTAAAGACGTGTAATCATGTGTGTTTGAAAAGAGCCCAATGAAACTCAAGTGTGTAAAATTCACTTCCTCTTATCACGTTGGAGCGACGTTTCGAGGTGGCTGGGTTGCCGATTTCGTTTCAATCGGCAGCAGCTATGACCTCGCTGCCTACTTAATGTCCATGCGCCCACACTAAAAGACACGTGCAATACAAACACACTGCACTGTATTGGCATTTAAGAGCTACTAATGTACACACCGATGTGACCCGTCTATCATCAAAACAATAGCGATGATGTAAACTTGCATTCCTTGTCACTCCACTGTCTCACCATTTCACACAATACTGCACAATAACACACCACTTTGTGAGCATTCACGTGATCACAACATGTGGACGAACACATTTGGCAAATGGTATGTATTACTGGAACAGTCTTTACAAGGGAGTACTGCACTTAAACTTGGTTATTTCGGTAAGAGTACTGCACTGCATTCAATCGCATCTTGAGAAGTAGTAACAGGGTCATTAAAATATCAGCGGAGTATCAATGAACGCATCACCCTAATAATATGAAGATCATTTAATGGGCTGAACTCACATGACAATCAGCGGGACAATCACCATTAAATGGTAAAACAAATAAACACCGCAGACCTATTTCAAATACAGGTTATAACCTTTACATTATGCATAATAAATACGAGACATACCGGGCTGTAGTTATAACACCGTGGAAGAATTAGGCCAATTAGAGGGGTTATCTAAGAGCCATCTCTCCCTCTCCAGTGGAGGTCCCACTGGCAGCGGTGTCCAGAGCAAGCACCGCACACCTGTACCTTGACTGTATTGAATTTGAGTGTTTCACAGAAACATGATTTTCAAAATGTCTCACAAAGGTTAGTCTGCCGAGTAGAATGATCCACACCCAAATACCACCCCGAGGGGCTTTCTGAATGCCCAAACCTGTATTGGTAAAGCTATTTGCGACATGTTATCGTCACCAGCCACCGCCTATCCACTGCTGGATCGCTGCAATGAGAGGCCGAAATCAACACGTTGCAGTATTATTGCTATTGCGCGTGCCAGTGTACAGCATTGCTAAAACTTTAGATAACTGCGCCTCTAAGATAATAACACTTTAAAAAGGTCAAACCACTCACGTGTCCTTGGTATTCAACTAATGTTTGTACTTGGTATATGCCTCCGAGTGCAAGAGTGGGCCAGGAGCCCCCCACCCCGAGACTCTTTGGGGGGCTCCGTGCGGCTCCCTCTCGTGGCCAGAGCCGGGACGACATCAAAGTTTAAAAAGTCACAATATTTTTGTTTTTAACTATAATCTTGGTTCTTTCGGTAAAGTCACGCAGAAGGGAAATAATAAAATAATAAAAAATAAATATAATTACATTCTCAGCGTTTTACTTCTTAAGATAATTACCTTTAATTTTAATGAAAGTTTAAAAAGTCACAGTATTTTTGTTTTTACTATATTCTTGGTTCTTTCGGTAAAGTCACGTAGAAGGGAAATAATAAAATATTAAAAAATAAAATATAATTAAATTCTCAGCGTTTTCCTTCTTAAGATAATTATATTTAAGTTTCATTAAAATTTAAAAAGTCACAGTATTTTTGTTTTTAACTATATTTTTGGTTCTTTCGGTAAAGTCACGCAGAAGGGAAATAATAAAATAATACAATATTATTACATTCTCAGCGTTTTACTTCTTAAGATAATGATATTAAAGTTTCATTAAAGTTATAAAAGTCACAATATTTTTGTTTTACTATATTCTTGGTTCTTTCGGTAAAGTCACGTACAAGGGAAATAATAAAAATAAAATATAATTAAATTCTCAGCGTTTTACTTCTTAAGACAATTATCTTTAATTTTCATTAAAGTTTAAAAAGTCACAGTATTTTTGTTTTTAACTATATTCTTGTTTTTTTCGGTAAAGACACGTAGATAGAAAATAAAATTAAATAAAAATGAATAAAAGCAACAACAACAAAAAACCCCACGACGTTTCGATCGCAACACAAGCGGCCTTCATCAGGCGGAGAGAAAAGTTGATTTTATTTTTTATTTTCTATCCCTGTGACTCTACCGAAAGAACCAGGAATATTAATTCCTGCACTCACGAAAGTTTTAAGTGCTTGTAACTGTGCGGCGCTTTACTTAAAAGCGCTTGCATAGCAACGTTGAGTACTTCCCATGCCTTAAGATAAATAAAGTGGACAAGTTGTGTGCAGTACGCTAGACTCACGGCTACAAGCTCAAATACCGGTCGGGGTTCGACTCGGCCCATCATCTTCCCCGTGATCGATACAATCGGTAACAATTTGTTGCGCGGCCCATGACGAAACGCAGCACGTTTTAACGACCACGAGAGAGACTATCGTATTGTCCAGATTATAGGACACAAAAAACAAAACTCTTGCTTGAAAGATACGAGGGGGTGTTGAGTTTTACAACGCGGAGTTTACGGCATTTGTATTAATCTAAGCGACGTGCACACGTACAAATACATATTTATTGTTAGAAGTATCCCTAATTAAACACAATGACCATCGCTTTAACTGGTAACATTGTGTTGGCAGTAGTGCACCAGGCACAATTAACAACGAGACAACTCAACACAGCAAACAGCGGATTTAAAATGAAAACAAGACGTTTCGGGCAATGAGCCTTCTCTGCACGGCGCAAGAAGGCCACTGCGCGAAACTTGCTGCGAAGGGCCATCGCCCGAAACGTCGACTTCAACTGCCCACTTACAAATGAAACTTTACGGTCTGGGTGGTGTCATCAATACTCACCAACTCGGCGTTGTCGGCGCGATGATGGCGATAGCTCCACTACACCCTACATCACATACTGTGTAGCAGTGCCGATAGCTCCACTACACCCTACATCACATACTGTGTAGCAGTGCAGATAGATCCACTACACCCTACATCACATACTGTGTAGCAGTGCCGATAGCTCCACTACACCCTACATCACATACTGTGTAGCAGTGCAGATAGCTCCACTACACCCTACATCACATACTGTGTAGCAGTGCCGATAGCTCCACTACACCCTACATCACATACTGTGTAGCAGTGCATTAGCGCGTTGTGCGTGATCCCCAATCATTAACTCGTGTTTCTACCTAGGCCGTGGCTCAAAATGAACACACGATGACCCAGCGACATCTTTCTTCCCAGCCAGAAAGGCAAACAGCCCCGTGTGTGTGCAAGCCGAACACGTGGGCGACACGACCGCAAATACTTCCCCAGCTACTCTCTCTCTCGAGATGTCCACAATTCCTTTTGTTTGCTTTCACTACACCCACACTCGCCGCCCGTTCCCCCGCCAGTAAAGTTTTCGTTAATTGGCTCAATACAACAGCCACCCCTCCCCCCCACAATGCGAAGGAGGAGCGCGCGAACGTCAGAGACCTGGCCAGAGGCACAAGTCCGTGGTGATGATGATGATGGCTGGTGACTCAGTGAGCTGCCCCGCAGAGGTGCGGCCAAACGATGCCACGTCCGCTGGCAGAGCGGGATTCATTTGGGGGGTTTCTTGGCCCGGGGAAAGCCCCCTTTTTGTTTTTCAGCTGCGGACGAATTGGACGTTGAATGAATGGTTGATGGCCCACTGCGGCTTGGATGTATTAGTATGTATTATTATTATTGATATTGGAGATGAAGTCACCACGCTCACTTCCCGGAGCGTCGCTCTGCGCTGTGGATTTAAGGCCCATGTACTCGAAACGTTGGCGATAGTACACTTTATTATTTTTAAGGGCAGTGTTATTGACGCTTTAAAAAAATCATGGATATATTTACATCACTGCGGGTATATATAGATAAAACAATCTTGATTTGAAACTTATACAATATTTTATTATAAAACCTCAACGTGTCTCCCACCAATCTCAATACAATAAGTATATTGTTTAACAATCTCCTGATAGACTTCGTCCAACATAGCTGGTCTGGATTTCCACCAACATTCAATACTTTTGGTGATACTGCACTGGCAGTTGTTTTATTCGCTATTAAGAAAAATAGCCATTGTCCCAAACATTGACTCATTTTTTTAATTTAAAGCCACTGTTATTGACGAATGTGTTGATTGTTGTGTTAACATTCAAGGATGCGCAAACTTATATGGAGGAGCTTCTAGAAATGGGTCTCCCTGTATTGGTGCAGTCTACACCAGCGTTGTTCATTGCAAGGCCCACGGTGGCCTTTAGTGCGGCCCCCAACAAGACACAAAAGTGAAAACACCCCCCATGATCACCATCGTCGTCATGGTGCTGCTGTCAAACCCCACGATCGTTTCAAATAGTGCGGCGGTCCTCACACTGACGATGTCTGTGAATGAAACAGCTCATAGACACTTCTACACTCCATCATTGTATCCTTTTAAACCCTATCTTTGTCCCATTACTTCACCAGCACTCCTTCCAAACTTCATTCTGCTCTTAAAAATAACACCATCTGCGAGCTACTGCTATTCGTCCAAGGTTCGCCGCTCTTCATCCTTTCACAGAAAATACTTGTGCAAACTATTAATTCTACTTTTCTTATTTCTGGGTGCTATTGCGCTTCATCCTGGCCCAAATGAAAAGAACTCGTATAATTCTGTAGATTTTTCTGGCAGGAAAGGTGGTGCTCTACATGTCAAAATCAGAGGGCTTGTGATTAAATTAAGTCAACTAAAACTAGAAGTGTCAAATCTTGACTCGGACATTTTTTGCCTAACAGAAACATTTCTCACTCCTGCCGTCAATGACTTGCAGATTACGATTGACAACTACAACCTTTTTCGGCTTGACCGAGGATCTAAAGGAGGTGGAATTACCATCTATGTTCGTAATACTATTGCATGTTCACTAGCTCACTCCTTGTTTAAAAATGTTGCTTTGAAGGTCTGGCTCTCAAAATAACTCTCCCAAATAATCAACAGATATTGGTAGTGTGCTGTTATCGACCGCCTAGTGGGAAGGATGTTGAAGCTGCATGTGCACTGAGAGAGCTTTTTGGGGGCCTCCCTAAAGGTGAAATAGTTTTAGTGGGTGATCTAAATTGGAATTGGCTAAACCCGCCGGCCGTGGCCACAAATTTTGCAGATGAATTTAATCTGTTTCAATTAATAAATGTCCCCACAAGACCCAACCTAAAAATCCGGGACAGTCATCTCTGCTTGACGCCCTATTGACAAATGCCCCTCACAATTTCACATTGACTGGTGTTCTGGGTAATAACCTTAGTGATCACTCCTTCATTTTTGGTGTGAGATCATCAGCCAGACCCAAAGCCCCCCCTAAATTGGTTGAGAAGCACTCTACGAGACACTTCAGCATTCAGGCATTTACTAATGATGTGCTTCACTCGGATATTGACAAGGTCTGTGATATCCCCAACCTGACTACGGCTTGGGAGACCTTCAGGTACACGTTTCTCCAAATTCTTAACAAACATGCTCCGTTGGTTAGATTTAAAACTAAAGGCAACCACCCACCATGGTTTGATCCTTTGATTACAAAGCTCATGAAAACTAGGGACAAGGCTTGCGCATGTGCTCAGAAAAATAATTTGGTCAATGACTGGCTAGAATACAGGATTTTAAGGAATAGATGTGTCAAAAATATACGGCATGCAAAAAATGCCTACTTTTCCTCCACTCTCCTGGAATCACATGGAAATGCCAGGATTTTCTCGAAAACAATCAAATGTATCGAAAAGGCATCCAAAACAGACAATCTGCCTGTTGAGCTAAACCGAAATGGGGAATATTTTTCAGATCCGCAAATAATAGTTAACAATTTTAACCTTCATTTTTCTGAAGCTGGTAATATTTTTGATAATGTATTGGGAGTCACCCCTGCTCATGCAAATTCCTACACCCCTGTCCAAACATTAAACAAATTTAGTTTCCAGCCAATCCACGAAAGTAATGTTTCTTAAACAACTGTCCTACCTCAAAGGGTCCTCCTCTACCGGAGCAGATAGTTTTCCCGTCTTTGCTCTACTAACTGTTGGTCACCTAATATACAAACATATAGCCCATATTTTCAACCTGCCCATCAAAGAAGCATCAGTTCCTCTAGAATAGAAACATTTCTATGTCCGTCCACTTCACAAAGGGGGCCCAAAAGATGATCCAAATAACTACCATCCTATCTCAATTTTGTCCCCGTTGATGATTTTTTTTGAAAAATTATTGACCTACCAAATTAGCAGTTTCCTGTCCACCAAGAATCTACTACATCTAAAACAATTTGGGTTCCGAAAAAAATACAGCACCACATCTGCTGCATTAGACTCTCTGAATCACATTTACAGTAGCCTTGATAAGAAGCAGTACTGTCCCTGTCTTTTTCTAGACCTGTCCAAAGCTTTTGATACAATAGACCACAACACCCTGCTTAGTAAACTAAGTTGCCTCGGTTTTTCCGAAAACGCAGTAAAATAGTTACAAAATTACCTCTTTTCTCGCACCAAAACTATATTCACAGATGGTTGGAGGTCAAACAGTGTTAAGATAACAAAAGAGGTTCCACAGGGTTCCATCCTCGGCCCCCTTTTGTTATCTCTTTAAGTCAATGACTTGGGCACTGACCTGGATCATTCCAGGGTAAATCTTTTTGCAGATGACACGATACTGATTACTGCTGGCCGCTCTCTGGATGACGTGATTGCTAAGCTACAGGGTGATTTCAACAAACTACAACATCAGCTAGTTGCTTTTAAACTAGTCCTGAATACCTCCAAAACCAAGGTGCTATACTTCTCATCAGGACTAAAGCAGGAAGTTATTTTTCCCCAATTACATTCCTTAAATAATTTTCAAATAGAGCAAGTCAAGATCTATAAGTATCTTGGGGTCATCCTGGATTCAAAACTGAATTTTGAAGATCACATTGATTATATTGGGAAAAAGACAAAAATAAAAATTGGTTTTCTGTATCGACACAATCACTGCTTCCCCCCAATGTTCCGTTTGGAATTGACAAAAGCTACCATACTGCCTCTACTTGACTACTGTGACATCGTGTATAAATCAGCCCCAAGTACTGTACTGAAGAAGCTTGATTCCATCTATCACTCGGCGTTAAGATTTACATTGAACTGCTCATATAGGACTCACCACTGTGATCTCTACATTGGATCAAACTTAACATCTCTTAATGTTCGACGGCTTGTGCACCAGACTACCTGCTGGATCTCCTCTCTATTTCAAAGAACAAATTTGACCTCAGGTCTTCGCTCATTTAGCAGCTTCACATTCCCTATTGCCGTACAAAAACTGGAGGAAGGGCCTTTGCTATTTATGCCCCAGAGTCCGAAATGCTATTGCCAATAAACTGCAACTTGAACCGCTACCAATGAGATCTTCTCTCACAACTGCTCTAGAGGAGTTGTACACCCCCTAGCTGCCACTGCTATTCATTGGCGTAAAATAAAATGTTTTGCCCCGGATGACGCTGCAAAGTATTATCTGTATTTTGATTTAGCGTGCTGATCTTAAAGGTGCATTTAAAAATTTGATACTCCGACTGATGCTTCTGTTGTTGTGGAGTAACTCATGCATTTAGCTATGGCTCTAGGATTTGGTGTTACATGTTATTTATATAGTTTATTGTAAAAATTCGGTCACAGTCCCTGTGATCACTGTTACGTTGCAATTATGGTTTTAGTTTTTGGTGATTTGGAAAAGTTTTTTGGTTTGGACATGTTTGTTTTGTTGTAGTACGGAGTTAGACTGATGGCCTTAATCTAAGTTTTCTTGTGGTTGTTGTTGTTGTTTGACTTGCATCCCACTGGGATTTTTTGCACAGCGTTGGTGTACGGTGCTTTTTTCAGGAATAATTTGCTGCTTTTTTCATGGATTTTCTATTTGCACAGCCACATAGTCACTTTAAGATGTTTTTCTTGTTCGTGTTTTTGTTTTTTTGTTTGTTGTGGTTGCACCCGATTCAAAAGCCGAATGGCTCACAGGGCTATACCAAAATAAATAAACTGAAAACTGAAACTGAAATGTCTTATCGGCTAAAGTGGCGCCCTCTTTGAGCACGAGTGCAGAGACCCTAAAACCCCCACGACGGATCAATGTCGTTCCTCTCCCATGAGTCCCCTGACAATGTTTTATAACTCTGGAACGGGCTCAATGTTTTCGATAACATTAATCCTCCACAAATAGAGCATGGAAATTCATCACGCTTTTCTGGGTGAGCTAGTTCTATGATGAAATACAGTACGATCATTGTTTATATATTGTTATAAGTTGGCCCAACTGTACCAACTTTGTCAACATTGCTGGGGTTGTGGACTCCAAGAGGGCGAATTGCGAAGAAATGGAGAGACGTGTTTATCTATCATGTTTTTTGCATTCTT